GCATAATTGGACGGTCCTCTTATGCGGGTGAGATGCAATTAGCAGGGGGTTCCAAAGAAGAGTGCCGAGTGGTTGCCGCGGCACGTCCTTGAAGCTACCGAGGAAATTCGCCACGAGCCAAAAGCCCCCTGACGAGTTTCTGACCGTCGAGGGTTAACAGCCCCGAGAGCCTCGAGGACAGCAAATACCGAAATGCGCAAGCGTGGCCCGGCCCCGCTGGTAAATCCATTCGATCCAGCCGGATCGTTCGGCGGTTCCGACTCCACTCGGTCGAATTGCATGCCCTAGCCATTGCAATTGGAGCACTAAGCCTTTGGATCTGGTGGTTAGCTTCTCCACTCACATGCTGAAACCAGATCGCTGGCCAAAGGTCGCTTGGAACCGAGAATTTCCATATTTAACAAGTCCTGCGAGGGGTACCTAAATATGCCTGTCAACCCTGTCGGTGATTTTCTATCACCATCGCCATCCTCCCCGTCATGGGCCTACACGAGAGTTACCCAGCATATGGGGGCCGTGGCCCAGGAGATCTTCGTCTAGGACTCGGCCTGGGATCTGTGGCCACCATCTTTATGATCCTACGGGTCTATGTCCGACTACGAGTCAATAAATTCGGTACTACGGCATTGATTTTGTCCCTTGTAGCTTGGGTATGAGCTGGGCCTCTGTCGCACAATGATATTGGAGCAGCTGAACTGTCTCGTACTAATGATGAGTAACAGCTCCTCACTGCGGTCACCCAGACCTTGGGTGTCATCTCTGCTCTCCATGGACTCGGAAACCATATCACCGCCGTGGAGGAAGTCGGCGAATTGGGCAATTATCTCTTCTACACCTGGATGACGGTCTTCTTTTTCAACCTGGCCATTCCAACGGGAAAGATCGCCGTGGCAGCATTTCTGATTGAGATGAATGCCCAAGGCAGTATGTTTCCCTTTCCTATTCAGAAGCCAAATGGAATGCTTTTCCAAGATCCAAGTAAATCTCAAAGTGTACCAATGCCTAAACTAACATTATTTGCTTCACAAAGACCCCAAGATCCGCCGCAGTCTGATCGCCGTTGCCGCGCTTAACATCGTTCTCAACATCCCGCAAATCTTGCTTGCCTGGTTCCAATGCAGCCCTCCGAACGCTCTTTGGGACCCCTTGCGACAGGGTCAATGCGATCACCGAACGAGCGTACACTATACATACTTTGCAGGAGCCGTTGCAGCCCTGTCTGACTTCTATTTGGCCATTATCCCAGTTACAATGCTGGCTCCACTCCGAATTGATCGCAAGCTGAAATGGGGCTTAAGTTTCCTCATGGGTTGTGGTATCTTTGCCGGTGCCGCAGCGATTGTGCGAACATGGGCAGCTAGCTTCATCCTGGGTGACGATCCGTCGTGTGAGTCACCTTTGCGTCCTTCTAGGACAGGCTATGAACGCATGCTAATCATATTCTTGATAGATGGTGTCGGTATCCTCTTCCGCTGGGGTGAGGTCGAGGAATGGGTCGTCCTCATTTCCATGTCGATCCCACCTGTTTGGCCACTTTTCCGACCCTTCACTCGCCGCTTCATCAAGTCCAACGGCCAGTCTCATAGTCTGCCCCAATACAAGAACTACAATCAGTATGCCTCGTCTAAGGGAGATCTCACGTCGCCGATTACTGGTCCTGTCATTACGACCACTATCTCCATCTCCTCGACCAAGGGGCCTTCTTCTTCTGCCGAGCCCGTCCGCGCGGCATCTTCAACGGGCTCTTTCTCTAGATATGATGAGGAAGAGGCCGAGGCCCCTCATACAGTTCTTAGCAGCACCGGAGGCCCGGAAGGTTGGGTGGAAATGTCTCGCTACAAGAACCATCCTCAGTGATGCTTCCTGTCCGCGCGACGGTCAAATTCTTGTACATAATAAATCATCATAATTTCAACTTTTTTTTTTCAATGATTTCGATCCACGAGTAATCATGAAGGTTTTCACTCGAGGGACAAGACAACAAAGAGTTATCAAATCACGCATGGTCACTGTTCGTAAGTATAGAGACCTACTATTCAATTGTAAGCGAAATTAACCCGTGATATATGCGATGCTGAACTCTCAGGAAAACTTTGCCTTACGAAGGAAGAGGCTACGCGGTCATATCAATTTTGCCAGACCAAGCACGGAAATTCATGTGAAGGCCCCTAAGTGGGTACGAAATTGGATTCAATGAGCCATGAACACAGATTGCAAGGAAGTCGCGACTCATACCTTTCAACTTCATCTTGAGCAAAGCTTAGCGCGTGGGAGCCACGTGGTTCGAAGAGGCTTATTTTGATTTGACTGCATGCAAATGCATTGGTCATATCCGCTATCCCGCCTTCCAATAGAACATCACACCACATATCCAATCGAGCTCTTAGTATCGACGGGATACCCTCAAGATGAATCATTATTTCCTTACCAAGTGCCATCAAATGAAATTTCTACATCCAGCCCCAAAAGCTCGAATAATCCCTTTAGACTCTCGGTCGTTCGGGCTCTAGATGGCCCATTGTGAGTTAAGTGCGGCGGTGCGGCGGTTCACGATTGGCCGAGACCGTCGAGCTCAGCGCCCATAAGTATCCCTTCCCCAATATCGGAGAATTTACTTTTGCTAGAAACAGTCATGCAAAAGTGAAATTTGCTGAAAGGAAACTAATTGTCAAAGAATTTTTTTCATCGCAAAGGATGTCCACATCAAAATTTAACACAGCGCTCGCCGAGAGCCCGCCATCTGACCTACACTCTGCTGCCCCATCCGACCATAGCACTATGATGGAGAAATCGGATGCTGGATTTGAAGCTCAAGATATTGAAGCGCCTAAGATCTGGTCTTCCGAAGATTCACCTCCTGATGGAGGATTACAAGCTTGGCTGATGGTGCTTGGCGCATGGTGTGCATTGTTCTGCACTTTCGGGTGGATCAACAGTGCGTCAACCTACCAAATGATGTTCGAACATTTTGAAGATGCACTATTGACCCCAAATATCATGCTACAGGTGTTGGACAATTCCAAAGCTACTATGAAACAGTTCTCCTCTCAAAGTACTCCGCGAGTACGATTGCATGGATCCCCTCGCTTCAGATCTTCTTTATGTTTGCAATGGTATGTGGATAGACTGAGACGACCGCTGTTTCTCACAAGTCACTAATCTAGATTGTCTCTCTAGGGCCCTATAGTTGGCCGGCTCTACGACAATTTCGGTCCGCGCTACGTCCTCATCGGTGGCTCATTCCTACACGTCTTCGGCCTCATGATGGCATCCATCTCGAAAGAATACTATCAAGTGCTTCTGTCCCAAGGAGTTTGCAGCGCCATGGGAGTGTGTGCAATCTTCCAGCCATCGATGAACTGTATCCCCAGTTGGTTTGACAAAAAGCGCGGTGCAGCCTACGGAATTGTCTCCACGGGGTCCAGCTTAGGGGGCGTGATTTTCCCGATTATGGTCAGCCGTATGATAGCCAATGTGGGATATGCATGGGCCATGCGAACTGCTGCATTTATCATTCTCTTCCTGTTGGCAATTGTGATCCTAACAGTCCGGTCGCGAGTGCCGCCCAAGCCTCAGAACCTGGAGAAAGCAAGTCTTATTCGGCCTTTCACCGAGATCAAGATGTTGCTTATTATTGCGGGATTCCTGTTGTTGACTTTTGGCATTTTTATTCCAATCAATTACTTGGTCATACAAGCCATGGATGCGGGTATGAGCTATGACCTCGCCCAATATTTGGTTCCTATGCTGAACGCAGCAAGGTAAGTGTAGCTTGTTGACTCGTGGATTCCGAAGACTAACGTGCACTACTACAGTCTTTTCGGTCGTATGGGTGCTGGTATCGGCTCCGATAAGCTGGGCGCCTACAATATTCTCGTCAGCGCTTGCATGCTTGCTAGTATACTGACCCTCGCTCTCTGGATACCTGCCACCGGTAATGCCGCCATTATCGTCTTTGCAACTCTCTTCGGATTTGCGTCTGGTGCCTATGTCTCCCTCGCAGCTGCGCTGGTGGTAAAGATCTCGCCCTTTCCAGAGATCGGATATAGAACTGGCTTGTTGTTCTTGTTCTCGTCATTTGGAGGCTTGACGACCAATCCTATTGCAGGAGCTATCCTATCCCGGGACGGTGGATCATATACGGGTATGAAGGTCTTTGCTGGAGTTTTCCTTCTAGCAGGTAGCTGTTTCATCCTAGTTGCCCGCTTCTACAACACTGGACTAGTTTTGAGAGCCAAGTTTTGAGCGATGACTCGTTTGGTGTGATTTGAAACAGCCCTCACCCAGTGTTGTATAGTCATTTGACAGCCAGATGGGGCTCAAAAGTAATAAACATAGAAGTCGATTTTCTTGCGTACACAAGCTGACAACATGAATGTTGACCCAAATTTCATGCGTAGGCCACTGTCCCACAGCTTACACGAGCTCTCTTGTACGAATTTTTCCCTTCCATCTCCTTATGCCATCCAGCAGTACAAGGCTCATCTTGGCCACGAGTCCGTCCAGAACACTAGGACCAAAAGAACCCAGGAAGTTTATAGCGGGCCTCCATCGAGTCTGGATCGCAGATCGTCGGATTGTCTTCAAAAGAGCACTCCTCAGGCTCGTCCTCCACTGTGACGATTAATCCAAGCCCCCAGCTAGGCTTTGGCGCCGCGATGAAGATAGAGTATTTTTCAAAATCAATAGTGTGATAGAGTGCTTGTGTTTCCTGCAACGTCAATCTCCTTTTCACGGTTCGCGCGAAAGGCAAAGCGCGGAATGGAAGCCGTCATCTATACTCGGGGATCGATTACTTGAGGAGACAATACATCCAACCGATCAACCACTGTACAAGCCTTTTTTATCAAGTATCAAACAAATTATTAAACAATTGCAAGTGCAAATATTGTTCGGGGGCTGTCACTAGTACAGTGCCCCGTACTGTAAGCATCCAATCAGCACGAGTCAGGATGGTGGATGCCTAGCGACAGCGCCCGTTCAAGGCTGTCAGCATAACAACCACCTGAGCGCATGAAGACAACGACATCGCCTTACGTCCTCCATCTCCATCCATTCAATCAACGAAAGGAGCATTTATTAGTGTTACCTACACCAGATCATCATGGGAGCCTCAACTCCCAGCGAAGTCGCCCCGCCCTACGAAGAACTATACTCCCAGCGACCATCAAATCCACTAACGGGGGTACGTCATCTCACATCTCCCTTCCCACCGCAAGATCAATCTCTCCTGCACTTGAAATCAATCCATATCAATGCCCATCTCATATCCTGATCTACAAACAGTACACCCGCGTCGCCGCCGCCGACGAACCCGACCTCGACCTCGAGCGCGACGCACATCAGCACGACGCACCGACCCCACTCGGACTAAACGAAGCTACAAACAATTCCTACAAACCGCATACTCACTGCGAGGAATGTGATCGGCAACTTGAGCGGCGCGAGAGACGGCGCAGCAAGGAGCATTGCTGTACTACGGTTTCGCGGACTTTTATGACTATTGCGTTGTTTTTGATGATTTTTGGGATCGTGGCTGTGATTTCTTTGAAGAGGGGGAAGAAATGAACGATTCTTGATTTGGATTTGGATTTGATATTGATGTTTGTTCGTGCTTGAGATGTTAGATTGATGATGAGATGAATGCGCTCGTCTTTCGATCAAGTGGATCTGGGATAGTTTAGGTTGTGGTTCTTCATATCATTGGTTTCAATTACACGCCGAGTACCCTTCCGTTCAAGGACTGGAATATAAAGATCATAAATTCATAACAGGGTATAGAGCAACGAAGTCTGAAACTCCCCATTCATCCCATCTAACGCCCATCCTTCTTCTCAACCACCCGGATAACTCCCACCTTCTTGCCCCATAACCGCAAGACTCTGCGCCAAATAATCCCAATCGGGAAAATCCACCCAGTTGAGATCCCATCCATTCACTTCAAACAACGCCTCCGCACTCTGCACAAACCCTGCATCCATCGCAACTGTGTTCTCAATCCCTGTCCCCATCCCATTCCCGTTCGCAGCCACAGTCCCCATCGCACTCATACCATCTTCGGGAATAACCTCCACCCCCGTTACGGGCGGGGCATGAGCCTGGCGGATCTTATACGCCTTGGCTCGCAGTCCAACCAGAACGGGCCATTTGGGACCTGGATCCGGCCACGAGGGATCATTCTCCGTAAGATCGAAATGGCGATTGACACCGCGCCAGGCACGGGTTACATGTGGACCACTTGGGTACACGCACAGATGCCACAGGATATACGTGAGGAGGTGGAATTGGGTATATGTCGAGGTTAGCCAGCGCGTTCCACGGAGTAAGTCGTCCGCGTAAATTTCTAGCCCGAGTTCGAGCGCGTGGCAGGCCATTGCTAGTAAGGACGAGGCAGCCTCGGCGTTTGCATCCGCATCTGTACCGGATCGGCGCTGCAGGGCTTTTTGATGCACTTGGACTTCCAATTTGGATATCAGGATTTGGGCGACCATTACGCCTTGTCGTTGGATGGGAATGTTCATGTCCGCATATTGCAGGTAGCGCTCGTGCAGACGTGTTTTAAGGTCTGTGATGAGTGATTCGGCGTTGGTGTTGGCCCGAGAGATGGCTGCCCAAATGCTATTTATTTCGGAGATGATGAGAATAAAGGTCATTTCTGTCCAGCGGGGCAGGGACTGAGCTGGTGTTGTTTGGGTTTCTGTCAGGTTTTGATCGTCGATGTTTGTGGGGAATTCGGTATCCGCACCAAAGTCTTGGGCGGAGACGCTGATGCCGTGGTCTTCGGCCATGCGGGCGTCCGTTGTGTAGAGGATCCACCAGAGGCGACGACGGAGCTCGCATTCTAGAGGGGGAAGCTTGAAGTTTTTGCCGTCGCGGTGGACGCCGATGGACTGGGCAGCACGGATGGCCAGGCCGCGTAGTGTGAAGCCAGAGCGTCCGCTGTTAGTATAGCGGAGGCATGTCTGAGTGATATATTGTTATTACATGCATTTGAACTAGTTCGAAAAAGAGACTGATGGTTCTTACTAGGTAAATAGCCATCGCCTGTAGCGATGTCACGGTAGGAGAGTCCAGGAACGACGAGTTGTGCATTGCAAGTTCCAAACCCTGTTGATATCGACGCAGATCATCCCGAGTCTCCTCATTGGTAGGATCGTCCGAGACCAGCGTCGTAGTAGCCGCGAAGAAGATCGCAAAAAGCAGGCAATGCACGTCCGGTTTCACCGCATCAGGTCGATTAATAGCCGTGTAGATGCGTGGCGTTGTCGTCGGAACATGAATCACCTTCAAGACGGGATCCACTCGGCTCAAGAAGATCTGCCAGAGCAGTGTAGCCTGCCACCGAGAAGGAAACAATGCCCTGAAATCCGTTTGTAGCAAGATAGGATTGGTGATAATCCCATCCACCCTTAGCGGAGGCGGTTTCCTCGAAGAAGAATTGCCCGGATTCGGCGATCCCATAGCAGTTTGTAAATCCTTCTCTTTCTCAAGAACCCTCGACAACAGCGGCTCATCAATATAAGAACCATCTCTCGACAAGAATCCATGATGCGAGTCCTCATCCCTACCAGATCGGCCACTCGGACCTGGTGCAGACTGACTCGACACCGAGATTGGGCTAATTTGAGCATTCGACCCCGTAAGTGCTTGATTCACCTGCGCCGAGGCGCCAGCCATCTTATTCCCCGCTAACGTGGTGATCGAGCGCTCGAGCTCCTCCAGCCGCGCCACGACATCCGTCACCGTCGTCTTGGGTGGGCGGCGCTTAGCCCGTCTAGGGCCGGGGTAATGGCAGGGCACATTGAGGCGCACACACTTGTTGCACGGTATTCCCTTATCACAACGGACCTTCCGTTCATGGCAGCGGAGACATGAGCGCTCGACATTGTAGCGGCGAACATGCTCCATTTCCATGGTGATGATGACGAGTGCACGCTCGCTCGGTCGTTCAGAAATTGATTCATCCGCTTAAGAGGATTGTGGAGATAATATAAGGGGGGGCCAGCCGTAATTTTTTTGAGCTCGGTATTCGCGCTCTTCCGCTCGTCAGAGCGTGGTGTCTGCTCGTGATTTGCGCTGCTCTGTGGAGACGATCAATAATCGACGCGACAAAAGCTCGGCCGTTCGGAGCTCGGAGTTTGGTGAATGGCCGCTCACACCGTCCAATCGGTTGGACGGTGATGTGGATGAAGTGGACTCTAGAGTGGGTCTGGCTGGGTCAGGGTCCGCGAGGGAAGCCACGCAAAAGCCTTGCAAAACCCGGGGAAGTGCACGATGGTGACAGGAGACTTTTATTGATTTGGATACGGGCCGGGGTTCTGAGAAAGGATAAGGGTATACCGTTCCCACACGTCATAGGGCGATTGGATGTAGGAGAAACTGCCACCTTGACAGCAGAACTATACAGAAGTCTTAGCGCCGATCATCCGCATTGCCAATCCACATGGATCCCCCTCTTGCACACGAACGAAGCACTACAAAGGAACAGTCGACTAGGCTGACCCGATCGGCCTACATAAACCAGTGTTTTATCTTTGTCATGCGTGGAGATCATTTCATTCTTTTGAATACCCAACAAATTACCAAAATTCAGAAAAAGCCACCAGGATATAATCGCTCAACAGGCGCACCAATTAGACTCTATTACCACCAGAGATCTTATGAAACCACCAAAACGCCCGCAAAATCTGAACATGAACATGAAGATCAGAAAACCAAGCACGTGACACATGACACATCCCCTCAGTCTACGAGATCAAAAGATCCCGCACGCTCATTCCCTTTCTCCTCTGGGAGTCGACACTCATCCGGCCGTCTTCTGATGTTGCCAGAGCGGTGCTGCCAGAGAAGTGCTCGCTGATCGAGTCTGCCGTACCACGGCGGTCTCGTGTCAACATCAGCAGGGCAGCTGATGCTTCGTGGTCAATGCCTTGAAGTTCATGAAGTTTATCCATGGACGGGTAGCTAGGACCCAGAGCAGGACTAGGCAGAATTGAGGGGGCTTCTGGGAGAGTGTGGACGGAGGGCATCCTCGTGCGGGGAGAAAATGACGGGGATGCGTCATAGATGTGTGTGTTGGGGGGTAGGATTTCTGAGGAAGCGACAGAGGAAGCGGAGGAGTAGTATGTAGAAGAAGGAGGACGTTGGGGTGCTTGGTACATGATCGTGTCTGTACCAGTTTCGGCAATGAAATCTGGGGAGGTGGGAGATGGAGGTGCGGCTGTTGGGGGGGCACCGCCGGTAGATTTGAGATCCTGGATACATTTTTCCAGATAGTTGACGTAGTCGATGCTGGCCTGGGGAGATTGTTGAATTGGGATTCTCATGTGAGAGGAGAAGGGACATGGTATAGAAGAACGTACCTGAAGAATTGCCAGTTTGTGCATCTCCTGGCCCCGACAGGCGGGAATCATATCCTTCAGAGTTCCAAACTCCTCATTCATCTTGGACCGGCGCCGGCGCTCAATCAAACTATGGGCAGTCTTGCGTGCAATCTTGCGGCCAGCAGCACTGGTCGCACTTGGCTGTTTCTTCTTAGAGGCAATAGCATTGGCGGGCTCGGATACAGTCTGAGTTGCTCCTTTCGCAGATTCCTTGGGCTTTGCAGGAGACTTGGAAGTTGCGGGCGATTTGGGCTTCATCTGGATGATTTTGCGAGTGCGAGTCGGTGGTGGAGGAAGATCCAGATCCTCTAGTGGTCGCTTGGTAGCAGTTCCCGACCGAGCATGTTGGGATGAGCGTCCGCGAGCAGTGAGCTCGGGGGATGTCGGGGAAGCGGGGACGTAAGTTGGGTCTGACCGCGAGGAGCGTCGGCTGGCCGAGTCCCCCTTGGCGGGACTCAGAGCTGCCGGGGGTAGAGCAAAGGCATCGGAGCCGTCCACGGGCTGATCCTTGATGATCAGTTCACCGGACATGGCTGGTGTAGGCGGAAAGCGGGATCGAGACATCAGGGGAGGAATGAAGAAGGGGCGAAGAAAGATAAGGATGGGGAGGAAAGTTACACGCTCCGTACCAGCGAGAAACAAGCAGAGGAATCGACATGATTATAAGGTCGAGTTGGTGGTATGAAGGCGGATTGTCCCTATAGAAAGCTGGTGTCGCGTGCTTTGCGCCCACGAGCCGCAACGGGGCGCGCTGATTGGCGGGGGATCCCCGTGGGCCAAGGGGCGACGGGCATTTGCTGGTTGCTGCTTGTGGGGCTAAGAGCTTATCACCAGTAGAATCGGCCAAGGGTACTTGGGGAGTACATCCAGCACATGCGGGAATGCTCAACCACCGTAAGTACCCCCCGAAGCACTCCCGAGTACCTCCACCCCGTCTCTCCCTCCTCCGATCCAGAGTGGTAGCCCAGCACGTGCGCCCTGGACTCGCAGGCAATTGCTGGTGCTCACACACGGACGACCAAACGAGTATCTGTGGAGGGATCGTCGAGGTTTACGTTTGCGTGGGGGACTCGACCAACATACTTTCCCCTCCCTCCACCTCGCCATAGTCTTTTGTGTTCCTCCCAGAACCCTGAGAACCATGGGATACACCTTCCATGACACCATTACGAAGAAGATGATTCGGAACCGTACCCAGCAACATTGATTCGTTGGGATCGTAATGCGACCCTGACCGGAGCTGGCACATGTGTTCGTTCCTTCTTATTTTCGCTCTCGTGTCTTTAAACCGCCCACGTGCCAACTCTAAAATTGATCTTGTCATTACCATCCGTTGTAACTAAGCACGATTCTTCCTGACCCCTCGTTACTTATTATAACAGTCTGGACCAAAGGGGGAACCTAGAAGGCGGGGGAAGAATACATGATTACTAAGACTGCCCGATCCCACCCCAAGTTAGGCATTCATACTTAGCATTCTCTGGTTCGTTTAAGATGAAAATGCGAAGTCATAAATCAAGCCGTTAGATTCCCGTCGAGAGAATTTCATTTAATCCTAATGTATCTATCCGCTCTGATTTACACAAGCCTATAGGAGTAGGAACAGTCAATAACAACGCAGTATTAAGTAAGACAGGATAGTTCATGATATAACCGAGATTTATAGACAAAACTTCCTCGAAATCATAGCAAAATGACCAAAGTAGGTGGTGCTTATATATTGAGTAGGAGTAGAATACTAGGCAGATCTTATGTTTGCTCTAGTCAAGTTACCTCGAAGCCTAGACATTTTGCCCTAAAATTTCTTACTCCGCAGTAGGTAACTCATCCTATTATCACTGGCTGGAAATTCGAGGCGAGTGGTAGTAGGCCGCGTGTTTGCTCTGCAAATGAAACTCATGCGGTTATGACCTCAGGCAATCACAAAGTCTTTAATGCAGGGAAGCCTCTTCCTAAACTGGAAAATGTCGACGATCTGAAGGCCGCTCTTGCTGTGGTTGGGGTTATTTGATTTGTTCTATTACTGCCCCTTTTATCTCCTATCCCAAGTTTCTTTCCATCGTATTTCAGTGTCTATCGTCTATGCTAAATCCGTAAACCTTGTAGCCGGGTTGATTAACAGCCCATCTAGATCACGTATGTTATATGCTCCACTTTCATCATCCCGAATAGGTACTGGCTCCGGCTCATTTGCGAGACGACTTGTGAAGCCACGAGATAGCAGTAGTCCCATAATTCTTGCTGCTTTAATGGCTCTAATTGTGTTATTGCGTAACCCTCTAGCTTCAAATCTGAAAGTGCTCCAGAATATATATCCTCCAAAACGACGTAATCGTCATACCGGACCTAGCCTTTCTTAAGATGGACCTTACTTATCAGTCGCTAGTGAGAAAAGAGATTCAAGCCAAATGGTGCAATCTCTGCTTCGGCCTAATCCACAACCCTAATAAGATTGCAAGACATTTTGTTAACAATAATATTGCAGACACCAGAGTCTTTGTGGACTAGTACTATAGGAAGAGAAAAAATGGTGGGTAATGAGTGAGAGACTCCTGGATTAATGGGAGGAAGCGATCTGGGAGAGAAGCAAGCAACGAATTTAGCTTAGTTTTATATCGACTGTACAAGTCGTCGCGGTACGTTTAACCAACATCTTGAGGACGTTTCCACGAAAGGGCAAAGAATCTAACAGGGCGGTCAATTAGCAATTCGGTGTATTTGGAACGAGAACACTAAGCATACTTCGCAAGGTCAATTACAAGATTCTTGCGCTATGAAGAAAACTCGGGCAAGCTTTCGGGCACTTGGCTATTATGTGTAAGGATAAAATCCAAGTAACTAATGCCTCGGAGTCGACTCATGACGTAGATGGAAAGGGCTTCTTTGCTCTTTATAGCTACTCCAATCTGTCCCATAAAAGTCACTTCAGGTGCAAAGTAGCTGTAGATGCTGCGAGTAAGTTTCGCAGTCTCCATACTTAGTTGGAGGGACGCAAGGCGCAATTGCACGACGAATTCGGTATTGTTCCCCGCATAGACGGTATAGCTGCACACGACCTGCACAGCCACCGGAACGATGTTTCCACCAACATGCTTCCTCGCAAAGTTATCACAGGCTGAGCGAGTGACTGTCGTCTTCGCGAAGAAATTTGCAATTTCTTGGTCAACAGAGTATGCGAGGTCACTGGTAGCCATAGTGGGCACAGGTTGCTTTGTTCAATATGATGAATTATGAAGCCAGAGGTTGTAGCTGAGGTGAGGCAAGGAGGAATGGTATCCGTATTATATACCCCTATTCAGAAGGGCCGACTAAGTTGTCAGGTGATAGAACATCAACACGTAGACACTTGAAATTTCTGCCACAATGTAGTGTCGTCTGTCGGAACAACAGCAGCAGTGGAGAACGGAGAGCGGAAATATTATCTCCCATTTAGATTAGTCGTTATTATGCCCACATAACTAACTCAGTTGAATTGCCAGCTAGGGGCATTATAACAATTCAGACTGGTTGATTTCCAATTGGTGCGTAGTAAGATTTACTAAGCAGTATTTCCTCAGTCGAATTGCGTGTCCCTTCCAGAAGGCCGAGCCTTCGCTATCTACTTGTTCCTTGTCCGGAATTAAGCTTGAGATACCCAACACGTAGCGGTTGAAATCAAGGTCATTCCATTGTGTTCCCATCGGGAGTGACTTGTTTAGTTACGAGAGGTGAGATTCTTGTAGGCCTTTGCTCGATTCTAGCCTCCCGGCTATAAGAGAATTATATGAAGAGATTAATTTGAGATATAGATTATCAAATTCCCATATTATCATTGACATCAATCATTTTATCACTTATTTACCTCACACTAAATTCACATAACTTCCAGTACCTGGTGATCTCTTCTCACTGGAAATCATCAGGTCGGCATCGTTCAATACACCGCAGATACGTTTGCCAGCTAAAATCAAATCAGCACCTTTGTAATCCACGAATATCCAGAATTCAGATTGTCCTACTTACCAGAACTTATCATCATCCGGCACGGCAACGTTACAAGTCTGCGCCTCCAAAGAGCACAACTCCGAACAGTGGTTGATGTGCTTGATATGATTGGGGAGACTGGCCGAGCCCTGAGTTTTGGAGGAATGGAGTGTGCCATTGCTCTTGCTTGGGGTTCCCGTCGTCAAAGGCTTCTTCACTGGCGTGCCGGTAGTTGTTGCTATGTGAGAAGTCGTGACGTTGATGGGGACGTGGATTGCGAGAGGTTGGCCGTTGTGTGGACGGGCGAATCTGGGCATCGCGGTGGCGGAACCGGCTAGACCGACTAAGCAGAGGCCGAGAATGCTTGTGAGCTGCATGATGGAAGGAAAAGATGTGGAGAATTGCTTCTGAGGGAATCGATGATCTTGTTGATCTAACTCGGAGAATTGATCGGATGTTGATCAGGATCTGGAGGTGGAGATTGATGCTAGGAGGTATAGAAGATCGACCACAGGGCCTTGATGGTTTATATAATGGGCGTGTAGGCTTTCCTGTGGCTGGTATCTGGTTCTCCATGAGCTTGAAAACCTCCTCTGGGACTGTACGGCGTTAGTATGGGCCCTATCGTGGACAATGACACGGCCGATCACCTGGGTATGGCATTCCACATTCCTGCAGTAGGCGGGGAATCTTCTGGTCTCTATCCACTATAGAGTGAAATTTGCTGATTAATTAATTCATTCTTCTGAGTTGCTGCAGCTGATGGTAGAAAATATATTTATAGTGTTGCAGGACTGACTGACTGATCTTCTACGTTGCCACTATCAAAGAAAATAAGGAGGGTCAAGTTGTATACAAAGACGGGAGTCGCGCTCAACTTACATTCCAGACAGGCATGCCTCCACTCCATAGCCCAATCAGCATTAAGCATCATAGATCAAGCACGAAACTGGCTTTGTGCAAGTGCCGAGTAGCGTGCTTGAGTTTGTGGATCCATTTCAATATGACAGGGAGTTTTATTCAGATGTGGTACCCAGCCCCCGGGATAACCATGGCATTTCTTAAATACCTGCGGCGGGCTAGAAGATATTCCCGGCTGGGCAGTCATCCAAGCGGGGAAAGCTATGCTCCAGTGATCGCCCCCGCCCTGGTGAATAAGGTCAAGAAGACACGATCTATATTCGTCATCATCAAGTTCTAGCTAGCAATCTAGCTAAAGGTCAAATAAAACTTCAATTGAAGAGCTTCTCGATAATGAGCCTTCCGAACGTCTTCTCCACAGGCGACGCGTCCATCCGATAAATACGGTTACCAGCACGCTGGCTCAACCAAAGGCCGTGGTCACTCGAGCTTTCCTCGTCACCCTCGATCGGGTACCTGTTACGCCGGTCAACGACGCACATACCACGGGTCCATTGGCCCGTCGTCTCGATACGAATATCCTCAGGAGAAGTGGCCGTGGGCGCCCAGCGCGGGTCCTCGGATGTCAAAGCGTACCAGACGCAGACCGGATCGTGCAGACTGAGTTCGGCATCGTCGCCCACGTGGCCTTGGTGCAGTCTTTCCAGGGTTTGGAAAGTGTGTGCCATAAAAGCGGAGACCCATTCGGCCAAGGGAGAGCCGGCCTCGACGAGGGGGGTTACGGCGGTGCGGAACTCGCCCCGGGAGAGGTTGTGCCGCAGAGTGATGTCCAGTGGGAACAAGCGGAGGGTCAATTGACGACTCAGCTTGGCTGGGTATGGTGGGAGCAGAGAGGTCTTGCTAGACGGCAGAGTCGAGTTGGGGTTAGGCGATGTGAGGGCAAATACCCGTGCGGCGGCAAATGCATCCGCATAGGCATTGAATTCACCGACTGGGGTGACCTACAATACAGATCAGAGGTAAGATCATACTGGGACCATTTAGGTTCAACTCACATTGCCGGGCTCGTTCACCGCACCGCCCATAACAACAACCTCCTTTGCCCGAAGGAAGGTCTCGGGATCCTCGGCGGATGCCAAAGCCAAGTTGGTGAGTGGGCCGACGGCAACCAAAGTCACCGTGTTCGATTCATTCTCACGCAACACCCGCAAGATTTCCTTGTGAGCAGGCAGCCTGGATGGAATGAAGGAGTGGTCCTCGAGGTCAGCGCCAGTCTTGACGGTCTCGATACCTTGGGGATCAACCGCCGGGTCGAACAGGTGCTCCCAAGTCTGACTAGGAGTGAGGTGGGGGTGCTATACACATCAGTTAGTTCATTTCCTGTGACATGAATGCACAACTCTGTGCAAATTGGGGATGTAGCCATACACTAGCATGGATGCCGCCGAGTCCATCCGTTCCATCTGCGGGGTAAGCATTAGAAATCGATTGGACCAGGAAGGTAATGGAGATAGCAAAACAAAAAGAATCACATACGGAAGTAATCAGCCAGCATCTTCTGGTCCTCTAGCGGTTCCTCTGCACCAACGGCGACAACGGGACGGAACGCACGCATAGCCCCAAAACCTTCAGGGCGGCCATTCTCGCGACGCCATTGGATCTCACGCTCGAGGATGTGGAACATAGAAACCACATTACGTAGACAGCTAATAGCAATTTATTTAGATATTTGCGTTCCTGCTTTATTGCACTTGATTGCAGGCAGTCTTACCTCTTCACCTCAATATTGCCAAATGTCAACGAGATAAGCAGCAGCTCGACCTCTTCTGGCTGGGCGGACAAGGCCAGCAGCAGGGCGAGGATGTCATCGATGCCCTAGAGATGTCAATATCCGGTCACGATTCCCCTGTCTATAGAGGAGATGAGCTTACGGGATCCGTATCAATGATGATCTTTTTGCGAGCCATGGTGGGATATGTTGATTTACTCGGATGGTGGAAGTGGGAAAGAACGCTTATCACCGGTGGAAACAAACTTGCCCGCCGTTATCGCCAGGGCTGCTTCCTGAGGCATTAGCCCCACCCGTATCTTTAACGTGACTAGCGGCTCTACACGGAGGCACAGTTGGCCCCGGTCTAAATCACGCTGCTAATATCCCCGCACCCGAATAGATAAAAGGAAAGTACATATTTTCTGGGTTGTGAAAGAACATATATGGTATCACTTACAATGTTCGTGTTGTAAACTCGAGAATAGAAAAGGCCAATCGGTCAGTTTCTAGCCACCCGTCATCTTGCATATGTTGTGCGTATAGGCAGTACGGTACTCCGCAGTGCATGATGCACAGAGAGAATCAGGGGCTCCGGAAAAATACACTTCGTCACAATAAGACAACCTGAGATAAGTCTAAGAAAGTGAAATAGGGGATCATCCATGACTATAGGACGATTTACTTCGAGTAAACCCTTAGGGTTAATCGACCTCGAAACTTTCCGGTTTGGTTGTTTTGGTGTTGCTAGGAATCTTATCGAAGCATGATGGAAGAGATAAGGAAACATTTCGACCTTTTCAATGGTTTCGTGAATCGAACGACGCGGGAGCACGTGAGCTCCACTCCCATCGTATACAAGGTGTCTAGTACGACTAGTTGTATCTACCTTGTATATATGTACTGTGCTCCATACTATATATCAATGTCTGACAGATCCTGAAGAGATAGTTCGAGCCCTCTGCAGTGAACAGATATGGCTTGACATGAATACCGTCGGCACTTCCTTTCCACCCCTCGTGGTGGGGGCGTGAGGGGGGGCTGCAAGGGGCAGGGGGATTTCCTGCCGGATCGACGCGAGAGCTACCGGTGGGCGGAGTATGGACGGTGAGTGGACGAACAAAAGAGATTCGTCGTCACGTCCAGGGGTCACTGGGCTGGTTTAATTTCAGGGTGCAGAAAGCAGGACCTGTGTACGTTGTAGCATGTACTCGGAGCAGCCTGTAGGATGTATAAAACCCAATAAGATGCATATATTATGGGGACGCCCAGCGGAGTGGAAATGAGACAGAATCGGTGGAGGAGACGTGGCCTGTTCACAGTTCCCCCCCCCCCAGTTGTAGCTTTCCAACTCTCCACACCCGTGGCTGGATTCGGAGCTCTGAGCTTTCTCAGGGCCAGTCTGGTTAATTCTCGGTAGCGCTAGTCAATTAACTCCGTAGTCCACTAGGGAATCAGGGGACAGGTTATTCCGGTGGTTGGTGGGTGAGTCCCGGATCACCCCAGGGGAGCGAGTCTGGGCGGGTATTTTATTTTACCAGCGGTGTACCGAGTATCACAGACAAGGACGTAGATGTATATGGTCAAGGACTGGGTGATATTGGGCAATCTTGAAGCTATTATAGAAGGTCAAAATGCATCTAAACTTTGCGTTCGATCTACCGTATCTTGACAAGGAATCTTTTAATCTTTTTCGTCCATATTTCAAAATTCTGTCGCTCAGTAACCTTCAAGCGAGCAGTATTCAGCCCCGTCCCCATCAAAGGACCCATACGCCACCGTAACTGGGATTACCCGGCAGTACAGTACCGTCGAATGGTTCAGCGTGTCCTTTTCCACTCCACCACCTCCTTCCTCTTCTTCTCCTGTCCCTCAAACGTTCCTTTGGCGCTGCATTTCTTTTCCTTTCTTTCCCAACGCTCTTCGCTCTCCGCGCAGCTCCGGTATCTATGCCATCTGCCTTCTGAGCACAGCTTCTTGCGTGATCTTCCTCTCTCGCCTCCCCGTCCGAGCGCAATCCACCCCCAATTTCCCCAATTGAGCGTGGCCTCCTCGGATCCCCGTCTCCCCGACATACTCGCCCATCTCTGATCGCAAACGACCTGAGTTTGGCTTGTGAGCTGTGTCCTCTCTAGCAGTGCAATTAACTGCCCGATTGCACCTTGCCGACCCATGCTTCAGCGCCCCGACAACTTCGATGTTTGACCGAACACTCTGAATCTCCCCCTCGAACCCCTCTCCGACACCCGCTCCCCTTTTCCACCGTCGCGGCGTATCATCAATTCGCCGTACAGTTGCGCGCGTGCCGACGGCCTTCTCCGTGAATCTTTGTCCCAATCTTTTGGAACTTGTCACCCGCGCGGGCCACTAGAACACCTACTACCCTTGACTTTTCTACCTGAACGACTTCTCTCTCAATCGTACGTTCTACACCCACCTTGTATTCTGCATTCAGATGCTGTGGGTGGCGGGCATGGTTGACAGACACTGACGCTGACCTCTGCAATAGCTCCATGACCATGAACCCCTATCTCAGCTGGGCCATCCTGCTCGTGGTAGCAGGTGGCCTGGGCTGGTACTACACCAATGGCTCAGTCCCGAAGGCCAAGACAGCAGTCCGAACTGCCGTAGAGAAAACGGAGGCCGTGGTAGCTCCCAAAAAGCAAAAGCGCAAGCCCAAAACACCCGAGCCGGCTGTGGCCAAGAAGCCCGAGGTGAAGACTGTGGTCTCCCCCCCGACCACCGAGGATGACCAGCCGGATGAGGATGTTGACCGTAAGGAGATGGCTCGCCGCCTAGCTGCCATCAAGAACGGCGCCTCCCCCGCTCTGGCACCATCTTCCAAGAGCCAGAAGAAGAAGGCAAAAAAGGCCACTCAGCTCGAGAGCGGCTCCCACGCCTCCTCTACTACCGGCGCCGACGCAGATGACGACCTCTCCCCCGCTGCCTCCCCCGAGGTCAACGCCACCATCCCATCCGCTGGATACGTTTCAGACATGCTGGAGGCCCCCGCGCCTAGTGCCTCCGTCCTCCGTGTGACCGGCAACATCGAGTCTGAGCCCAAGAAGCAAAAGGTGCAGAACTTCAAGCAGGTGGAGACTAAGAAACAGCGTCAGAACCGCCTCAAGAATGAGGCGCGCAAGCAACAGGTCCAGGAGGCTGAGGAGCAGCGCCGGAAACTGTTGGAGAAGCAGCTGCACACCGCTCGCGACCTCGAGCGCCAGGAGGCTGCTCGTTCCAAGCCGCCCACCACCAACGCCTGGCAGACTCAGGGCGCCAAGCCTGCAGTCAACGGCTCTTCCCAGCCTGCCCCGGCTGCTGCTCCTGCTGCAGCTCCTGCTGCTGCGGCGCCCGTGCAGCTCCTCGACACCTTTGAGCCCTCCGCCGCTGCCCCTGCCCTGAAGAAGTGGGACCAGAACCTGCCCTCTGAGGAGGAGCAGCTCCGTATCCTGGGAGCCTCCGGCGTTGACGATGATTGGACTACCGTCTCTAGCAAGAAGGTCAACAAGAAGAAGGGTGGCAAGGCTGACGAGAGCGTTAGCGAGGCCAGCGCTTCCGAGTCCCAGCCCGCTCCCGTGGCTCCTGTCCCCGTTGAGCCTCGTGTGACTGTGACCCCTACCTATCTTCCTGACATTCTCCGCTCTCGGGAGAAGGGCCACCCGCTGGACTCGGACTGGGCCGCTTGAACGAGCTCCTCCAACCCTTCCACTTTCGTCTATATGACATTTTTTTTTCTCCCTCCCACTTTCGACCTTGTACCTATTACTCACTGACTTGGCTTTGGCGTTTCGGAGGTGTGGCCCACAATTTCCGCCTTGGACTCCCCAGCTTCACCCCTTTTGTATTTCGGGGTGGGCACGATTGGCTCTCGCGCTCATCGTGGTGAAATCGCCGCTCTCCCTCGGCGGGGTCGCGCGAGGGGAGCGCAAAAGCACACTTGGGGCATCTTGTCTTCCCTTTTTTTTTCTCTCTATTTTCGACTGTATCACAATGGAAGCATGCTTTGTAGCATTTGATTGAGAACTGTTGATCGAGTAGAGAATGTAGAAGAATGTTGTATAGAATGTGCCCATGTTTGGGTTTTGGTTTCCGTTGTCGTCACAGTCGCCCAATCGGGACTAGCGTTGAGTTCCGGGCATCGTGGCCTGAAGAGGACCGCTTTGTATACCTCGACTCCACCTTGTATTTACTCCCTCGGATCTCTCCCTCCCTGCACCGACCTTCGACCTTCTCCAACCCTCTCACAGGCTCCAATTTACTCTCGAATTTCAAAACCTCCCCTCCTTTCCGATTCCATTCGCCATGGCTCAAATCCGTGGCACCGCGGGCTACAACCTCGGCCACCAGAACCCGTTCGGCGGACCCGGCAGCGCAGATGCTACCAACGACCCTAGCCCGCTCGATGCGATCCGCGAGCAGACTAGCAAGATTGAAGACTGGTTGGATTCATTGGCAGACCCCGTCAAGCCGTACGTGAGCTCCTGGATCTAATATGGGCTCAACACGGCTGTCCTGTTGCTGTTCGCCCAGCTTCCCCGGCCACCCCGAAACCCAGCTGTTCCCCCCCCCCCCCAAACAAGGGATCTTCAGGCATGCACTGACACCGTGTTCTCTTACTCTGCAGGTACCTCCCTGCGATCGGCCGGTTCCTGATTGTGGTTACGTTTATCGAGGACTCGCTACGTATTCTTACACAATGGGGCGACCAGCTAACCTACCTTCGTGACTTCCGCAAGAGTAAGAAACCCTGAATTCGTACCTCGGACCCTGAATTTCGTCCCGCACGAGCTTCCCCCGGTGGCTTGTGGGCAGCTTGCGCCCTCCAACAAATCAACCAATCCATACTCACAGCACGACAATTTTATCTAACTCGTCTTCGTTGGTTATAGTTCCCTGGGGAATTACGCACATGTTCCTCATCACCAATGTCATCGCCATGTCCGTCTGTTCGGTCCTAGTCATCGCCCGCAAGCGCACCGAGTACGCCGTGGCCGGTTTGTTGGCCGTGGTTATCACCCAAGGACTGGGATACGGCCTCATCTTCGACCTAAACTTCTTCCTACGCAACCTCAGTGTCGTCGGCGGTCTGCTGATGGTGCTGTCGGACTCATGGGTGCGCAAGAAGTTCGTGCCCGCCGGCCTGCCCCAACTCGACGAAAAGGACCGCAAGATGTATGTGCAGTTCGCTGGGCGTGTGCTACTGATCTTCCTGTTCATCGGATTCGTCTTCTCCGGTCAGTGGAGCTTCTGGCGCGTCCTGGTTAGCTTGTTCGGTCTAGTCGCCTGCGTGATGGTCATTGTCGGCTTCAAGGCCAAGTGGAGCGCCATTATTTTGGTGGTGTTGCTGAGCGTTTTCAATGTGCTGGTCAACAACTTCTGGACGGTAAGATTGGGATGTCCTTAATTTGGGGTTTGGAATCTGTCTCAGATTGACTGACTATGAAACAGCTGCACCCCCACCACCCACACAAGGACTTTGCCAAGTACGACTTTTTCCAAATCTTGTCAATTGTGTAAGTCTCCTGTTCTGTTGAAGCTATTTTTATTCAGTCTTCTAATTTTTGGGATTAGTGGTGGTCTCCTTCTCTTAGTCAACATGGGCCCCGGTCAGTTGAGCATGGACGAGAAGAAGAAGGTCTACTAGTGTGGAGTAGAGAAAGACACTTATACCGCTCTCTATATATCCCACGGGCTGTTACATCCCGCAATTAGTGGAGATTTGGAAAGATCAGATATGGAAGATGTCAAAAAAAGCTGGCTCTCATCTTACCTCCCAGTCTTGCCCGCAAAGCAAACTACACGCACCACCTCTGCAAAACCCGCGCGAGGAGGTTAGTCGATCACTCTTGTACTGCAATCTTTCCTTTGCCATTCGGATTTGCCTAGAGCCCCCCATCAAAGTCACATCTCTCTCCCACAGTTCTGCATGACTTGTCTCTCTGATTTTCTCTCTTTTTCCTTGTGTTGCCAGTTTCCTCCTCATACCACTAGGGACTGGATCAAATTGGTGTTCCATCATGCTCCCCGCCATATTCTTTTCTTCCGGGCCGTTCTGCATTTTTCCTTTATTTTCCCCCCGCAAAAAGAATATGTCCCTTGCATGCGATGGTTACAAGTCATCGTCATGGACTACTGCCGAATCTATCATGAATGATAAGTTGCATTGAAGTCATGAGTTTATTTATTCTTCTGAGCTCTGTCGAGCTGCGTATGATTATTAGGCGCGCCTCTGTATTAGGGCTCCGCTGGGTAAAGACGCCTACCCACTTGTTCTATTTACGTGTTACGGCTCGTGCCCAGGCATACTAGCTGCATAGGCCGAATGACTCAATATGACGGAGCTTATGGGTTGTCCTATTACGCAGCGCATATCACGTTGGGGGGCGACGAAGCCCTGACACATGATTTCGAGTATTCTGGAAAATTTCGGCAATCAATGATCTACTTATTCAAAAAAAATTGTGTTGGGTATATATTTCTGTTAGGACTTGGACTTTTGTAGGGTATCTGTAGTTTATGCTTTCCTAATGTAGCTAGAAGGGTCCTGAATGCATCCATCCATAGGAAGATATATTTCTGGCATGCCCTGGAAACCGGACAGCCTTCAGTACTAGCTTTAAAATCTCTACAGTGTCAATTAACATAGAGCCTAAGTTATTCCAAAAAAATCCAATTTCAATGATCCATCATGCGATGTATGCGCTATGTATGTACCCAAGGCGGTGGAAAGTGATTATGATACAAGAGGAGAAAAGAAGGGGGTCGAGGGGGATCTAGTGGGTAATCAATCAAAGGAGGGTGACGAGAAGCTGCAAGGCAAAGATAAAACGGATATACCGATAACAATAGGGTGAACGATAAGAGTAAGGAGAAGAATAATCTCGGTATGCTGGAGATACGCTTAAGAAGGAATGACTGGGATGGGTGGTAGTAAAGAATAAGGAATGGAAAAGAGTAAAGTAGTGTTCTTTCGCCGCACTGTGCAGTCCAATCAGAACTATTCGTTGCGATTGATCGCTTTTGGGGGCATCTGGTCCAGCCGTGCGCTTGAGCCCAATGGAGGAATGGTCTGTTGGAGTGGGGGGTGAAAGGGAGAGAAAACCAAATGATAATCCAGGAATGCGCTGTGACTTTTCGCTCGAATATAACGCCTTGGTGCCGGAGAAAAATCCAAAGAGGTCGAATGGGGGGAGGAGGTGGGTGGTCGGAGAGTATGAGGTTGACAGGTTAGGTCAGGTTCAAAGTTGCGGGTGGAAGGATGATGATGAGGTGAATAAGGATGGGAAAATGGAGGGCGCTTCTCATATATCCATGCTCCAGCGCCATGGGCGAACGTTTTCTAGCTGGCCGACACCAAATTCGTCTCGATCATCGTTGATCTCCAATTGCAGCAGGTGGACCTTGTGCTTGTTGCCATCGCCGCGTTGCAAGGTAGACAACGTCTTTGAGATCTGTGGACGAGGTGCCTTGATGCTGCCTTCGGTGGAGTTGGAAGCCGGCCGTGTCGTCGGGGTCTCGGGATACCTCCATGAAGTGCTGAAGGATTGATCGTCGGCCACGGAGGACATGGAGTCGGATCGAGAATCCCGAAGTCGATCAAAGTCGTCGTGAATAGCACTCTCATAGCTTGCCCGGACGCGTGTTGTGGATGGTCGACGAGGTAATTGTTGCTGCATTGCGGTCGTATCCACCATACCGTCTTCAGTCTCCTTGCTGATGTGTTCGGGCTCCTCTTCATGGATGGGGTTACCCCTGACTGTGCGGGATGGCCAATCATTGAAGCCACCCATACTGTCCCGAGGAGACGACATATCGAATGGTTCTTTTCCAGCCATGACCTTTGCACTAGGTGGCGGCTGGAGCATCCATCTGGTTTCGGCGCGGCTGCGGGGCCCACTCACGATAGGCGGATGTAGATCATTGACAGGGGGGACATGCCCTGCATAATACTTGGGCGGCTCCTGATGATCGGTGCGACCGCGACCTGAAAACCCAATCGACGAGCCTCGAACTTCCTGACCCCAGAGAGGTTCGTCTTCACGCTGGTATCGCATAGATTTCCATCGGTCGTTTAGAGGTTGCATGAGGCCACTACTCTTATCCTTCTTCAACTCCGAGCTTCGATCCGTATTCCAGCTGTTCGTCCTCGCATTGTTGCGATTTCCACCTCGACGAGTCGGAGGTCCCGGTCCTAATGATATCTCTTCGGTCCATCCGTCGTTGGTGCTAAACGCGGTCGGCTGCGGAAACGGCCGGGGTTGATCGGTAACGAGGTCGGCGGCGGCTTTCTCATTGAGACGCTGGATTCGTGCAGCATCCTTCTTGCGCTTCCTCCGGTCGATGCTCATGGCACATGGTGTGCAAGTCGCGTAGTAGAAGACCGCGGACTGCGCGCCCCGATAGAGCCACATCGCCGACGCGGGGGAGGGGAATTTTAACCCTTTCTTTTATGTTTTGTAACGATGCCCTTTTGTGTGGTACTTTCTGTTGGCGATATAGTCCGGACACGCTCACAACGGGGTCTCAGCCCGGGAGAAGTGTCGAGTCGAGCCCGGTATTGGATCTTTGTTTGGTCGTGATACGAGAGTCCACATGAAGGGCTGAGGTAAATCGAGGATAGTAGGGGGGGGGGGGGGCGGCGGACGGAAGGGTTGAGTGGCGCAGGTAGAGTCGTAAGAAATTGGACACCCAACGACCAGCGGAGGGGGTTTGTGGTTGAACGTAGAGAGAAAAGAGGGTAGAAGGTAAAAGAGTAAGAGAGTAAGAGGGGAAGAGAATGAGGGTAAGGGTGTGGCAGGGGGGTGGGAGGATTCAGGATGAAACGGTCAGGAGTAGATTCTGAGGGGAACGGGCTACCTTGGGCATGGTATTGTGTACTGTGATTACGGGTAATATATTGGGGAAGTGGTGACGAGTAGAGATGCGGGAGTCTCCGCCCGAAATTGGCAGTAAACCGGGTGCCTAGCACAAGTCCATCCCTCCATACTATTCGTATCGTACATACACCGCCACCCATGGTTCCCCCAGGTACTTCCCATACTACCGTGACTTTTGGTACCCGACCTAGGCTAAGGACTCCAGTACACCTAGTCTGTATCCTATACGGAGTATGGAGTACAGTACACTATTATTGACTATATATGATGATCCTGTTTGCGGTTGGGCCTATCCAGACACTCAGTCTCAAGGTTTCTGACTGGTTCTTGCATTCGAATTGCGTCAATTCTACGTCTTACTAGACCCATCCCACTTGGATATCCTCAAGTAACTCAATTGACCATTAGTGATGAGTATTACCGAACATGTCGGCCTGACTAACCCATTTTTCAATTTCCAACCAACTAATCTACTACCAACCGGCGAATTGACCGCAACGAGATCCCCTCACGACCGGTTGGCGCCAAGAACCCGCATAGCGCTACTGTACGATTCATGCGATCGGGCAACACAACTATCAGCTCGACCGGCCGGATCTCAAATCCTATATCCTGTCTGGAAACCCCTCTCCTCGAGCGGGATCTCTCTCAATATTTCCATATATTGGAGGAACTACAGAATTATACCGTTCCCCCCCTATATGGAGAACTTGATGTTCAGATTGGGCTTGGCATCAATCCTGCGTCCCGCGTGTGGGGGCGCTTGCGCCGCAAACGGGATGGAAAGGGGCTGGAGAGTTTGTAATTGTACTAACTTAGTTGACAGAAATGCTATGTAAGCGTGCAATACTTTCCTGGTGGGTAATACATTACGAGATAATCTATTCTTGTGTATTTTAGACCACGTCCTGTGCTCCGCTTATGTCGTGTCATTCTAGCGCCGTCTTACTTGGGCCCCAATGTACTGTTGCAGGCCTCGTATCAGGCTTAGCTGTGAGCTGTCAGGCCTGGCTTTCCACAGAAGATACTATCAGTTCCATCCACATTTACTGCCTATACTGTAAAGGGAACGAATACCCCGCTGTGTGCGGTGAGTTGAGTTTATACCCCTGGTCTGTAGTGAGAATGCATTACATGATCTACATTGAGTCAAGAATTCATAGTCCGAGAGTACAACCAACCAAGGCTCTTGACAGGAAGCTGGGCAAGCAGTATTAATGCGTAAGTACAAAGTATTCCCATACTTCGGGGTACACGTATCTTCGAGATTCCTCAAAAAGAGCCCCATTCCACACCCGGAGTGTCGTTCTTCGCCCCATTTTGAAGAACCAAAGAATGTGCCCCTCGCAAACTCCCACAGGCTTGAATGAGTGATCTTGTCTCCAGGATTGAACCAATTGAATCCGCCTTTGTCTATGCCGTTGTTCGCCTTTACCCCGTGCCCAAAGCCCCAATGTACCGTAGATCCCCGCAAGCATGTAGCCAACCGCGTGAATACCGAGCTCCAGGAGCCTGGGACAGGGCATCATCCCACATGTGAAGTCGTCTTGTAGATCTTCGGGCCGTTGAATCATGTCCAAATCAAATGCTTGCTTCGGTCGTCGCCAACGAGTTGCTTGTCGTCTGCTTGTGACCGGACAGGCCAGGCGCAGCCTAGTAATACGAACATGAAACAAAGGGAGTCGGGTATAGGCGAGACGAAGTTGGCCGTCTGTCGGAGAGGGACAGGACAAATGAAAGATACAGACATCTGTCAAGGCCCCGGCGCATGCTTCCCAAATCCCATCTCCCCGGCCCATCTCATGCAAAGTAATAGAGAGAATTTCCCAAACAACCAACGCCCGAACGCGCGCAAATCAAATCAAAAGCTCCTTATGCACAACCCGCTCATGCATTCTTCGTATCCCGAATAACCTGCCCTTTAACCTTCGACCAGTCAATATCCGCATCAATCTTCTCATCTACCTCGCCACAGACGACCACGTTATCACCCCGAATGAGGTACAGGCCATGCTCGACCTGTGCTGAGGGTTCGTCGTCGTCTGGGGTGCGGATAATGCGCTCGACCGTGTTGGTAAGGACAATATTGGTGAGCTGGTCGGTGGAGAGGAGTGTGCCGAGAAGTGTCCGGCCGTCCACGGTGAGAATCAGGACTTTTTCTGTGGTGCAGATAAGAGGATGAGTTAGTGTTCGGCGCTTGCAGCTGACGTGAGGGGAGTAGGCGTGCGACGTACTATTAATCAGGGACATAAGAGGGAGAGACATGATGGGCGGGGTTGTATGATGGTGAGATGAGGTCTCTGATACAAGAAAGCGAGATCTTCAGGTAGATTTGCCGTGCAATTGAAGCTCGAGGCACGCCTGCGCAGGTCTATACTGCGGACCGTAATGCCGATTTCGCAGGTTTCTGCAGCAAAGATCGTAGCTGTCTCTCGGCGCACTTGCTACCGGTTCGCAAGACAAGCAGGATCTCGAGATGAAGACCTATAGAGGTTGGCAGGAAAAATGGAGTCCAGGTCGAGCTTCAATGCAGCAAATGCGGTCTCTGCGTGTAAAGGTGAAGCCGAAATCCGCGACGCTCAAATGTAGGTGATGTTATCACCAGGCCGGATGTATGAGGCTGGTAGCTGTGAAGGTATTAAGGCTATCGAAATCCAAGGTCACAAGCACTGAACTGTAAGACTGAAAGCTTTTGTTTAATTGACGGTGGATTTGGCGGTGATTATCTCGGAGGTCTTTTGGGGTTGTTTGCACTGATTGGCATTGAAGGGTCACGTGCAAGAGCTAAGCTTCATGGACTATCGCATCGAGACCGACTGGCTCTTGGAATGAAATTAATCTGATATTGGACGACTCCAAGTAGATGATATGCAAGTCAATAAATACGATTATATAGAGAAATGATCCAGAAATACTCTGTTGTATCAAACAATTTATATGTATGGTAATCACTATTTGTGCACGATATCGCCCGCAATGTCCCATGCACTTAGCCACTCAACGCACTCAAATCCAACGGCACGCTGCTCCCTCGCCCAGCCCGATACCTACGTACTCCACCGATGAAAGGCCGAGGCTTGGGGAGTAGCCCGTCACCTTGAAACTTAAACCGGCTGTCGTCTATTCGGACCGGACCATGCGCAGGAGCCGCGCGCAAGGTAGGTGCAGCAGATGAGCCGCCATTGGTAAGCGTGTAAGCACTGGGATCTAGTACCGTATGAGGCTCATGTGAGACTGGGCGTGAATGAACGAGGGATGGGTGTGAGGGCGGCTCGCTTAGTGGAGGGGCGGGAGCTGAGACTGGCGGAGGCGGTGGTGGAGGAGCCGCTGGAGCAGCAGAGGGTGGTGGAGGGGGAGGAGCTGCTGGAGAACTGGCGGAGCTAAGTGCAGTGCGCGCTGCTTGGGCAGCAATTGATGCAGGAGCCCCAGATGGGGGAGGTGGTGGTGTTGGCCGACCAGGAGCAGCTGGAGGAGGTGGTGGAGCCCGGGACGAAGCAGGAGCAGGCGGGGGAGGAGGGGGAGGAGCCGCTGGGCTAGGTGATGAAGGAGGCGGCGGGGCCCCGGAAGGCTTGCGAGTTCCTGGAGGTGGTGGAGGAGCCCGAGGAGGAGGGACGTCTGGCGCGCCCTTTGCGGAGGCTGTGGAGATTGTAGATGATGGCCTTGAGGCCGGGCGTGGAGGAGGCTTCTTTAGATTGGCAATCAATGGATTGATAGCGGGAGCGGGTAGCGACTCTGAGGAAGGCGGAGGTGGTGGGCGTGCGCCAGGAGGACGAGGAGCTGAGGGAGGTTTAGGAGCTGGGGCAACTGGAGGTCGCGTGCTTTCACCCTCGGACATGTAAGGTGAATCTTTAACGGCTCCAGTGTCGACTCCACCACGACTGCGTAACTTTGGCATTCCACCTGCGAAAAGACCGCCTAGTTGCGCTACTGGGCCGCTAGCTCCTCCATCTGACCCAGATACTCCTTCGCTGTTGCTTCGCAACCGATTGGCAGCGGGACCTGACGGGACAGGTGGTGCAAGCCCTGAAGGAGCCTTCATTCCAGGCACCGGCGGCGCACCACCAACAGGTGGTGCAGTCGAACCTCCTCCCGAACTTGTGATCTGTGGTGCTGATCGATCATTGGTGACTGTTTTCTTCAACCGAGCGCCTTTATGGATATCTGATAGCAACGCGCCCTACTCTGTTGTTAGCATCTTTCGCTCGGACGGTCAAGTATATCACGGATAGCAAGCGATATGATAAAGCAAACCTACTCGACCTTTCACTTCGCCCTTGGATGGCCTAGCAGGCAGGCTTCCACCTGGGGGAGGTGGGGGAGGGCCACCTAGACCCCCGGGCGGCGGCGGCGGCGGAGGAGGCGGAGGGGGAGGGGGAGGCATGTCGATGATACTGCACGGCCAGTGACAATGCGAGAGTCGAGGTAGATGCGGTATGTAATAAAGGAAAGATATCAAAAAGGAACGAGGGTGGTCTCCTTGACCAGAAGGAGCAGTGTGTAAGGCAGAAGCAAAGACGTCAGTGCTGGGCGAGTGAACGGGCCGGGGCCAAGTCTCCGCCTTTGGAGCCTCCCTATCAGAAAAAGATGGCCGCCTGCTTCCATCGCAGCCACAGCCACCTATTGCGCGCCCCCGCAATTCGCCAATTGACATGAACCGAATTCCATTGAGGGCCCATCGGGGCACTCAGTCTCAAAGAGCTGCGATTTGCCAACTCTGCGAATTTTCCTCCTCGACATCGCGCCGAGCCCTTCCCCTCGCTCGATTTGCCGTGCACCATCAGAGTCGGGATTCAAGCAGCAGTCTCGCATTGCAACCGTCGCGACCGAATGTACCACGGCCACTAACATGCTCGGTCTCTGCCACACGGTACAAGTCACGTATAGCTTCTCGAAAAGCAGACAAGCCCGTGGAAAACGATCTGAGCCCAGAGCAGCTTTCTGGCGCGAAAGACGCTAATGGCACCAGCGAGGCCTCCCACCGTTCTCTCGAGGAACTCGTCAATATGACAACGGATTGCGAAGCAACGGCACTCGGCCTGCTAGGGTCTAGTCAAGTACCTGAAAATAAAGACGTGGAGAACGCTCTTCTTAAATGTGAAGAGACAGCTCGATCACTCTCACCATACTGGGATTTACGTGATGACAACTCGACAAGTGGTGAAGGGAATGCGATTTCCTCGCTGCTGGAGATGGAGGAAAATCAGGGATCTGCAACCCAGCGGCACGAGGTGGAAGAAGTCCTGCGCGGCCTGGCAGACCGTGTCTCGGACATCATGACACGGATCATTAAGGATGAGAAGGTATTCATCTCCCCTACAGCATTGCAGTGTTACGTCCACGCCCAGTGTATCTTGAACCGAGCGGAACACTTGCCAGAGGTCTTCCATCTCTATGCCAACAAGCCGATTCCCGAGGAGAAGAGTAGCCCACCTAAATTCCACAAGGCCAATCCAAAGGATGTGAATAGTGCCGTCTCTGCAGAACTGGCAAACCAGGCTATTGATGTCGCCATCAAGCAAAAGAATCTTTCCCTGGTGCTTGCATTGATCGACAACACCTTCTGCGCCCCGGCTTTCCATCGCGCAAAGGTCTTCCGGAAGGCTGCCGTTCCCCTGGTCGGTCTGGCTGCTGCCCCGGCCGCGTGCTTTACGCTCGCATCCTGGGCGTCGACTTTCCAAAATACCATGGATCCCAGCACGGCAACTGGTATAGCATTTGCCGCGTCACTAGCTTATGTTGCGGGCACCTCCTCGATCGGTATTCTGGCCATTACCACTGCGAATGACCAGATGAAGCGCGTTACCTGGTTGCCCGGTGTCCCCTTGCGGCATCGATGGCTGCGCGAGGAGGAGCGCGCTGCGCTGGATAAGGTCGCTTGTGCATGGGGATTCCAGGATCCATACATGCATGGAGAGGAGACGGGCGAAGAATGGGATAGTCTTCGCGAGTTTATTGGTATGCGGGGCATGATTCTGGATAAGACAGAGTTGATGGAGGGCATGCAGTAGACCAGGAACTTTTGTACTATACTGTCTGTCACCTTTACATGTTGTTACCATCATATAGCCTGAATATATTAGAGTGTAATACTGCACGCATAGCCTCTAGAAACGTTACGTGTACAACCTAGATAGTCTACCAATTACACGAGAGAATATCATTCGAGACCGTGAGATTCATATTTTCTTTTTGGTGGTCACTAAACTATGACACCCTCACTTCTCTCAAACACGAACTAGAGATCCAGCGCAACGAAGCGACGGAACATCTAGTAGACGCGCTTGGGGGGAGACATGGTAGCCTTGACGACAAGGCTACCGACGTTCTGCCAGCCCTTCTTGAGGAGGGAGACGAGGTAGTTGATGGCGAGCATCAGGTTGGCGACGAGCTCCTCCTGGGTCATGCCGACGTTGCCAACGGCAACACCGAGGCAGAGAACCTTCTTCAGCTGGAACTTGATGGTGGACTTGACGTCGGTGACCTTGGCGGCCATGTCCTCAGCGTGGGAGATGGGGGTAGGGAACTTGCCGGCTGTAGGAGGTCGAAGTTTAGCATTTGGATCTGGGAGGTCCGTAGCGGAATTCAGAATTTGTGGCAAGACTTACCCTTGGACAGACCGGGACCCAAGAGACGGGGGATCTGCTTGATCAGAGCCTCGGAAGCAAGGAAGGCATCGTACTTGCGAGCAAGCTTCTTGATGAGCTTCTTGTTCTTGTTCAGCTTCTTCAGGTCATCGGTGGACATAGCATCGATGCCGTGGTGCTTGGCACGGTCGAGATCGTGCTGGTCACCGAGAATGCTGTAATTGCCAGTCAGTAAGTCAGGAATCACTCAAAAGAAGTTCTCCTCCACCCCTCGCTGGTCAGTCTTCTGCGGTGCTCCGTCACAGAACGTTGCAGCAAAGATTCGACTCGACTCGGGGTGGACGACAGAGATTGTTGAAACGCACCAGATGCTCATGTTAGGGCGGGGGACGGAAGGCAGCTTGATGGTGCCAGAGAAACGCTTGTCACGCTGGGGGTCATAGTTCTTCAGACCAATCTGCAGCTCAACGGTCTCGAGGAAGTTACGCTTCTTCTCGTTGAGAGAGTAGTTGAGCAGCTCATCGACATTCTGGCGCACTCCGGCTAAGAAGGGTATTAGCGGTCGAGTCTCAGGATTGAAATAAGAGGGACAGAGCGTAGAACATACCGACTGTGATCTTCGACATGATGGCGACAGTCTTCCAAAAGGTAAACTTATGGTGTGGCTCTACGCTGAAGTCTTGAAGAGAAGAAAATGTTAGTCGCGAATTTCTCCGCTTGTGGGTGGAGATTGTGCGACTAGGCCCAAAGTGGTTTAGCCGTGCCCTCTAACGAGCCGATGACTCAGCAACCATGGGTTTCTATGTTCATGCCTTAGTGCCTGAGAATCTCCCTTCATAATCTGGAGCGGAAATCGTAAAGACAAGAAGACACAGAACTTGATATTATTTGCTTGTCATTGTAATTGAGTTGTTGTCGGTCTTGATATCATGTTGACGAGATCCTGACTTCAAATCGAAATATCAACTTCCAGCTCCAAGCACACTGCCGCCGACTTTGCCCCCTGACGGTTCTCAATTACTATTGCTTCATCGACCACCTTGAACCCCACTCTCTCGTATAGACGCTGTGCACGCAGATTGCCAGACTCGACCTGCACAGTGATGCTCGCTTTGCTTCCTCCAAGCGCGCGAACCTCCTCGGTAGCAGCCGCAATTGCCGCCTCCATGAGACGCTGTCCGTGTCCTCGTCGCCGGCCTGAAGGTGAAACAAACATGCCCACAATCAGGTAAACCAGATGTGCACCGCTCAAATCACCCAGCTCAGATGTGGTCATTGGAATTTGGTACTTGTTGTTCTGTATGAACACTTCGTAAGGCTGGTTCAGCCCTGTCGCGACGCCCTCGTTTGGCCTGGAGAACACCCCCGGTCCCAGCAGTGACACGATGCCCACCCATTCTTTGCGTAGTAACCTTTCAAGCGCATCATCGGCTTCATTGGCTTCAACAAGCGTTTCAGCCGGGATGGTTTGTGATTGAGCGTTGAAGTCGGCCACAGCGGCAAAAGTCTTGCCAACTGGGTTGTGTATCCGGGATAACCATACGTCGTCTTCGAACTTGGACTCGTCCTCGTAGGTTGAGGAGAATGACCGAGGATCGACTTTGAGACCATGGAGTCGTAGCTGCTTGTATCTCTTTACAATCTCTTGCTCGAGTGTTGCAGGCGAAACAGTTTTAGGCAAGAGGATGACTTCGTCCGATTTAAGGTGAGGGGCTGTCATCGCGTTCGGACTTAACATGATGCTGTAAATGCTACCTGGCTCGCTTTGACTCCATGCAGAGGCTGAAAATGAAGTATTTAAATTCGGAAGGATAAATCACAGATAGTCCATGGAAGAGTCATAGCAGTTTGTGAGTCAACTCTACAGTATGATACGACATTGGGGTAGATCATTCCGTTTTCACGGGGCGGGCGGCCTAAGCCTGTTTAATAAACAGCAGTCGCACAAGACTTTTCTTCCACCATATTAATTTGCCAAAAAAAAGTAGATGTTTTATCAATTTTGGAAACTGTCACCTATTTGGCTAGCGCCACGACTCCGTTTATTTCAGCACCACTTCGGGAAGTTTGGTCGTCTGGGAATGTGTTGATAATTGAGGCGATGGATATTTCGAGTCTCGTGAAATGTCAATCATGGCGTTTTGTGTGAAAGATATCCCCCGGGCAGCAATGTGGCCCAAGTGTTCATGTCCATTTCATGCATTCTCTTCGCATCTGGATGAGAGCGGCCCCTCAAGCGGGAAACAACGTCAAGTCAAGGTTTTGCCAGTCCCATATCTGGTCAAACTGACCAACATCCAAATTCGAAAAGTCGCCCAGCCCAATAACCGGAGGTGTGTCCATTCCTGGAAGCGGAAGATCTAGCGAAGCAGGCAGAAAAATCTCATTTGGACTCCAAGATTCCGACGACGAAGATGGGATTTCCGCAGAGATAGCTTCTGAGGAATGGAACACATCCATTTCTGCCTCTGGCGAGGGACCAGCGCCGGTGATTTCTAGGTCAGAGGCAGCTCTCTTGGAGGATTTTGATAGGCTTTTCGCGAGTTGCACGAGAACTGGATGGCAGATTGCGCCCGTTTTGGTGACCTGGGCAAGTTTCTGCATGAGAGAGCAGGCGAGGCTGATTTTTTGGATGATATTCTCCCGTTGTGGGAGACTGCAATCCTTGTCGTGGATCATGGCCGAGCATAGGAACGCAGCCGTATCAAAGATCAGAAACGTGACGAGGTGAAATTTGGCATTTAGCGGGTAAACATGATCGAATAGTCCGTGAGAAATGTCCATTAAGTGTACGGCAATATCGATGGCTGTGCTTCGTATTGCCCTCTCCGTCTTGGAGCTTCGACTGTCGAATGTCTTGGTGAGGAATGATTTGAATGGTAGTAGCATTGTCATATATCCAATCGCATGCATGTGGTGACGTTGAAGTGGCACGTGGAGATGTGTCGTATCCCATTGCGTATCCGGATCTATTTCTCGGTAGGCCGGTGGAAACGACGCAAACCACTGATCTATCTCGACTTTGATGGAGTTGGTTTGAATGGGATCAAACACTTCTCCGAGATCTGGGACCCGCAAAATGATCTTGCCAAGTTCACACTGGGAAGCTATATGGGAGCATGGTGAGGGCGGACCCGTGCTGGTATCGTGACATTCAAGCTGCATATTTGGGAGCTCGGGAGGGTAGTTAGTAATTTTGACTGATAATCAGTGGACGAGAAAGCAGCAGAGACATTTGCCTAGGCGAATCATCATTAATTGATATTCGTACAGAATGTGAAAGGGTCATGAATTTCTTACTAATCCCAGACATATAAGAGACACCACATTCGACGTCTCGTTTCAACGTCGAATTCTGACAAGCCTGCCCGTGGAGCACGCTTATGCATACCCAGCTCCTGAGCCTCATGTATTGCACAACTCAAAGCATGCCAGGATTCGACAAATAATGACTCGGCCTTGTACCAACCTGCCGTAAGAAAGAGTTGCTGAATCTGAGCCAGTCCTCCTTTTCCAGGAGGAATCGTGTTGCCAAGTTGCTTAGCGGCGTGATGATAGCTTTCTGAAAGGCTCTGGACAGATTCACCCAACTCGGATTCTAATTTCTGCTGGATCTCACTGTTGAGGTACTGAGCTGAGCATGCGCAGACCCGAATAAGTAGACATGTGAACTCTGGTGTGAGGGTCCTGCCCTTGGCTCGATCGGACCACCATGCTGCGTAGTCTTGGGAGAAGGTGGGAGGGTATAGACAGTAGTAGCCATAATTGGTGACTTCCAGGTATCGCTCTACTAGGATGTCTGGCCTGTTGTTAGAAAGGGTTTCACTTGTCATAATGGCATTGACAAACCTGTGTAGGGCTTTGGAGGCAAAGGTCGTAGCACGTTTCTCATCTCTGGAGACATGCCCTCGGTATTTTGATTTGACGCTGACTTGGAGGTCTTTGGAAACTCAATGATATACTCCACAGAATTTCCAGGGAGGAACAAATACCGTTGGTGCCGCATTTCCAAATAACAGATTTTGGTCATCAGGCAAATATCCCAAGCCACGGAGCTCATCCTTTGCAGCGAGAGCTGGCAAATCGGTAGCTTCCAGCTCAGTCTCTTCCATTTTCACATCAGTTTTAATATTATCTGAAGATAGCCTTCTGTGGAAACTTGTCAGTCACGCTCGGGCAGAACTAGAGCTTGTCCATACCTCGGAGCCTCCACCAAGGCCTTTGACCCATTAGGCACTTGCTTTTGAGGATATCTACATAAATGCGGGATCTTCCGTGACTGACAATGGTTACAAGGCCATTGGCGGCTGCACTATTTGGACATTAGACGACTGTGACGTATGATACTGGGTAACCTAACTTTTGTTTGCGCCGCTGGCACTCAGTGCACGAAGCCGGAGCTCGACTAGCTTTTTCCACCTTTGAAACAACCATTTTGAGTACCAGTGAGGCTCAAAGTTCATATGCAAACGTGGTGGAATACCGCGGGGAAGTGTAGGCTAGAAACTCGGTAGGGATACATCTCTCATTGGGAGCCTTGATTATCAGGCCAAGATCCAACGTCACATGTTCCTGCGCTAGGCTATTTACCGACAAGTGTCAATACCAGACATCATTGGCTGAGGGGTTAGGCAGACGAGACGGTCAGCGGGCTGAGTGTAAGATAATCGTATGTCAGTTGTGACTGCATGAGGTTACGCTCAATACAATTGCGAAAGAAGGAGTGATAGCGAACTCATGAGTTGAGGATCCTGGTCGCACGTTGAAAGTGCAGTGTCAGCATATATAGTTTCCGCGTTGTTTTCGAGCAATGGAGAAAAGCCAACAGCTTCAGGGAAAAAATCTGCGCAATCATACACAGGTATCGGACTTGACCGGAAGGGCTGTTCACTACTTTATATGTAAAGTTGTATCAGTTCTCTATTGATTCCAAGGCCTGCCACCACAATACCCAGGCTCGAACAAGGTCTTTATCCCAACCATTCTCATAACCCTATCTGACCAGCACTCGCCACGTATATCCGCGACGGGAGAGACTAGAAAACAACAGCCCTGTGACCAAGCTTCCGCTAAGCAAGATGCACCCGACATGTCAAACCAGACTAGTCTACCACCCGCGGGTGCAGTGTGTTTGTTCCACAGGAGAACTATAAATGGTAATTGGGGGTCGAGCGCCTCTACGAAACGGGTTGTCGCGGGACCCCACGCTGCAGCTGATGCCCGGCGCTTAAGCGTGACCAGCGGCAAGATCGGCCTCAGATGACGGGCGGCCCTTGGGTGGGGCACGAGTCGTATAAATCCCAGCCTAGTCCTGCAGGAGCTGAGCTTGCCTCAGCTGGATTACTTTCGTCGCAGAACGCTGCAATAATTACCACCTAGGCTCCTCCTCAGCCTCCCCTTTTTCCCTTCCCTGCAAAACACACGCCCTACTCGATCTCCCAGCCGTATTTACGATTGACTTGCTTTGACTACTAAACCCGAACCACTGCGCCCGTATCTGCAAGCTTTACATACCTTCCCGCTGATTTCTCTGTTATGGCGGAAGGAATCTATGGCCTAGACAGCCCGGAAGAATACTATGCCAGCCTTCAAGGCACGCAGGGCTCGTTGGAGTCCAAATTCAACAGTATCGACGACAAGACGAATTTTGAGGATTATATGCAGCGGCTGAAGAATCCGCTGACGAGGAGCTTTGTGTTGGACTTTGGGAACGACCATGCGTACTGCGCAACGGATTTGGATACGGCGGATCTGCGGGGCTTGTTGAGTAGACCGGTAAGTTGGAAGCGAAGCCTGGAGATGAGAGATTGGTAAATGGGATGATTGCTAATAGAGGGGGTTTTTATTTTATTTTGAAGAGAGCAAAGTGCTTTGGGACTAGGTGGATGTAAGTTGACTTCCATGATCTATACTAGGCAGGAGGATGGTCTAACTCTCAATTGCAGTCATATTTGGAATCCAGAGCAACAAAAGGAGACGGTTAAAGTATATTGGGGAATCTCTGAGTATCTGCAGAAATAATTGATACTGACCGAATGTCTAGACAATTACATCCAACTACGGAGTTTCTGAACGACTGCAAGGCATGATGTATACGGAGCCTTTCCATGCCGTGCCGCCAACGGCTACAGCCCTGCCCAAGAAGACAAAACGAGTGTCTGCCCAAACGGTTGAATTTGAACTTAACGACATTGAGAGTGCACCTGCCGTGGTGGAGAAACACCAATCCACGTCATTCGGAGACATTACATTTGGGCAGGTCACAGACCAGATTTGGCATTTTTCTTCCGTGGACTACGGTCCGCGTTGTGAGTAACTGATCATGACAGCGATATAGTTCGGCCACTGATGAAAAGCAGATACGTGCGTCGGCTACAACACATTATTTGTAGCGCCTGATGTACCAGTGGAGAATGGCAAGGATTTGCCTCAAGGCACACGGCTCTGGTCATGGTTGATTCTGTGCGATGATGGTAAGGATGTCATGCCATATCAAAGCCTGACCAGCCTGGACATTTGCTGATTGCTGCCAGGGACTATTATTTCGATTCAGGAAAACCCCCTTCCCCAAATCCAGACGTTATCCGAAAAAGATCGGACCGCGGTGCTAGCCGTCGTCCGTCGGAATATTCGGTTCATCTTCTCCGGCATCTCGAAGCAGCACCCCAATCAGTCGCAGAGCGAGTCGTTGGTGACAGTTCGAGTACGAAATTTCCTTGATATCGGACCGGATCAGGCAAACATCAAGCCGGAGGACGGGTCGAGTTTGCTGCTCTACTATCTATTCGACGACTGGGTGTCAAGCTTTGGGTTGATCGCGAAGCGTCAGCACAAGTACGGGGTGTCCCTGGAAGAATTGGTAAGTATCACAAGGGACTGAGCTAAACCATCCGCCTAGTTTGGCTTTTGTGACCGCTGACCCTCGGATAGAGATCACAAATGCTCGATCGGCCCATGGTCGACCTCGTCGACGAACTCCACTGGCTGGGACGACGACTCGGTGTTCTGAAGCGACTCTATCAGAGCTACGAGCTCATCATGCGACGTCTTCTGCAGCGACAGCGGTTGCTACGTGACGAGGCCCGCTCCTCCAATGCTCTGCCCATGTCCGTTGGAAATACTTTCACAGAAGCCGACTTTGCCGAACTCCGGCAAGCGAGTATCCTCAGCGATGGTAACCGGGTTGGAACCAACGATAAGCCGGTCGGTATCGCTCTGAGCTCGGCAGCGGTGGCTCGGTTTGAGCGGCTGGTTGACCGTATCAATCTATATTGTCTAAGCGAGATTGACACCTGCCTCCTGGAAAAGGAATCATTGACATTCCTGGTAAGAATCGTTCTCGTCCCGAATGGATTTGGCAGGCCGTCATCCATCATTGTAGTGCTAAAGTTGACCACACCCCCTTGTTAGAATTTTAACTTGATCGCACTCAAGGACTCCCAGGCCGTGGAGAAATTGACACGGATCACCATCTTGCTCGCCAAAGCCACCATGTTGTTCCTGCCCGTCAGTCTTATGACGGCGTATTTCTCAACGGAGCTCGCGGGTGTTAAGGGCGTGTACAGCCAGGCGGAATACTGGGTGGCCTTTGTGGTAATCTTCGTGGTGACCGTTCTGGTCTTAGTCCTTTTTGGGGTTGCCAGCGACACTGTGGAAGGGAAGACGATCTACCGGTCGTTGGTAAAGACGTTTTTCCGAAAGTCACGACAACGGATCACTGGGCGTGGAGGACGGCAGAACTGATCCAGAAGGGCTCCAATAATCTTCAAATGGAGATGTGTTTTGTGTACAAGCACTCCATGATAAAGTTGAAGCGCACGCGATCGCCATGGTGTCATGACGCGGCGGTGGACTCCTCGGTCCCATGTGTGGTCCCACTGTCCCACTCTCCTATTGGGGCGCCCGGTGCAATGGCTTGCGGCGCATTGCAGAGCAGTGTTGGCGCCGTGCAAGGCACGAGACTGGACCGATTAAGTCGGGCACGAGCCTATCAGAGGGGGTTATATGGGGGCAATTGAATCTGGGTCCAGGTCGAAAAATGAGTGGATGAGGTGGGTGAGAGTGGAGGGTCCCAGAAAGAAGTGCCAAATGAACTGGAAGTTGGGAGGCTGACTAACTCCTGTATGGAGTATGGAGTCGTACAAAGTATTGTACAGTGAACTGGACAAGGCTTGGACGGGGGCGAGTCCCCTTTCGCCTCTTTCCGTATTACACATACGGGCAACACCGTGTCCTCTTGGAGAGAATGGTATCAACCACCTCTGAAGTACAGACCAGCTTGTTTTTCTACAGATAACTGGAGAGGTCACTCCCAGAAAGAGTCATCTGTTATTGTGCTGCCTACTCCTATTGAGAGCCTTGTAAAAAGCTTCATGTCTCTTAGATCAACGTGGCAGTTACCTCGTGCCCATCGGCATAAATACAGAGTTTAGAACCCCCCCAAACCTGCTTAGAGCTGGCCAGCGCGAGTTCAAATACCAGCCAAGACCCTTCATTACCATACCATACACACTCCGTCCGCATTGTTTAGGGACGCAGACTACGCCCACCGCTATCCGCCGTATTTTGGTATTCCCAATTCCAACCAAAAAAAACACCCCCTTCCACTTGCGCCTTTCTTTCTAAAGTCAGCCTAAACCTCCGCCATCATCTTCCTCTTCCTTCTCTTCTTCTCCGACCAACCCACTCTTCTCTACATCCATCCCTCTTTGCTGCAGGTAAGTCTGTACCCGTCGATCACCCCTGCCGCATTACTCGCTGGCCTCGCCCCCTCCGAAAACCCACTCCCGACACCCCTGACCGCAGAGTCCACAACACGTTTTCCCACTACCACCTCCATCCAGGATCACCCACCTACCCCCTCTCCTTCTCCAAACTTCCCTTGTTTCCTCCCCCCCTCTCCTCTTCATATCTAACTCTATTTTCTGCTCCTGGTGCTAGGCTTCGAGGCTCCATCAATATGGGTATCACTTTCTCCAGGCTGTTTGATAGACTATGGGGTCGCAAGGAGATGCGAATCCTGATGGTCGGTCTCGACGCCGCCGGAAAGACCACCATCCTTTACAAGCTGAAGCTCGGTGAAATCGTCACCACGATCCCCACCATTGGTTAGTCCGCTCCGCCCCGTATTATTTCGACCATCGACATACCAGAAATTCGAGGCATCCGACCTAGAACCGCATTCGCAATGTATCCGGCGACCGAGGCTGACTTGAGAACGTGACAGGTTTCAACGTCGAGACTGTCGAGTATAAGAACATTCAGTTCACCGTGTGGGACGTCGGCGGTCAGGACAAGATCCGTCCTCTGTGGCGCCACTACTTCCAGAACACCCAGGGTATCATCTTCGTGGTGGACAGCAACGATCGCGACCGTATTGTCGAGGCCCGTGAGGAGTTGCAGCGCATGTTGAACGAGGATGAGCTCCGGGATGCTCTGCTCCTGGTGTTCGCCAACAAGCAAGATCTGCCGGTATGTCCCTGCCATTCACCCTTTCCAATTAACAAACGTGCATGAGATTGAATACTGATCGCATCTTTAGAACGCTATGAGCCCCGCCGAGATTACCCAACAGCTCGGCCTCCAGAGCCTGACCCGCCGTGCTTGGGTACGTTCAATTCCCCGTCCGAGTTGTCTTACATATTCCCTCATCCCTTTTTGCTCCCCGCTTCTTCGACACGATTCATGTTGCTGACCTTCTCCCCTTCCTAGTTCATCCAATCTACCTGTGCCACCACCGGTGACGGTTTGTACGAGGGTCTGGAGTGGCTCGCCGACACTCTCCGGAAAACCAACCGCGACTAAGCGGGTATAATATGGTGAATGCGAGTTTCCAAATCCTCTTTCCACTTTTTTTATTTGAGGGGACGACTGGCGAAAGCGGGATGCGTGTATGTAGCAGGACGAGAGAAATACCACGGCAAATCTGCAAATGATGGATTGATGATGACTACGGCGGGAGTTTTCTGCGCGAGGCCAATCCCGGATGGACCAGTGAAATCTCCTCGGGAGGGGGTTTTTTTTTCTTTCGGTGCTTTGTGTGTTTGAACTTTCCATGGCTCTATTTCTCTTCGCTATGCTATTAGCCTCATTTGTTTTTATTTTCTCCTGGCGCCACGTCAAAATTGCGGGTTTCTTCTGGTTAACCCCCCCTTATCTATCACCATGTGCCCTTGAGTATGCGATATGCTTGGAGTACTCACAGTCCCGGTGCTATGACTATACCAGAGTATCATATGGAGTCTATTTCGATGCACGATTCCTCCATCTAAATCGCAAGTAGCGTATGAATACTCCGTATAGATGTCTAGAGAAGGGAGGAGTATGGGGGGCGGTACGAGAGGCCTCGGTATAAACTGGAGAGGATTGAAAGTATGAGAAGAGGCAAACAGCCTTGTTAAAGACTCCCGCTTTCAGGGCTTATATTGACTCTATGAACTATCAGAGGAATGCCCCTAGTTAATCTAACAGATCAGTCATAGCCTGCCCCAAAGAAGGTAGGAGGGAGCGATCATCTGCGGCCAAAATTAGCGGCGGACATGCGTAATCGCTCCCTCTTCTCCGTTTGCGGGCTCGCGGGCTCGGCCTTGGCGTTCGACTCGCCCAGACTCTCTCGTTTGTTGTCTTCTTTTCTTTTGCCGGTCTCTTGCTCGGAGTAATTTTTTGGATACATTTCCAGTTTCCATTCTGAATCAATTGCACACTCCTTGTAGTGTTTGTCCTCCAACCCTGGGTCTGAGCCATTGCGTCGTCGTGTTTATTTTCCCCTGACGCCTCGACCCCCCTCAACCCTGGAATTGCTTGGACGACAATCCGCCAACTCTCCGAGCCAACCAAGCCAACTTCCACGCCGTTTGCCATCGCGCGTTTTTCTCCAATCCTCCGTTCCCCCCTCCCCCCTAATTATCTACTCTGTTTATTGCACCCTCTTACTCCCCCGGTGACTACGTCGGTCCTGGGCGACAGATGTGCTGGCGCAATTCTTGATTGGACTAGTTCCCGTTCTCCCACACGTCAATGTTGACGATTCGTCTGCTAGCATCATGACCGTCCAGGCCAGGAGATCCTCCGCGGCCTACAGCAAACCCTCACCGTACTCTGTGCGAACAAAAGTACAAGATAGCGACATTGAAAAACACCCTCACAATGCCCGTCAACATTGCCAGAACCATAACCACCATCATCTGAGCGACGGCGATGACGAGACCTCCGACTCCGGACCCGACCACTCCTCTACGTCCTACCCGCCCTTTGGCGGCGCGGGCTCACGTCGCGCGAGAGCACCCGTGGGCTTCAGAGTGCCGCAGCGGATTATGCGATGGCTGTGCTTCGCTCTGTTCGCGTCGCTCGTGCTATTCATCTTCACCCTCTTCCGCTTCACAATTTCCTCCTCCGTCTCCCAGGTTAATGTCGAGCTACCGAAAGTGAAACCGAATAAGCCCCCACTATGGGAAAGCTTCCCATTCTTGAAGCGCTACGAGGGTGGGCTCACCACTCTGGTGAAGCGCAGCGAGAACGTACCTGAGTACCCCGGCGACAATGCGGATGGATTGGCGCTACCTGAGGAACAAGTCGCTCAAGAGGATGCCAATCGCTTGAATAATAGGGATCTGAAATCCTCAATGTCGAGTACTGTTTTCAACCCTTATCCGAGTTATGACTCTGCGGAGTACATTCAGAAGTACGGTGAAAAGCGCGAATGCTTTTTGGATCAGGACAACTCCATTCGGGTCCCCGCCGTTCAGTCGTATCCCGGTGTGCCCAAAGGCTTCCCTGACCCGGCAATTGGCTCTAATACTATGTTGGGAATTCGTGACGACATGTGCTTTGACCGCTTTGGGCGATTGGGACCATATGGAATGGGATATGGAGTCAAGAAAGGCGGCAGCGGGGCTGGACTGGAAGGCCACCGTGACGGTGCTGATCGTGTCTGGGAAGATGTGCCTCCGGTGGATTTCCGCCAGGTGGATTGGGCTGGTGCGCAGCAGCGTTGTCTTGCGGCCAATCGCCATCGTTTCAAGGAGTTGCCCGAGCCACGTCTCAACCGGTTTGTCTCTATGCCCGTGGGTGTGCCCAAGGTCGAAATTCCATCTCTCGAGGATGACCACAAAACCCAACCCAAGATTGGGTCGGAGCGCTTGCCTCGAACTGCGATTGTCATTCGCACTTGGCATGACTTCAACTACACTCCCGAGGACATTCTTTATCTTCGATCGGTGATCTCGGAGCTTGCGCTGACGTCCGGTGGCGAATATACAGTGCACTTCCTCATTCACGTCAAGAACAACGATCTCCAGATCTGGTCGGACGACGAGACATACGAGAAAGTGTTGCATGACGCGCTCCCCGAGGAGTTCCGTGGCATGGGGACACTTTGGACAGAGGCCCAGATGTCTCTTGTGTACCCCGGGCTCGAAGAAACGTTCACACGCGGTCTGCCCGTTCACGGTGTCTACCGCAGCACCTACATGCCGATGCAGTACTTTGCCTACCAGCATCCCGAGTATGACTACTTTTGGAACTGGGAGATGGATGCTCGTTACACGGGCCACTGGTACCACTTGTTCGACAAAGCGGGCGACTGGGCGAAAGCGCAGCCTCGCAAGGGTCTCTGGGAGCGCAACGCGCGCTTCTATGTTCCCTCGGTGCACGGGTCGTGGGAAGACTTCCGCCAGATGGTCCGCGTGCAGACTGAGATTGGCACCAATAGCCCCAATAACATGTGGAGCAAGTACAAGGCAGGCTCTGAAAGTGCCGAGAAGAATTCGCATGGTCTGCACCAGCAGGGCGACAAGGCCGTCTGGGGCCCCGAGCGACCCGACGAGCCGGATATTTTCGAGGTCGAGGGTGAGGGCATCCCACCGACCACCGCGGACAAGGATCAGTACCAGTGGGGTGTCGGTGAAGACGCAGATCTGATCGTTTTCAACCCGCTATACGATCCCGAGGGTACAACCTGGCTGCTCCGGGATGATGTGACCGGGTACAACCGCGAGAACGGAGCGATGCCGCCACGCCGCACCGCCATTATCACTGCCTCTCGTCTCTCCCGCAAGCTTCTGATTACTATGCACCGCGAAACCAGTCTCCGCCACCACAGCATGTTCTCGGAGATGTGGCCTGCCACGGCGGCACTGCATCACGGCTTCAAGGCCGTGTACGTTCCCCATGCCGTTTACGTAGATCGTCGCTGGCCGACCCGCTACCTGGAGTCCGTGTTCAACGCAGGACGTAACGGCGCATCTGGTGGTGCCCGCACATCAGTCTTTGGCGATCGGGAGCACAACTTCAAAGGCACGACCTGGTTCTACTCTGCGGGCTTCTCGCCCAATCTCTGGCGCCGCTGGCTTGGTCTCCGCGTTGATAATGATGGCGGTGAGCAGCAGGAGCTGGCTGGTGAGGGCCGCATGTGTCTGCCCCCCATGCTCCTTCACCCTGTCAAAGACGTACAGATGGTGATTGACGAAGGGGCGCATGCAGAAGACCGGTGAAGAGACGAAGCCGAAGCTGCATCAGAAAATCGGTCTGCCGATCTTGGACCACAACATATTGCACAAATGCTAAAGCGACAGAACATATGCACATGACTATACCCCTCCAATTCCTTCCCCGGTTCTCGATTCCCAATTCTCCCTTGCTTGATTGGGACACTGCTTTACCTTGCATGGTTGCGCTTTGCATCTACTTATATCCGCCCACCTCTTTTCCCTGTATAATGTCTCTCTATCCACCCCCCATCATATACTATCATCCATCCCCTGTCCACCCTTTTGTTTTTATCTGTCCGTTTATTCTTTTTCGGCCTTACGTGTAAAGAAGGCGTTTTGCTGATTCTGGTTCAATGGCCTTGGAGCCGGCCATGGCTGTTACGATGCATATTCCCTTTTACCCCCCTCTGATGTCTCAATGTGAATGTTTTTTTTTCTTTGTATGGTGTTTTCTTCTTTCTGCCGGTGTCGTAATTAGCGGTCCTAGATCCCGATATCCAAGTCCGTTGTTGCTTTTACTTGCTTTCCATTTGGGTTCGGTTCAGACCCAGTTGGATGAATCTGTACGAACGTTCTGTATAGAGATGAATTGCATTCTTGAAGCTTTCGTAAATTCTAACGTACTCTATAAGATGATTAGAAAAAAAAAAAAAGAAGCAGATGCCGCCGAAGAAGACCGAAATACTACCACGCTGATGCGAAAAGAAAAGCAGAGCACACAACTCGTCATATTTCCATCTTTGATTATCCCCCTTTCATTGCGGACAAATCAAAGGCCTCATCAACCCCTGCCTCCCACCACCAGGTCCACCATGAACAAACCGCCTCGATTCACTCGCAATCTGCCTCTCCACCCTCAACGGTGACCTAGACCCATCCCTCACCAACAACTGTGCCGGCTGGAAACAAATGCTACACTCATAAACCCCATCCTCCCCACCCCCAAATCCCCAGCAAGTCCTGCAAACCCGATGCCCGCATTTCGTCAGCAACACCTCCACACCACCCTGCTCCCCATCCACCACGCACGTATGACAGAAATGCGTCGGGAACGTGATACGCGGGTGCTCCATGCGCCGTTCGATTTCGGAGGCGATTTCTTTGCCCTTTTCGACGCGCGCGCGGAGGAGGCGGACTTTCGTTTTCAGGCTTGTCAGGATGCGGGTTATCGTGGCCTGGGAGTATTTGGTGGTGGAGATGGTGGAGGGTGGACTTGTGAGGGTTGGGACTGGTTCGAGGAGGAGGACTGGTCGGAAGCGGTGGGTGACGGCGAGCTTGTGCATGGATTTTTGTTCGAGTTGGAAGCGGCGGTGGAGTTGACGGTTGAGCAGGATTGTGAAGTAGATTTGGAGGGTTTGCCAGGCGCGCCATTCGGAGATTGGGTCGAGGGTGAGTGGTGGAAGGGGTTGGGGTTGGGTTTGGGTGGTTGGGGCCATGGTTGTTGATGATTGAGGATTGATGATTGGTGATTGAAGAGTGAGGATTGAGGATTGAGGATTGAGGAGGAAGAAGTATAGCGGCTTCGACAAGTGGTGGGTATAGATGGCTGAATTTGGGAGAAGAATGATACGTTTCGTGTACTTCGTATATACTTCTTGAGGATGGATTGAGACCTGTGATTTTGGAACTCAGAAGCTCGAGGTGATCGACCGTACTTGAGATATCTTAAATAGACGATCGATCGTAGGAAAACTATAACTAGAAACCTTGAAAATTGGATCTTTCATCAGGAACAGTTTCGGCCGACGAAACATCCTCGGCAGAGCCGCAACAGGGCGGTTTTACCCCAGACGCAAATACTTCTATCGGATTTTGAGCAGATAAAATCTTCACAACTGATCGGATCCAGACCAAGAGCTTTTCTTCCTATTTGCGTGGCGATGCACGGAGTTCCCGAGAGCTTCCTGAATGCAACGTTAACATGATCTGGAACCAAACTCTGGCATTTTCTTCTTGAATTCATTGGCACAATACGGCCGGCCCGGTGATCCCGACAGACTTCAACCCCGGTTCACGGGTTCAAAGATCAAATCCACGGGACCCGAAGCTGCACCGTGCGATCCGGCCGAGGCCGACGAAAGTATCATTGAAGACCGAAAGTGGAAGGCGTGAGCTATACCTGCAGGCGTTTAATTGGTTGAAAAGAGCAGGGGAGTAGTAAGAACTTGGACGGAGGATCAAAATGCGAGAGATAGAGTTAAACTACGTCTTGATCAGCACTTAAAAGTGACCTCATGATCAGAGATATTTGTGAACCCACGGATCGGTGGACTGGTCTGTCAGTCGATATTAGACTTTTAGCTTGGGATAGTGGATAACGGATCTTCTCGATGGAGGATCGGTCTCAACCCGACATATTGATGCCAAAGCATTACACTAGTGTTAGTCTATATCGGAACATGTGGTTTCTGGCTCAATTGCCCCACTGACATTTGTCAAGGTGTCAGCCTGGCAGCAATGTCTGAGAATCGGCACGTTGCCATTGTCTCATATTGTATTCGGTAATCTCAGCATGACTTTCTATCTCCTGTAAACAGTTCGCCGATAAGGCTGAGATCGACTCTTGGAGTTTGTGGTGGCTTCGGAGTTGTGATCTCCGGGCTGGACACACTCCCACTCGTGGATAGAGACACCCTGAAAGTGGAAGGTGTATCTGACTTGCCTTGCAGTCGACTCATCAGCAGCATTGGCGTGAATGCTCTTGGCATAGATCACATATTCTCCAGCTCCGTCCTTCCGGTAAAACGGCGTCAAACTTAATCTATAAGACCCTCGATCTTCTCTGTCTCCATCCACAGAGACATCGTATACTTCAATCCATGAGTTTGACTCCCCGGTACCAGCTTCCGACAGACAGAAAACTGCGCTCCCAACTGATGATGCTTGGCACTCCGCTGATGAAACTTCATTTGGACCTGTTTCCAAAACATACTCCCGGTCATACTTCGGATTCGACGGATACCGTGGTCTGAACGCCGCCGCGCCAAATTCCACCCGTTCCCCAGGCCCCGAAGTCTGGATATACCTCCACGTTCCATGTAAAGCCCTGAACACGGCTAACGATGCCGCGGCTTGGGCCGCCGTAGATTGATCCTGACATGAGATAGCTCGCAAGCTATCTAAAGTGCGGCGTACCTCGTCATCATCCTCTCCACGGGCATATCGTGCAGGTATCACGGGCCCAGCTTGACTTTCGTCATCGGACAAAGCTGTCCGCTCTATTTGCAGATCCTTGGCAAATGTTTCCATCAACCCTACATAGTCACCCATCGGAAATTGTGCACGGCGAACATCCGCGCTGGGCTGTCTCAGAATTCGAAGAATTTCCCTCTCTCTATCGGCATTGGTCTGAGTACCGGCGGGGGTACTCTGGTCATCTACCCATTCCTTGCCGAGGAATTTCGCTTGCATTTCCATGACGCCCCAGTAGGGGCCACGGTAGAATCCGACAAATCCTATATCTGGTATCTCTGAGCGTAGCGTGCCGCCTTTATCCAGGATTAGGGGTAAGAATGGGTCGGTTTTGTTGTACTCCAGGCTAGACAGAACATCTTCGGGTAGAAAAGATAGCGAATCGAAAGGGGTGAATCCCGTAGCCATCACGATCGAAGTCACATCCTCAAATATCTGAGGGCCTTCAGTTGTCTCGATCCGAATCGAGGCAATCCTCGTGTCAGTTTGCGGATGAATCGAAGTCACTCGACCCATGATGGTGTCTATCTCGCCAGATCGGACAAACTCGGCATAGTCATTCCCTATAGCTACCCATTCTGGTTGGCAGTCCGCGTTTGCCAAACCAGGTCGTTGTGGCGAGTATCCGTATCTTTCATACTCGGTGCCAAGCAGGGACCGGAAATAATTGTTGCTTTTCGCAATCTTTTCCTCCGAGAGGGGACCTAGCGTATACTCCACCGGACCTGGTGGCCGGCGACTCAGATCATACATTGCCAAGTCCAGAGGTAAGAAAGATACAGTATTCCCAGAGCTTTCGCAAGGGAGATAGGTGGGTAGAGTCCAGCAAGGCCGAGAATGGACGTGGTATACCTTGCCGTGGTTTGGTGGGCTGTTTGAAACAGGGCCTCGAGAGAGACGCAGTGACGATTCTCGTAGAGCAAGTGCAGATGCAGCTTCGACTCCCGACATGCCACCGCCAATAACGACTGTGTTTCCTCGAGGAGTAGTTTCTGCATTGGTGGAGAGAGCGGTGCGGCCTTTTTCCAGGGCAGAGCTATGGATCACCTGCCCCGTGAATTGCCCTAGTCCCGGAAGTACTGGAAAATATGGACGAGCAAAGTATCCGGATGCGACGACGAGAAAGTCAAAGTCTTCAGACTCAATCCTGGTCTGCGGAGTTGCTTCTTGGTTGGTATTTTGTGCGCTGTTCGAACAATATTAGTTCCACTCGAGAAAGTGTGGACAATCCATCAATCTTGTACTAACCTCCCTTTCACCCAGGATACCCTCCACTTGAAAGTGGCATCTGAGCCAGTCAAACGCTCCGTCTTAACAACTCGATGTCCCAATCTCAACACATCCCTCGGGATATACCGCTGACTATAAGCAGCTAAATACTGTCCGACCTGTCGCGCCTGCGGAAACATCGGACCATCTGCAATATTCAAAGCAGATTCCCACGATAAGTCAGAAAACGCCACCGTGAATCGACCGAGATTAGTTCTCATGAAAGGGTCTAGTGTCCCCCGCGAATCCGTGCTCTGTCGATCTTGGGTTTCGGAAGACCCAGTGGGCCACAGGCCCCCGACTTCATGGCGCGCGTCGAAGATAATGGGCGAGTATGTGCCTCCGGGATAATCATGTATAAGCGTCTTTGCGGTGACAAGTCCTGAGGGACCGGCTCCTGGATGTGAGATGCTCGTTAGCGGGGTCGTTCGGGATTGCCGGAGGTGTACATTGGGTTCTTGCCGATGATGGCGACTTTCTTCGATCGCATTCTTGAAAATACGCCCTTTCTGACTTGTTCTGATGTCATGTGGCCGTGACACGCGAGCCATGTGGTTTGACAAGGCCGGTGTTGATAGTTGATCTCGCTACCCAACTGGGTCAAGTCTTCCCCGCGGCGGGGCATCCGGCGATACATATGTACGGACACAATATACTCAGCGTGACATCTATGATATTTTTGTAGCACTGTTGGATGTAGTTTTCTTTACTATTCTCATATTACTATCATTGCAGTAGGAATAGGTGCGATCGTTGAATATCTTGATCAGCCTATCAGCCATTCGCAGAATCCTTCAGCGCCTAAAGTGGCAAAGTAACTAATACATTGCAGTCGGAGAAACTTCCAAGACCTCCGCCTCACCTACCTTTCTTTTGTTGCAATGCCAAGAGCACCCGTTCCACAACCCATGTACGTTTCCTATACCGTGTGGCCTCTCGCGCGAGTTGTGCCCCGTATGCCCACTCGAGAGTAAACTATCGATCTTGGCGAGGGACCTCGACAGATCAGACTGGGCTAGTATAGATGCGATAAGCTGGATTGACTCCATTTCTGCTTCCTCCTGCACAGTCTATCTTTCGATGTAGGGAGTTTCAGATTGGCGAGAAATAGGTGTCACGCCTTCCCGCCAGCTCTAATTTAATCATCAAGACTTGAGGTCAAGTATGAGCATTCTCCTCTCTTTACAAAATGTCTCGCGATAGATATTAATATTATTTGGTCGTATCTCCTATATCCAATAAGATGAACAGAGACGGGCTTTGATAAGATGCCAAAAGTATTATAAACCCATCGCCCGATAGCAAGATCACCCTCTAAAGGCATAGTGATCATAACAATCCAGGTAAAGTAGGTAGCTCATGCAGGCTCGGTCTTGGCGTCTCGAATGATTGCCAAGATCCCTGCTCATACCTGGGCGTTCGTTTGCGATGCCGCATTACCGACGGTAGTAGTAGGCCGTCTCGGCATGCATAACTGTTTCCAGTGCGCCTTGCGCCATGACGGCAGTGCCAAGGCTTTGCCCAGCCAGGGGGTACCAGAATGAAGAGAGCCTTCCATCTGAAGCGGTTGGCCATGAAGTACCGGTACATCCATGATGCCTTCATCCAACAGTGTGACCCGACCGATTGAGCTGCCCTTCGAGGCGTCCAGCACGGACATAGTTCAAGATTGAAGGTGGTGGATGTGGTTTGACAGCAAGCTAGCGTGCGGGGTCACGCATCTCGAAGAGGTCGAGAAAAGCCTAGTCGAACTCTACTCGGACTGATAGCCGAGTTAGAGTGTCCTGCTGCAAGTGTCCCTATCAAGCAACATGTTGCAGCCATTCGACGACCTGGATTTCTGGAGTTCGCTGATTGGGTCGGCAGGCCTCATTGCATTCTTGTTCCGTCACGAAATTATCCACATTCCGATGCGTGAGGGGAATTTTATATTGATTCTTTTTGCGGAGAAGCTCTTTCTCGGCAAAGGCAGAGGGTGACAGCTTGGAGAGAGTATTGCGCAGCCGTCGAATCCCACCGTTGGGAAATGAGCGAGAGACCTGGGGTGGTCCAAAGGGATTGTCGTTGCACCATGGGACTTCGGAAGCGATGGAACGGGAGTGCTTATTGCGTGAGCGAAGATTGGCCATGGCGATGAAGGGTATTCCGAGATACAGCGGATGGGACGAGGGGATCTCCTTGATCCTTGTGAGCCGAAGACCGGGGGAGATGGTAGATTAAGTAGTACGGAGTAGATGGGGGTAGATGAGGGCAGATGGGGGCAGATGGGGGCACGGAGGCCAGTGCTGAAAATGTCTCCGCGGCACGCGCAGGCTGATTGGATTGTGATTTTTGGAACCAAGCAGTTTTAAGGTGTAGGAGGTGGGTTCTCAATGCCCTCTCACGGTACGGGCATGCTGGGCCGCGCTATGCGATAGGGCAGCGGGCGTGGACTGGGACTCAAGGCGGCTTCGGGGGTTTGGCGTGTGCCACATGTGGTGGTAAAGTTTTAGTAGGCAAACCCGTGGCCCATCAGCTTGTTGTATTTCCCTCATGCTGAATGAGGTAACCTTTGACGCTCATGATTGTATTGCCCGTTCAGTGCGGTCAGTTACGTCATCTCGGAATAGTGATGCCGATCCAGCAACTGCCGTGATTGGATGGAGTCGGGCGATCCACGCTTCCCCATTATATGGCTGGAGGAATCATTGTTGCGGCCAAGGCGATGATCGCAGCGGTAAGACCTGTTGGGCCAGGATGGTACCTGGCTGTGGAAGGCTTGGTTAATGTGATCTCCTCGATGCCAGTTTCGGTCAGTCGGTCAGCGACACATGCTGCATGCATGGGGCCCCGCGAGGTGTCAGCGGCTGGCGCACCTGGTAGTGGATGAGAAACGCCCCAAGGCCCCGCCTAGAGAGATGTTTAGGTATACGAGAATGCTCATTGCTTGATTTGCCACTGAATACCCCCACCCAATAACTTTGCAATGAAGTGCAGCAGATCACAGCGCCACGAATTTGATTTTTGGTGGAGCGGAAAAAAAAGGAGACAGTCGGAATACTTGTCCGAGGACGATATCATCCCACTTTGATCTTCCGATTGGTTCATGCACGCCCATCGGGTTCTGATGCCCAAATGCGTCCATAAGTAGTTAAAGGGCACATGAGCTTGACACCACAGTTGGCCAGGATCCTTTCCGAATAGGGCCTGTAGGTGGCTTGTGTCTTTCGTCAACGAGCATTCTCGCATTTGGCTGCCTCGTTGGAGTTTTCTGCGGCTCAAGGTTGTGACAGGCTGGCGCTTCTCCGCCACTTAGTCTTCCAAATTTGCCCGGTGCTTCTTCACCCCTGGGCTCCTTGACCTGCGGCTTGTGCCTCCACACCGCTTCGATTCGGAGGTTCGTCATGTCGGGGAGGGTGAGATTGTTCTTTCGGATGAGGAGAAGGCCACTTGCGCTCCATGAGGATCGCAATGCCCGTCGGAGTGGTTGGAGGGGTGAATTTTCAACTGGTGAAACGTACTGAGCTGGCTTGGATGAGTATGCTCATGATAGTTGACTTAGACTGAGGGTGGACACCTGTTGCTCATCCCACTTGCTCACCATACGTGGGAGGATGATGAGACTTAGTTGATGACGGCATGAAGCTGCCAGACAGGCTTATTGATCTGTTGATCTGGCAGAAATGCGTCAATATGGGTCTGTCAACAAACCTTGATTCAGAGCCATTCACCTCATCATGGATGCAATTCATGATCCGTGAAGCCTTCAAGGCTGGTGCCTAGTGTTATGTCTGATTCGTAACATGGATGAGGTATGAGGATGGAAAAGGATGGAGGAAGAGAAGAAGGGATGGCTCAAGGGAGATTGAATGAAGCCAGATGGTGAAGACGAGACTGTTTTTTGGTTGTGGGAAGGTCGGGAGGTGCGAGGAAGAGAAAGTCCTCAAGAGATGAGATGACGAAAGAAAAAGAAATAACCATGACTCGATCGCGTCAACTGAACGGGCTGGCGTGTCAGGAATCCAGATCAAATCACAACAATTCCAAATGGGTTAACAATTCAGTTCATTGATATAAACTCAACTGGCCAACCTATTCTCCACTAATAGGTGAATCTAAAGCTCGGATGATCATCTCCGAGATTACTCAACTCCGCCTGAGACCATTCATACCGGTGATCCCTCTTCCCAGCTTCTCGCAGACGGTTCTCTCGCACCAGCCAGGCAAAGAAGAACATACAGGCAAACCCACAGATCCAGACCATTCCCAGACTCACGCCAAACCCAGTGTGATACGTTGGGGCTTCGGAGTCGAAGAAGATATTGCTAGCCACCAAGCCACCGCAATTTCCAAAGCCGATCTGCATCGCCGAGGCAATGGATTGCTTATAGTGACCGGCCATATTGTTACTGAGCCAGCCCATCAAGATCGGCTGGGTCATATAGCCGCCGCCGGTGATCGCATACAGGGCAAAGTACCGTGCTCCGACAGGGACGGACTTCTGGCAGAGGAGGATCACGTAGCCAACCGTGGCAATGGCACATCCACATAGCGTGAAAGCGAAACGATGGCGCAGGCGATCACTCACGAAGGCAGTGACGAGTGCAATGACGGTCGCGACAAGATAGATGGGAATACTCATGACTTGAGCACGCACCGAAGTCCAGCCCAGCTGTTTCAGGATCGTCGGAGTGAAGAAGGAGGTGGCATATCCGGTATTGACGATGCCGAAATACATCAACGGACTGGATACGTTAGTGGCCAGACCCATGAAGAATTATCCCAGGAAAACACATACCCAAGGTAAATCTTGATATCTCGGACCACTCGTCCCCTAGCTGCACGATCCAGTCGGTCCATCCGCGCTTCGCCTCGATCGCTCTCAAGCCGAGCCAGCAGCAGCGCTCGCTCCTGGTCGTTCAAGAAACGGGATTTCTCGGGCCAGTCAACGATGAGGAATTTGGAGACGATGGCAGCAACAACGGTGACAAGGCCTTCGATGATAAAGATCCACCGCCAGCCGCTGTATCCTGCAACTCCGTCCAACTTGGCAATGGCGTATGCCAGGAACTTTGATTCAACGTTCATTTAGTGTTCAGTCATTTGAATACTCAAGAGGAGAATCAATAACCTACCCCGCTAACTGCGCCAGCCAGGATGCTGGCACTGAAGAACACGTTCAGGCGCCATTGCAGCTCATGGCGCTTGTAGTACATTGCAATGATGTAGATGCACCCTGAGAACGTCAGTGTGTCTCTCAGGAGAAATAATCATTGAAACAGTAATTTTACCGGGCATGAATCCAGCTTCAAAGACACCTAGCAGGAACCGACAAGCAACCAGTCCTTTAAAGCTTTGAGTGAGTCCCTGACAAACGGTAATGATCCCTATTTATTGAGAAGAATTGTATCAGCACCGTTGCACCCAGAGTAACCTGAAATGAAACATACCCCATCCGAACATAATCCCACTGATCCACCACGACGGAGCAATCCTCTTCAACAACAGGTTACTCGGAACCTCAAGCAGAATGTACGGGATGAAGAAAATAAACAACGCAAGGTTATAGTCATGGTTCTTCATGTGCAAGTCCTTCTCTAGACCCTGCAGACGAGCATTGCCGATATTGATTCGGTCGAGGAAAGCGAGGAGGAAGAGGAACATGAGGATGGGAACGACGTGAAGATCGAGTTTCCAGAGGAGACGCTTCTCGGCGGTGCGATCAATTTCGGCGAGATTGTCCGACTTGACATGTTCGATCGTTTCATGATCGCCTGCTTTTTCGATTTCCTCCATTTGGATTCAAAGGAATTATTGGGGTTTGGGTTGGCAGGGACTTGTAAGTGCTGCTGCTTGCAGGGCGCTAAACGAGGATCAAACGCAGTTCCGGGAAGAAGATAGCAAGGTCGAGAGCCGTTGCTGATACCAAATACGTGGAGCAAGATTGGAACAGTGGAAAGTGCGATTTAAATACAATTCCAGCGCTCTGAACAGCTACATGAACGAGCTGGTTGGGGAAGTTGGGCCGCGGTGATCCCCCTTCCCCCGCACATCTTGAACAGCCTGCATTCCGCTGTATACATCCAGGAGGCCCTTGATTCCGCAGACCAAGGCGCCAAGACGCGCCAGGCTTGGCTGATAAAGGTCTAAGCTCGCTCTGCTCTGCTCATTTGTATGTGAGTTGACATGAGAGTATAGGACTGGAATTGATTGTGGCACAATTTAGCCACCGAATAGGGATACAAAGTTTTCGAGCGTGGAGCTGAAAAAAGGCTACATGCAAAAGAGTTGGATTGGCCAAGGCCAAACATCATCAATGATTTCGTTGCAACGGAACCCTATTCCGCAGTTCAAGGGCTGGGGCGCGGGACTAAGACAGCCTCTGAAAATCCCATCTTTTCACCCTTTCAGGTTATCTCAAGGCCGGGAAATTCCCGTCAGCCTGTGGGGTTCCAGAGACTCGGCATTTACCCCAGTTACCCCGCTTCCCCGGAGATCTACAGTGCCGGCCAAGGTGTGGACTTGGTTAATGGTTCTGATATTTGTATATGTCCCTTGAAAAGACGTGGATTTGAACTAACAGGAAGGACCAGACTGTGAGTCCCAAATATGATGGGCTTCAAAAATTGCTTGCCAGTAACTCAAGACCCAATATTCTTTCACAAGGTTGGCTCCTGAGGGAATACCTGCTCCTCCTCCGTCACATTTTTATACAGAGTATCCCAGCGGTCCTGAAGTCGCTCGGGGGTGGGCCATGCATTCTCCGGGTCTCGAAGCCACAGGCGAAGTAGATGACGTCTAGTATAGTTAGCGTAATCTGATATCGAGGGACAGGCAAGAAAAGAAAACGAACTCTTTGCCGGGCTGGTCCTTGAAGCCGTTCCGCGCATGGAAAATGCTCAGATTATTGACATATTGGACGTCACCCTTCTGGAAGCCCAGGGAAGCACGATGCTTTTCTGCCAAAAAGTGCAGTGCGTCTAGGGCTTCAGCCTGCGCTTCACTGATGGGAGGTATACCTACGGAACGAGGCAGGGCGAGAAAGCCCGTGAATAATCGGCGAGCATATTGGATGAGTACACGTTCGGGGCTAGTCTCGGTTGCGGGTTGGTGATATAGAAGCGGACGAAGAGTATATGGCTTCTGAGGATTACCGAATCTGAAAGGCCGTTAGCTCGAAACATCTGGAAGTCTGATCGGTGTGCATACCCATCGTTCGGCCAGTCCTGAGAAAGAGTGTGGATCAAGTCGGGTCTCTCTTTGGCAAGGATATTGTATACATTCCAGCTGCTTGAAAGATAGCTCTCGCCTCCTTCGGCCGATGGGCTCAGACAAAGAAGAGAGACGATATCTCCAGCATCGGTATGGAAGACTTGTTTATCGGCAGTACTCGAGGGTGCACCGATCTTCTCTGCTTCCACGGTGCTGGTGACATCTTTAATATGCGCGACCATCCGAGACTTCCCATCTTGCAATCTCGTATCCCGTTGGCGACCGCGAATACTTCCAATATGAGAAGACACTCCAGTATAGATAATTATATTATCCTCCCGCGAGTAGTCATCGATACGCAGTCCTCGGAGAACGAAGAACCCCCTGCCGTGATGGATGTCCTTTGAGAGATCCCTTAGGACTGGTCGGAGGGTTGGTAGCGGGAATGTCGACTCGTTGATGTATCCCAAAGGCTCATTCAGAGCTACGGAAATGATAATGAGAATTGTAAACTGAGATTGGATCAATATGAATATTCTCACCTTTGAAACTCTTCAGTCCTGCATCAATCTCGTCCAGCTGGTCATCGCTCAACTTGTAGATCCAGTCACTTGTCTGTTCAATGTCCTTTCCCTCCCAGACAAGTGGAGAGGTCAGCTTCTGAGGGAATCCTGCGGGTAGACTGGTTTGCAGCGACTCTGTCTCCTTGCGATGGCGGGTGCGCGCCTGATATTTCTCAAAGTCAGGGTGATATTGGATATCAGGCTGCACGGGCTGGGTGATGGTTGCAGTAACAGACATAATGGCTTTGATGATGATCGGAGTGGGGTAAGTAGAGGATATTCAGAATATAACGCACTTAAATATCCAGTGTGACAGAGCGCTACTACTCACGCTATTTACCTTGTCACTCGCGTTTGATCGCGTCATGCTGGCCGTTGGTGAAGTTTTGATTAATTGAAGTGTAATCATTCGCTGTCCTTCGCGACATTGGCCCCACCCACGACGAGCTCACCCACGTCGCATAAATCGTCACATTATCTGGTCCGGGGTTTATGTTAGATCCGTTATGATTGCTAAGCAAGACGGGGAGGCTAGGCGTATCTCAATAGATATAAAGTGGAACAGGTCGGCGAGGTTCCGAAAGTCTTACTTCGATGAAACTTTTCTATTCCCACACGGTATCACGCTATATGGTGAGATCGATTTAAAAAAGCATCTCAAGATTGAACCTGATTTTTTGTTCTCAATAAGGTCTCAACATTCTAACCTTATTCAGCGCTCATGCTCATATTCTCATTTCAAATTGTTACCATGGAAACCGTTGTAGTTTTCTCTCGATTTCAGCACCTTCTCAGTCTTTATTCGTCGAAGTACAAGTAAATGGAGAAAATAATACTCGTTTGAATCACTCCATTTGCAATAGCATCGTGAAAAATCGAGGCGAGGGGCAGCTAAGCTGCTCTCCACAAGCACGGGGCGGATCTGCAATGCAAGTTCGAGGTCAAGGCAATCACACCATTTGTGCTACATACTTGCCATCGGGAGTCCACTCGCAACACACTACATAGTCCTTCTATTAAAGCGCTTTAGCCTCGTAAACGGAAGTTAGTAACTAAATCAGCTCAAAATGGCAGAAGCACAAATATCACCCAAAAGTATGTTCTTTCTTACCTAGGCAGCTTCCATGGGACTCTCCGGATGTTAACTGGTCAGAGCCTTACCTATATACCTCATCCGACGAGAATGCGACCAGCTCAGACCTCCGGGTCCAAGAGACGCATATCTTGCAAGAGCGCAAAATTGGCGTTTTTGGCGCTATTTCCCTTATCGTGAATAAGATTATTGGCGCTGGGTAAGCTCTTTGTTCTACGCTCCGATAGAATGATAACTCACCAGGATTAGAATCTTCTCCACCCCGGCAACTATCTTCAAATTAAGTGGTAGCCCGGGTATGGCTCTTATCCTTTGGGTTCTCGCTGGTATCATCTCAACATGTGGAGCCATGGTGATGCTAGAGTTTGGTACCAGCATTCCTCGGTCTGGAGGCATGAAAGTCTATCTAGAGAGGTCATTTTCTCCTAAGCTACTTTTTACTTGCATTTACCTCTTCTATTGTGCTATCCTACGTAAGTTGGAAATCAAGCCTTGTCCACCTGTTGCTTCTTAAGTAACCGCTAATCATCTCACAGAGACCTCGGCTAGCAATGCCATCACAGCTTCCTCATATATTCTCAAGGCTGCAGCAGTTAATTCAACAACATGGAAGCTGCGTGGGCTAGCAATCGTGGCGGTGTCCTTTGCTGTTGGAGTTCATAGTGTTGCGCCACGACTTGGAAGAGGAGTGCAAGATATTCTCAGCGCAGTGAAACTTTTCATCCTGTTCTTTATTGTCTGCACCGGGTTTGCTGCACTGGGGGGCCATGTTCGAGGAACTAAGCCTGACAATTTTGATATCTCGACATCATTCAAGGGCACGTCGAACAATGGTTACAATATTGGAACAGCTTTGTTGAATGCGATTTTTTCGTTCCAGGGATATGACAACATGAATGCGGTAAGTCAGGCTGATGCGTGGTTGATAGGACTTGGCTAACATTCTGTTTTAGGTGCTTTCGGAGGTCAAGAATCCGCAGCGTACTCTCTGTATTGCACTGCCGACGGCCATGGGCACTGTTACTGTGCTCTATATTCTTGCAAATATTGCCTACGTGAGCCACGCTCTTCCCCTCGTTAAATTCTATAATTGGTGATCATCTTCACTAAAGTTGAAGCAGTTCGCAGGTGTCTCACGCGCAGAGTTCTTGGAATCCGATCTTACCATTGCAGCTTCTCTATTCAACAATGTCTTCGGTCATTCCGCAGCAGTTAAAGCCCTTCCAGCACTAGTGGCTATCTCTGCAATCGGGCATCTTCTCGGTGTTGCCTTCACAGTCTGTATGCTTAAGTGACAGTCCCTCATGTTTATTCCAATCTTCTAACGAGCGATTTTTGGCAGCACGAGTTCTTCAAGAACTGGCTAAAGACGGCATAACCCCCTTCCCCAACGTTCTCATGCAGAACCGCCCATTCAAAACACCTATTTTCTGTCTTGCTATTCACTTAGCAATCACTGTTATCTTTATATGCGCTCCTCCCGCAGGCGATGCTTTTGATTTCGTCGTTGGCCTGGGCACTTATCCGACGGTCCTCCTCTTGACTCTCGTCACGATTGGACTGATCAAATTACGTCTTGACAAGGATGATAACTTCCAGTCATCGTTCAAAGTACCCTGGGCTATACTAGGATTGTACTTGGCAGGAAATTCCGTGAGTCAAGTGTTCCCAACTTGGTGAGCGATCATCAAGCTAACGGTATTAGTTCCTCCTGATCATGCCTTTTGTCCCGCCAGTCAACGGAAAGGGAAGCACGAGTCTTCCATATTGGTTGTCTCCTGTTGTTTCCTTGGCGATATTAGCCATGGGAGTCATTTACCATGTGGGGCGATTCATCTTGTTCCCCTGGGTGTTTGGATATGAGCTTGATCTGGTGGCTGTGGGTCTTAGTGATGGATCACGGGTCTCGAGGTATAAGACCCGTGAGGCCTAAATAATCTATTCCGATCTACCTGTGTTTACACAGTCTTATCTGTAGACAAATTTGGTTAAAAAGTTTTATGTTTAGGAAAAGATAAGATGAAAACGTTATGTCTCCGAATCGCGCTCAGCGCATGTATTAAAACTGGCAATCCACTATGTATGAGTCCAGCAATCAATCATCTCCGATTAAAATTTTCAAACAAGAATGAAGCCGCTTCCATTCACTCCGCATATTGTCATACAGCCTCTACTTGCGCTCAACATTCTCAACAGTAACCGAGCCGGGCTTTTCAGTTACTTCGTGAGGAGCCTGAATAACCGCAGCCTTCTGGTGAGCCAGAACCTCTTCACCCTGTACAACGTGATTGGCACCACCGAACAGAGTATCAATCTCCTCGAGGGTAACCTTCTTAGTCTCGGGAATGAAGAAGAAGACGAAGACGGCCAGCAAGAAGTTGATACCAGCGAAGAAGTAAAAGGCGTAGAAGCCATCGTGGTCAAGGAAGATGGGGAAGAACTGCTGGAAGATGGTGTTGGCGACGTTCTGGGTCTGCGAAGCCATACCGACAGCTTGGGCGCGGACGTTCATCGAGAAAATCTCCGATGTCCAAATCCATACGGTGGCACCCCAAGATGGTTTATCTGTGAGGTCATTAGTTTGTGGTTTTAAGGTCATGACAGATGAGAAACTCACAGAAGAAGATAAACAGGAATAGCAAGAACACGATCGCAATACCGACAGGTTCGGTTTTAGCTCCGTTTGCCCCAGTCGGCGTCTCGGTTTCGACGGCAGCAACGATGATCATGCAAATTCCCATACCAATAGCACCAGCAATCAGAAGAATCTTTCGTCCAAAGCGATCGACGATCCACATGGCGTTCAAGGTGAAGAGAATACCACAGGTGGCGTTGAGAGCGTTGATGAGAGCAATCTGGCTGCTGCTGGTGAAAATTTTGGAGTAAATTTTGGTAGAGTAGGAGTTGAGCGAGCCCTGGCCGGTAATCTGCTGACCAGCGTTGAGGATCAAAGCCAGGTACATGCGCTTGCGAAGAGACTTGTCCTTCCACAGAGCACTGTAGTTGCCGGAGATCGCCTCCTTCTCGTATTCGATGGCCTCGCGGATCTGCAAGATCTCGTCCTCAACCTCCTCTTCGGTGTCTCGCACGCGTCGGAGGGCGGCACGGGCCTTTTCAATGTTGTTACCATGCTTGATGAACCTGGGTATTGTCAGTGATTATTCATATGTTCCGTGTGAAGTAATGACTCACCATCGAGGGCTACCAGGGATGGTCGGGAGTGTAACAAGAATCAAAATGGGAACCATAAGCTGGAAGATGACAACCAACTTCCAATCCCACTCACCCAGGCTGAGCTTGTGCTTGGTGCAACCGTAATTGATCCAGAAGCAAATGAAAGATCCGACTGAGTAGAACATCTGCCAGAAAGTCATGATCTGACCACGAATTTCAGAAGGAGCCAGTTCGCCGATATAGATGGGGCCAGCCGCTATTCGATGCCAGAGTTAGCTTTTGCTTTGCAGTAAACATTACAGCGAGATACTTACTCAAGGCAATACCCTGACCAACACCAATGAGAACACGACCACCGATAAAGCACGCAAGGTTGTGACGGGGGGCAAAGGTCTGCATGAATGTAGCAATAATAACCAGGACACAGCCCGTCGCCATTCCGATCTTACGGCCGGCATAGTCGGCGATGGGACCACCGCAGAAGAAACCTCCAAAGATAGCACCGACGGTATACGCAGTATTGATGGATCCGATTAGCGCAGAATTGGGGTTATTGAACCAGGCCACCCAATTCTTGGAGCCTTGGACGGAGTTGAACACGGAGGCATCGTAACCGTACAACACCATGCAGGCCGCGGCGACCAAAGACACGAACCTAAAGGATAGTTATAAGAGAATTGCCTTTTTTTTTGACAATGTTGCAGTCGACTCGACATACCAGTTGTAAGCCCGCTTAGAGCTAACCCGACCAACCATTTTGACGAATGTAGAATGAAATCAATCTACTATATAAACGCCGGGGATTGTTGAGAAAGCAGCGCTGTTGACGCTGGACACCAGGTGGCTGAGCCTATTGGTGAGGATTTTGAGGGACAACCAAGTGCTTCGCTCAATGCGATTCCAATCAAGGGGAAGAGGGGAGGGGGGAGTTCGATCAGGCCAGGAGGAAACGTTCAGCAACCCACAAGTTTGGGGAAGAAAGAACGGGCGGAGTCTGCCCCAGATATATAACTCTCTGACACGCCATTTTTCTGGGGGAAGAATAGCTCAACCCCAGCGCCCTAGGCCAAGAAGAAGAGTCACTGCACCAATCAGCCCATGTCCGCGTGGGACGCCCCCAGGCGACGCTAAGCACGGCGAGCATTTTGATAACGGTAGTCCTGTCCTCATGGGGATCGCTGAGTGGTGGGGTATTTCGAGACTACCACACATGGCAAAGGGCCATACGCACACTGTAGTCAGCTTATTGGACTATTGATGGCTGGAATGCATGGTGCAGACCTGGGGTAGCCGTGATCTGGGGTTCGAGGATATTTTGTCCCGTGGGGACTGGTGTCCTTTGCATTTCCACGAATCAACAGCCAGCCGGACCGGGGGCTGGGAGAAAGTTGACTCCACCAATCGCGGGCTGATAAAAGAGACATACGAAGTACCAACCCCCAAATCACCGGGTAAACAGAGTCCTGGAGAAACGCAGATTGGGTGAAGCGAAGCGAGGTTCTTGATTGAATGCTGATTGAGAGGCAAAGAGTGGAGCTATGGAGCTATGGAGAAAGAGGAAACCCACATTCTCCAGATTTCCCCCAGACGACCCCAGATCAGGTGAGCGATTCACGCAGTCCACCAAACGACTCGACTGCTGTAATCAGCGCCTATCTCGTAGTTGATTAGAAGCAGCGAATTTTAATACTCGCTGGCCGCTAAGGGGTATTTGTGGGATAGTCAGATAGTTAGCCTGTATGTGACTGGAGTTTGATAGATCTCTTCTGGTCTCTTTCTCAGAATCTTACCTTCTTCACCACCTTCAATCCTTCCATTCTAGCCTGACAAGGGGGTGTGACGGAACAGTAGAATTGGTGGATACCCGAAAAAGGAGATGCTATAGATCCATCAGTATTATTTATATAAAATGCCTATCTAAATTGCCAGCTAGGGGGCTACATAGTAATTCAGACTTATTGCGATTTCAATTGGTGCACCTAATGGCTTACTAAACTTCGTTCCTCTAGGCCGAGGTTTCTGCCAAAGCGATGGCTATCCGGCGGTCAATCGGCACCCCCTCGGCATCACAGCCTCAATATAAGCAGGCCGCGCCCACAGGATGTACACGCTGGGCATGCGGTGGCCTTTCGCCACTGTATTCCCCTTTCTTCTTGTTTGTTTCCTGTTCGCATGAAAGATACTGTATTTAAAATGATGTTTGAGGAGTAGGCTTTCAACTCCTCAAGAAACAGTCTCTGACACAATTGGACTTGGTGATTTGCTCTCCTACCTAATTGACAGGGTTTCTGGTGCCAAGTGAGATTCCGGCCTCATTATTCAGTCTTGGCCAGTCTTACGACTGAGCATCTAGACAATGTCACATCCCATACCATCTAGATTCTTCTTTAATGTTAAATTGCAATTGACATCCCTATGAACACCTGTAATACTCCCCTCCTATCTATCATCCTTCGCTAGTATCGCATTCTCCGCTTTAAGTATACTCCTAACATGGAAAAGAAGAACATAGTAGTAGTTTTAGGAGCAAACTTTGTCAACTTATCAATAATTCCATATAAGAACATTATTCTACCCTTCCCTGGGTCTCCTTTAAATCCAGAGCAGTTGACTCTGTTGCTCATGGCGCCATCGTTTGAAATCAGCATGGTCGAGGTTCCAGTTATGCGTGTCTTTCAGTAGTCCACCCTTGGCCATCTCGATACGATCCTTGTCGTGGCGAGTATTCGTCGTCTGTAACTCCGGTAGGCAGACTTGGTTTCCTGATGCCGCAAATTGCTCTGAGACCGGTAAGTGTAGTACGTACGTATTCTCCTTGCATGAATTCTTCAAGACCTGAAGTTTCAGCCCCAACAGGGCACTGCGCTCTCTGCTTAGCAGCGAAATCTGGCAGTGATTGACTTTCCCATCGCACGAGATTGGCCGATCACATGCGGCTTAGCTTTGATTTCGTACTTAGAATTTGCCAGGGGACAGGGGAAAATTGCCACTAAGTTTCACAGCCTCAGCCATCACTATTTCCCTCCTATATACTCTCTTCTGTTGGCTCTCTACTACGAACCTTTAAAGGTTCTAACTCTTGGCAGTTCAAATCTTGCTCAGTTCTCTCGCAGGCTTCTTTCCCTCAACGCATAGCCTCGCACTTCACATCTGCTATCAGCCACCATGCCTTCCTGCAGCTATGATTGCTCTAACCCCCCAAGTGAAATCAATCCTGACAATGACATTACTGGGATTGGGCTGAGTTTACCTAGGCCCATAGCTTCGTCTCGAACCATGAACGAGGGCTAAGGATCATTGAGGTCACCATTGGCTACACTGCCACTGCGGGGATTGTTGTTGCGATTATTGTTGTCCACTACCTTGCAATATACCAGCCCAGTCAAGATCCATTTCGTAAAGACAATGACGCCGTAGAGCTCACCAACAAACCAGTCGAATTCAAACCCAATCCCGTGGATGAGATGGTCATTGGGTTCTTCCGCAGAATGGGGAGCAAGATGAGCGGGGGTGGGTGCATCAGCTCTAGGACACATCATAGGCTTGAGCAGGCATTCACCAAGGTAAGCAGAGATTATTCATATATCAAACCCCCCCTTTCCGTGACACTAACCTCTAATTTGTACAGTCTGTCCTTTCCATGAGCGATGCCCAGATTATCACTGGCATTGCCATCTTCATTAGCGGGCTGGCACAGCTCCCATGTGGTCTTTCCTGCTTCGAGTTTCAGATATTGGTGAACTTGGCATGGTTCTCCAGTCTCACACATCTCTCGTGTCTGACTGTTCTGCGGAACTACCTATGCAATCGTCCAGTAGAGCGCGCCTGGCGGCTTCTTTCAATGCTTGTTCTCGTCGTCATGCTTTCCATTGCTCTTGTTCCTACAGCGAATTATGCCTGGGCCAACTCCTTTTGGGCGGATAACGAAGTGCATCCTCCCCCAAATCTCACAGGTCCTGCCATCTGCTTCCTGAAGCCTGACCGTCAGTATCAGACTTTAATCTCGTTACTGTCGTCCACGATTTCTATCGTCCTCATCTCTCTTGGTTACATATTGCGGGTAATCAGACTCCACCAACCATTGTCATCTTTTGTGAGCAGAAGCGTCCGGGGAAGGCTGAGTAATGCTGCCCGCTGTCTACTCCGCACTGTCTTTCAGTGGTGTCATTCAGATGGATCTTCACAGAGCCTAAAGCGCCTATTGTGCTATCGACCACTTTTGGCTGTATTCTTGGCCATGCGCATCCTCCTCGACTTTTGGTCCTCTATGCTTTTTGAGGTAAGTGTGAGGCCCCTTATCTACTTGACTTGGATCCCACTTCGAAACAGAAAATGCTAAGTAGCCTTAGGTATGGTGGCTAATCATCAGTTTTATCTGGGGTACCTCCAGACTAATGGTAATTCGCAACCATCATTCGACTGGAAACGACCAATGGACTTTCGGACAGGTCACAGCCGTCCTCCTTCTAGCGATTCCACTCGTAGCAATATTTGAATACTTTTATCCAGGTACACCGTCTTCTCTCTCGCGTCTTCCCAAAAAGAAAGATCTCCACTAACTCAAAGGATAACAGACCCCAAAGCTGATCTGGCCACACAGCAAATTTTGGTCTCGAATAACACGAGGGAGCAGCAAAGTATCACATCATTACAAAGGTATAGCGAACCAAGCACGTCATTCTCAACACTTTCCTCCTCTGCTTGTGTGGTCGATGACCCAGACTCTGTTACCTTCTACGACTCTGGCTTGCTCACCATGCCCACTCTCTGGACCTTGCTCTCAGCTCTCCCAGCCATTCTTGTGTTAACTGTCGTTGGCTCTAATGTGTTGACTATCGCTGGCTCTAATATGAATGATGCTTTTTTTATATATGTCTTTTGGACAGGGCCCAGTTTCGACGCTTCTTGGCTTGATTTTTTTATGACCTCTTCTCTCCTCACATTGATTTGCAGTTTTTTTATATTAGTCATTGCCATTTTGTTTTCCTTCCTGATCTTAACGAGAGGAGCCCAAGCAAGAACTCAACATCCAAGGCGCCGAACAAAATTTCGGGTCTTGGTTTTCGTGGTCCTTCTTTTAATATTTTACAGCCTCTTCATGACGAGAACCTTCATACCGAGAATCTGGGCCTTCTGGACGACTATGTTAGAATACCTTGCGCTTCCCGCTATAGCAGGTATATATATACTTTGTTCCTTGTTAATGGCGGGCTAGTGGACCATATATCTCATTGAATTTGTCGAAAGTTTACTCTGATCGATCAATGTCCAGAGGTAAAATAGCGGGAAATAGATTAGCTATAATAGACACTTAAAGGATTTGGATTTCCTACTGTTATATAGAGCTTAATTAAGTCTCCTAGACGGTATTTTATGTTTTTAAATTAAATACGATTCAGGGTAGTTATTAAGAGGAATAAGACTATTTAATTCCTAAGTTAAGTGTTAGGACCTTGCTTCGCTAGGGCCTATGAGGTGATGAATGAGTTAGAGTGAAGGAAACCAATTGACTCGATTGTATGGGTGAATCAATCGCTAAGGTTCTAATACTATGCACGGTGTGTGTATTGTTCCCTGCGCTTGCTCAGCAGTACGTTGAGCCATAAAGACCACATATACAGTCCCTTCGAGGGTTAGGCCGAGAGGGTCGCAACATTACCCCCCTCCTGAAGGGCCTACGTCCTCGTAGGCCGAAGGTGAAACGCCCGTCCTTCCTATCCCTTCGCGTTTTGCAGGTCAACGCTGCTTCTTTATGAGATAGGGGTCTCTCACGTTCGATTAGGTGGTTTTGAGACCATTCGGTAACTGCGATTGGGACGTCTCGAGGGCATCCTTCGTCTAGGACTCTCGATTGATGAAATTTCTCGGTTGTATAGCGAGTAGCCAGGGAGGGTTTTCTTTGTGACTACGCGGCGTTTAGAAAATTCTTTATTGGCAGCCGGCGGTAGTGCGACCCTTTCTTCGATAAAGACCCTCTCCCTTGCGAGGATTGCGAGAAGAACGAGTTTCTTCCTCTTCTTCGTCACGATGTCAAATTAGAATCCTATCCACATCCCTACTTATCCGACAGCTGTGTGGTGTATGCGATGTGTGAACAGGGTTAGCACGGTGTCAGCGCACACGTGTTTCCCGGCCCCGAGCGGTATAAAGTGTGCATACTGTTCGTATCTCCGATAAGAATGCCTTATGGTAAGCCCTCTTGGTGCGAGCCTCCCGGCCGAGGATTGGAGGTTAACCGGTCTTACAGGTTGACCCTCGGCTTGATCCTAAAGCTAATGCGTTTATCCAGGCGCCCTTCAATAGATTATGGCCTAGATTGATTATAATCGATCGATTTCTACGGTCAGAAGCTAATATAATTTAATGTTTTTATAGTAAAGGGGTGGGGGGAAGTAGGTCGAGAGTTCTGAATAGCTTCATGGTATATTATCAGCCTAGTTGAATTAAATTAAGTTCGAAAGGATACGTGTAAGTAAGTAAGAAGGAGGTTGTTGAAATTGCAATTAACGGGCTTAACGGGCTTAGAAGAAATCAGGCAGTAATGCGGTACTTCAGGCCAAATTCAGGCCCCAGGTCGTGCCAACATCGTCACCCCATCTTTAGGAGTAGGCGGGCTTTCTAGACTCTCTTATATAATTTAAGTAACTATAATATTACCCACGCTAATAGTCCAATAAGAGACGATCGTCTCTAGAGTGATACTTTAGCTAGGCTAATATGTATTAATAGAGATTAGCCTGCGGCCGACCTTCTTACCTAGTTCGACGAGAAAGGTAAGGCTCCTAAGTATTTAAGCTTTACCGTTGATAGAGGAATCGACTTCGGTATTCTTAAGACCTACCTCGTCTCTAAAGCTATGGCGTTTTCTACCCACATCACTAAAGCGACTTATGTGTGCCTCCTTAGAGACTGAAAGCTTAGCTTTTGATTTGGTAACTCTGAATGGGTAAAAACAAAGCGCCTTTCCTAAGCTGTTCGAGCATGTGATTACTGTTCCCGTTGAAAAAGGTATTTCATTTAACACCCGCTTAATTGAGGACTTAGCAGCACTGTATTTGAACGTAGTTAGCTTTCTGTGATCACCTGTCATTCGCTTAAATTTAGAGAACTATTCAGACGTAGGGAGAAACCAAAATCTGACAATTAAGGAGTGGCCATTCTGTAATTAACGTTGTAGATAGTTAGGCTAGCCTAAGCTAAGGCCACGACCTTAAGTAGTGATCATCAGAATATAGAGGAAAGGATGACCGATGTGTACTGGAACGGATAGTACCTGACGATCGTTTTTTCTAAATGAAAGTGATTTTCTAAAGTATCCCAAAGAAGCTTAATCTTCTCAAGCGATATCCCCACTCTAGACTCCATAGTTAACCTCGTCTAGAACTCACCGCATATACCTGGCATTTCCAGAATTTGGGGGTTCCCGGGGACATTTCTATGCTGTATATAACAAGCCTGTGCTTTCTTTCTCTCTTTCTCCTCGAATTGTCTTGGAATCCGGATCATAACTGGTAACTTGACAATCGTTTCCATTGAGGCCACTATGAGTCACGTGTTCTCGCGCTTCTCCAACGCGGTCCCGCGCGCCGCAGAAGGAAAAAAGTCCAGTTGCTCTCACTTGCTCAGAACCAATCAACCTGCCTTTTCCTTAGGCCTTTGCATCGGCCTACTCAAGAACTGATCTTAATATGAGAAAAAACCCTTTACAATGAATTAAGTCCTTAGCACTAGTTTGGATCATCTTGCACCCACACGAACGTCATCGCGATGCCCCGCAAAACGAATAAGAAGCAGACACGGCTTGCTTTTGCACCAACCGTCCCCTCCGGCGATCCAAACGAGACTGAAAGTGATCGCTTCGCCAGGCTGTCCTACGGGCATCCTAGCTTCCCTACTGTGCGACTTGAAATGCCCCGTCAAACCAAACATGAATCGCCGCCTGTGGAAGCTAGCTCGTTAACCGCCACTACGTCCCATCGGAAGGCTGCTTCGGTGAAAGAGAGCAAGCACGAGAAGAGGGAGAAGAACGAAAAGGAGAAAGACAAAAAAGACAGGAAGGCGAAGAAGGAGAAGAAAAAGAGCAAACCGAACGAGCAACAGGCCGAAGGTAAGTTTACAAGGCCAACTCTCGTGTTTTGGTTGTTTGTGTGCTGATACCTACGAAAGTACAACCAGCTCAGCAGAAGATGGAAGATTCCTCGGATGATGAGATCGTGGTTCTTGGGCCTTTGAAGCAAGCGCGACGCGCCGCAGATGTCGAATTCTCCATCATGAAGCCCTTCAAATCCCCTCAGTCACCACAAGCACCCTCTGATCCGCCTAGCAACGTCATAAATATTGTTTCTTCCGAGGAAGACGAGGGAGATATAGTCCAACCGCGTCGCAGATTGAAGCGCAAGGCCGAGCGCTCTTCGGTCATATTGAGCGACTCGGATGATTCTGAACCAGTGGTGTCGTCGCCTGTCAAGAGGAGACGCCGGGTCTCGCCTACGGAGACTCCCCAAACACCTCATTCTAGTGTGGATAAAGACCAACAAGAACTGGAGGATGATGTGAAGGATCTTCAAGACTCCGGTATAGTCATCATCTACGCTCGATATGCGAACATGGTCTTGTCCACTAACATGCTACAGTTGTTAAAAACACTCGTACTCGCGGTGGGGTATATGAGTCTGCAAGAGATAAAAAGCTGAGGCTTCTGGAGACTCTCCGTCGCCGACGTGCCGGACAGAAAGAAAAAAGCGAGGACGAGGAAGAGGAAGAGAATGAGGAGTCCGAAGCTGAACTTCCACGGTCCAGCCCAACGCAGCATTTCTTCAACAGGCGACGGATTGACAACGATGACAGTGAGGTCGAATCCGCGATCGACGCCAACGAAGATCTGGACCGCTACGAAGATGACTTTGTGTTGGAAGACAATGAACTCGGCGTCCCTACCGAAGAGATTCCATTCGAATTCACTCGACATGCATACAAGCAGCCGAAGGAGTACTTCCGCGATGTCGTATCCTGGATGGTCCACAATCGAATTGATCCGGCATTCCCCCGCGACGACGCCATGTACCAAATGGCGTTCCAAAAGCTTGGGGACGAGGTTAAAGCGCGCGCCGGCTCTTCGCTTATCTCTTCCGTCTGGACACCCAAGTTCCGCCAGGTTCTGTTGGCGAGGCCGTATCTCGAGATCACGGGGTTTCCCACCTCTTTCATGCATTCGTGTGATGCTTGCAATCGCGCCGGCCACCCCGCATCCTCAGACCTGAAGTTCTACGGCAAGGCGTATTCCGAAGAGACCTTAGAGCCTCTTACCGACGAAACTAGCGATGACGACTCGTCCGATGCATCTGACTCTAGCGACAGCAGCAATGATGATAGTAGCGATGTGTCCGACGTGGAGCGCGATCGCGATGGAAATATTCTACCTGATGAAAACACCCGCTTCTATCTGGGAAAGTAAGTTGAATCTGTGTCCAACTCATTTGGTATTTGTCATGCTAAGAGGTCACTAGAACCTGCAAGGCGAATGCTTATATGGCCCATATCCTTACCCACTGGCGATTTCAACTCAACGAATGGGTTGTCGACTACCTCCGACGCATGGGACATATGGAAGACGCCGAGGTCCTGCGACGCGAGAACTTGAGCCAGAAGCGTAAGACACGAAACGCGATTGATGCATGTAAGAAGATGGAGGCAGACGGTGAGATCGAGAAGCTCTATCGTGACTTTCATATACATCTCAAGACCGCTCGTGAGAAGACAGTAAGTTTTTCTTGCTGACCTTTGATTGATTTTGTCGGCATCGTGCTAACGTACTTTATCATTCTAGTCTACTATGGAGCTCTTACAAAATATTGCATGAGAAGCTTCCAATACGCATGAGGATTATATCTATCCTCGGCTGATGAAGCCTTTGTCTTAGCGTTACGTAATGATACCCAAGCTCTTAACTATATCTTATCATACAACTTGTCTTTGAACGTACATAGCGATTACCTATCATTTGGCGCCATGATGCGGCTTGGTTTGAGCTGGCTTCAAGACTGTGAAGGGAGCCATTCCCTTGATTAATGTACTCCCAAGCACGAAATTCGGTGAGATCGAACAACTCAATAGCATCACTTAGACATACAAATCACGAGGAGAAGCAAAGGAGAAATAAAAAAGCGTATATAGAGGATATGGAGAGAGGAAAAGGAAGATGGTTGTGATTGTACAAATACATGCATGCATAAGCTGCCGGAGCCAAAATTTCTGGTGGAAAGACATATCAAGAAGCGAGGAACAGAAAAAGGGATGAATCAGTCGGGAATAGAATGACTTTACAACAACAACGGTGTTGAAGCCGATCATTTCAATCCGAGATGGTTGAAAGAGTTTGCTACAGGCCGACGGAATTGAGGATTATCGGGGCCAAAGGCTGGATTTCATCCGCCATGTTGTTGGTTCCATGTCGATCTTCTATCAATTATGTGATCGACCATCAAGTCATTCGGGTGTGTTGCCCGTTCATCCCGTTTCTCATGGCGGAGTTAATTTACAGAGTGGCCTGGACACCCTGCTTCTCGGGCTCGGCACCGGGCGTGAGCATCTGTTGGAAGGATATGTGGTCAGCAAAGTGAAACAGTCCAAACCTTCACGACTGGAATGACACAGCAGTGCCTGGTCAGGTAGAAAAACTGCAATAAAAGTTTTCCACACCATCCCGAAGCAAGAGAAAATAGGATGAATGCAGGCGATCAACGTAACTCAAAGTTCAGATACGCGCCACATTCCATCACTCGAGCTGATGTACTGGTCGAGGGGATTTTATAATCTTACCTCGTTGGCACCCTTAATCATGCCCTGCTCCCGCTCCATCTGAATGTACTGCTCCTCCTCGGCGTAGGCCAACGCCCATGGGACACCGATCAGGAAAGCGCTGGTGCTGATGATCCAAAGAGCCTTGCCGCTGAAGGACAGGCTGGACTTGGTGAGGGATGTGACGGTGGAGACGGTATTGCTGACGGTGCGGCGCGCGCCGGGGGGGATGATGTCTTTCAAGGCGGAGAGACGCTCGTAGAGGGACTCCTCCTCGAGCTCGAGGTCCTCCTCCTCCTCATCGTTGGAGATCTCGGAGTCTGTGTTGATGAAAAATAAAAGTCAGATCGCGTTCGATAGATTGAGCATGATAGTGTCCAAGTGTGATGATTCTGAGAATGCGTTTGCGGAGACGTGGATCGAGGCCGGTCGGGTTTAGGGGACATATTATGGGGAATGTCGACTCGGGTCGGGTTAATTCTCCCATGGCATTTGATGCCGCATCCCGGTGCGATATAATACGCGCGATACGAAGGGGCTGAAGGGACTGAACAAACGTGAGTTCGTCAAACACTTACCAGTGTCGGTGTAATCCTCCTCGTCATCGGAAACCAGCAGGGCATCGTTCTTGCTGGGAATGGGCTTTTCGGTGAAGTGCTCATCCTCGACCTCGGTAAGCTTGACCATTTTGGCGGTTGTGAATTGGTTGGAAGTGGGAGATTTCAAAGATGATAATTGACCGGGATGGAGATGGATGATGGAAGAACGGCGAGTTGGCGCTCCGACTTTTTTGCCGGGCAAAAGCGGCGAGGAAGCTTGGACCCGCCGGAGCGCGACATCATCGGAGTGGACGAACAGGCTCGGGTAGACTTGAGAATTATTACCTTACAAGTTGGCAAGAGAGGAGTCTATTAGAATATTTTACAGAGTTGTGTTTGATAGTACTTTCTATTATACAATAGATCCACCCGATGCAGATGCATCAATCTCTCTCAGGACTTGTCTGGCCATGCGACACTTTACCCGTAGTAGAAGCCCCAACGGTCCAGTCTATCCTTGGGACGCTATAATCTATTTATCGCTGGCCAAGCTTCCAACGAGAAATACGCTCTTGGATCTCCTCCCACGGGAATGGCCGGAGCTTGTAACCCTCTAGCTCGCCCTCCTGAAGCACAACCGTGGGCTTGCCGGTGCCTTGTCCATTGTTCTGAACGCGGCCACCAAAGACCTGCCGGGCGACACGACGCAGATCCTCGACAGTAAGGGCCTCAATCTGGTCGCACATCTCGCGAACACCGACCTTGCGGCCGTGCACCTGCACCTGACGGCCGAGATCTTCAAGTTCCACCATGCGGGACTCGAGGTTCATGAGCAGCGATGATCGGAGCTGGTTCTTCGCGCGGTTGACCTCCTGGGTCTGCAAAGCAGTGTAGCCGGTGTCCAGGGTCAGAGACTGCAGCTCGCGGCACATCACCTCAAGCATATCGGCGGTCCGGGTGGGACTGCACGACGCGGAGATACCGAAGATACCGCTGTCGGTGTAGCTGTGGTTGAAGGCCACGCAGCTCTCCACCCAACCGTGCTGGTTCAGAACGTTGGTATAGAGGCGCGAGTACATACCCTTGCCGGGGCCGCCAGCGGAGAAGGATCCACCGCCACCAAGCAGCGTCTGGAGGGTAGCGAGGGCGTAGATATCAGGAGAGGAGATGGGGAGTGCCTCAAATGCAAGGTGAATGTGACTCAGCCGCGGCAACATGGGGTTGGCCGGGGGTGGGATCGGCGGGAGGGCGATGAAACCACCGGTATAATGAGCTGGTCTGCGGAGATCCAGAGCCGATGGCTCGATCAAAGACGGGTGTAGAGGCTCGACGGTGGCCTTCTTGTTTGCGGAGGAGAGGTTCTTGAGGAAAGGTAGCTTCGACAGGAGAGATGAGTGCGTTTGCTGCGAGGCGGCTGGGCTGCTCGTGGTCGAGGATGGGGTGAAGTGAGGAACGGTAGGCAACTGGCCCTCACTGGCGACAGAGGGAGAGTTTGATAGTGTGGTGTCGATTCCAGTTCCTGATAGTACGGGGCCCCTGCTCGTATCTCTTGCCTTCATATCTCCAAAATACTGCTCAGTGAGCTTGACGGCCTCGGCATGGGACACACCGGCGAAAGCGACGACCATGCGGTCCGGGTTGAAAAACACCTCCCGGTATCGCTCAACGACCGCCTTATTAATCTCACCCAGCCTCTCACTTGGGCACAGCAACGGGTTGCCGAGGGTGTTGTCCTTGAAGGCAGTCATGTGGACCAGCTCCGGCAGGATCAACTCCGGCTTTGCCCAAATCTCACCAATCTCATACTCGGCAGTCGCAAGTTGTTGAAGCACCTCATCCTCTGTAATTAGAGGATCCCGAATCGTCTCCGCCAGTAGACCGAGAGTTGTGGGGACTGCCGAGTTGAAACTGGCAGATTGGTACATGAGTGACTCGCGGGACGAAGCACATTGAATATTACCGCCTAGCGACTCGAGAACCTCCAACATCTCATCTGCTGTGCGCGTTTTGGTCGACTTGAAAGCAAGTCTGTCCATGATGTGGCTTACACCGCGAAGGCTCGCATCTTCATAACGAGATCCGGCGTCGACGTAAACTCCGACACCAGCGAAGGGACCGGGTAATGATTCTGTAGCAACTCTAATTCCATTTGGGAGCGTGGTGATCTGATCAAGGTCGACGGGGTCCTATAATTCGTAGACACGGCTCGTTAGATGGAGGGGGAAAAGACAGTTCTGGGTTGTTTAGAAACCAAATACCTTGGCCGAGTCATTCAGAGTAGCAAAGCTTCTTGACACGGAGCGAGAAGCTCGTGAGATAGGCTTCGCGGACTCAATGGCCCGCAATGCAGAGCGGCGCATGTTGCGTTTTGTCTCGGATACGCGTAAAGGTCCTGGCGAATACTAAAAAGGCGTCCTGCACGCTTTCCTTGGAGATCTGGGGGTTGCGGAAATGCGGCGCCGGCGAAGAATCGATTCCGGAGGACTGCGCCGACTTCGATTATCTAATCAGATTCACGCTCGGCGTAGTTAACTGCGTACCCGACGTGAGCTGAGCTACCCCGAATTGTTTAGTAGACGAGATCGACCTAGTGATCTGAACAAATTTTCATCTTACGAAGATTAATGTGTCCAGCTGCAATTATCAAGCACAAAACCATGATCTAGGCCTCGAGACACAGCGCAAGCACCGGTTAGAGGTGCTGACCAAATTTCGAGAATCTAGAACTATGATGACATATTCTTATTCCGACCCGCAATTTCCTATATGGTAGACGAAGGATATTGTTCATTGCACATTATTACTAGATTATTCTATTGAAATTCAGAAAACAAAAAACATGATTATGGGTGCTCCACGGCCCAGTTGCGATACCAGTCAAGACAAGAAGCATTGGCAACACTTGCTCCAATCTTGATGTTGAGGCCACACAAAATTTGTTTGACAGCATTCTCAACCTTCTTGCCGTTTGAAGTGACAGGAATCTCGGGACAAACGTCGATCACGCCAGGAACATGGCGAGCACTCAACTCTTTGCGGACAGTGGCCTGAATCCGGGCAGAAAGGGTCTTGATATCAGAGGGGCACACGGGCGCGAGCTTGACGAAGAGGACAACCGTCTCATCGCTGTCGATACCATCTCGTCTGCGTCCAACGCACAAAGAATCTTCAATCTCATCAGTGAAGTGCTTGAGTAGGACATTGTAGATCTCTGCACTGCCGAAGCGGACACCCGATGGCTTGAGCACACCGTCACTGCGGCCAAGCATGACAACACCGCCGGTCTGGGGATTCACCCGAACAAAGTCTCCGTGGTGCCAGATGGAAGGTCCAAACACGTCAAAATAGCTCTTTCGGTATTTCTCCAGGCCGGTAGGACCGGGAGGCCAGAACATGACTGGCTGTGCTGGGAAAGGCATGGTACAGACAAGATCACCGGGTTCGCCAGAGTCACTGATATCGTTTCCGGCGTAGTCGAAGGCCGAAACAGCCATGCCCAGAGATCGGCATTGGATTTCACCCTTGTAGACGGGTAGGATGGGACATCCCGAGGCAAACAGGGACAGGATGTCCGTGCCACCGGTGATAGAGCCTAACATAATATCTTGATGGATCGAGGAGTAGATATACTCAAAGGTCGAAGGGGCCAGGGGTGATCCGGTGCTGAAAATAGCCCTCAAGGTCTTCAGAGTCACAGGTCGATGGGCATGCTTGCGAGGGTTTAGAGCCGCCTGCTCCAGCATAGACAGGTACTTGGCCGAGGTACCAAAGTGGGTGATCTGAAGCTCGTCGATGAGGCGGGGCATGGCCATTTCTCCATTGCCGCCCTCAACATCGAAGGGACGGAATGGTGAGCCATCGTAAAGAACGATGGTAGCACCACTGGCCAAACCAGAGACAAGCCAGTGCCACATCATCCAAGTGGTCGTAGTGAAGTAGAAAAGCCGATCGCCAGGGCGAATATCGCAGTGCAGAAGATGCTCCTTCTTGTGTTGAAGCAATGTTCCCAATGATCCGTGAACAATGGGTTTGGGTGCACCTGTGGTCCCTGAGGAATAGAGAATATAGACAGGGTGCTCGGGCTTCAAGCTTGCAAACTCAAGAGGAGCATTCTGATCACGGGCAGTGAGTTGGAACTCCCCCAAAGTCAAGACCTTTCCATTTGTGGGGCGAACACCTTCGAGGTTGAAATCAACGGACTTGGCAGTCTCGAATATCACGAGAAGCTCTAGATCGGGCAACTCAGAAACAATCTCGCGAACCTTGGCGTATGACCCATGCACCTTGCCATTATAAAGCGAGGCATTATCCGCAAAAACAATCTTAGGCTCAATCTGTTTCAGGCGCTCGAGCACAGCGTGAACACCCGTATCGGGAGACACACCTGTCCAGAAAGCGCCGATTGAGGCCGAGGCCAGCATCGCGACGACAGTGTCTGCATGATTGCCGACAAAGCCTGCCACACGGTCACCCGTCTTCAAACCAGCCTCTTTCAAGGCACTGGCGCATTGACGAACACGCTCACGAAGCTGCTTCCACGAGATAAACTCGCGATCTGCCTCCGTGGCGCCAATGATGGCGACGGAGTCCTCATCCGGAGCATTGGCTGGGTAAAGGAGATTCTCGGCGAAATTGAGGGTGCTTCCCTCGAAGAACGTAGGCCGAGGGAACATCAGCTCCTTGGACTCGAGAACCTTTGGATGAATTTAGTATCTATTGTAGATTTCCAATTGAGTGGATAGTACAATAATACTCACCTTCTTGTACGGCTCGTGAGCCTTAATGCAAGTATAGTGCCAGATTTCCTCCCAGAACTGGGCAGGCTCTGAGACACTCCATTTCCAGAGGGCATTGTAGTTATTGAGAGAGAGGCCGTGCTTCTTGTTCACCTTGGTCATGAAATCATATATTTGTGTCTTTTCAGGGGATGAAGGGCGCCAGAGCTCCTTCGCCTCCGGCGCTATAGCTTCATCAATGTGAGGCATCGTGATGAGTGAGCAGAAGTGTGTCAATATCACAGACCGTAAAGACTGGCCACAATATTGGAAGGGACCGTGAAAGAAGAAAAATAGAAACTAAAGAGAGGGCCCTAAGAGAAGGAATCTAGACGCAAGTTTCTTGTGCGACACACTTTTCTTGTAGGAGTTCTCCGCGAAGGGTAGGAGCAGTACGCTTTGGGGTAGGAGGGGCCCCGATCGATATGCCGAGAAAAATCTTTCCCCAACGCTCTATATCAGGTTCGTCTAAGCCTTAAACGACAGTGCATGGGTGGGACTCGAATTGACCCAGACCACAGCCTGTAATTGTCCCAACAAGGGGGTTCGCGGGGCGGCTCGAATCGGCTATCCGTTTACCGCGGCTTTGCGGGTAGAAGACAATGCACGGTTCTGTCGTACTTTATATGAGAGGTTGATTGACGATCTTAAACTTTGTCAGGTCTGTATGAGGAATTGCGTGTTTCTATGCAATCTTTATTCACCTCTCCTTCGCCTGAACCACCCTTAAATTGAGGTCATGGCTGGAACGCATGTAGACCTGGCGGGATTAAGTGCGGGATTGCGGGAGAACTTTATACTGCCTCAGGCAGAAAAGTGAAACCTCAGGCATTGACAGTCATACGGTCTCGACCGTTTTCGTCCTGCTAACGGCGAGTCTCAACTGATCCATTCACGAAATCTCAGGAACCGCGGCTCTTGAGGTTGCAGATTCTCTGCAGGGCCTCGGTGTCTACAGTTCTTTATCCTTGACTGTGTGTCTGGTAGGGGTTACCACACATCGTCCAACATCATCGGTTTTCCCCTTGCCCGAACCCGGCCATAGCTTTGGCGGACATTGGTAATGCGACCCTACTAACTATGTTGTGCAATCATGGTGAAGGTGGACTCTGGAGTACTCAGCTCACAATGCGTAGTCTGACGTCCTTCCATATTCGTACTCCCCGTTCTCCTGTACTAGGGAAAGCGCACTGAGCGCCGAACGCTACTAGTCCCCTTTTTGCCGCGCCAGCGAGTAGCACAGCCATATCAATCGTGATATTGAACGCCACGATGGAAATGATGCACGTCCTTCTCGTCTAGGCAAATTTATGGTAATCATCGAACAGTTTGCTTATGCTTTGGCTGAGAGGTGGCCAAGATGTGCCAACTGTCAGGGGTAAAAAGTTAGTATGTCTAGTGCATGAACAGTATGTAACACGGTAGAGTTGCTGGTGGACTCACAGGGTGACATACAGAGTACTGCACGAAAAAAAGACAAGAACTGATCAGCCTGGCCACTTACCAATAATCAACAAGGCTTCGGTCACGAAGTCAACTTGACCCTGATCCAACTCTTCAAAGTTGCAGTTATTGGAGCCCTTTTGAGTGGATCCTCAAAGTGCCCAAAGGACGAAAAAAGTCTGGCCTCTCGGTATGGTATTGGTAATATTACGGCCATCGCTTAGTCACAATCAGAATTTGGCCCAATTTACCGTGAGACTTCCCCGTAACATTGTATTAGCCACGTTTGCAATCAATACCAGGAGGTCCGCATCGACGGTGCATGATGATGGGGACACTCGAGGACGTTATTTACGCTTTCTCCTTCCTTCCTCCTCCCCTTCCCCTTCAATTGTGCTCGACCTTCTAGCGACGTGAATCTCTGGGCAACGGAGATTGACGGAATTATCTGTTCGCTGTTAGGCCCTGCGCCCCCCCATCGCTCTCTCTTATTCTCCTTGGCCCCCCCATTCCACGTGCAAAGCCACAATTTTTCACCCAAGCCCTGCCCGGAGGTCCTCGGATCCGCTAACTGCGACGTCAACTTCGAGGTACGTCCCAGGGAAATCTTATGCGCGCTCTACTCCGCTCTACTCCCTTGTTTCTCTTTCTCTTGAAAATTCAATCTGCGCTCCCAAACCACGATCCTCGGTCAACCACCAATCGTCATTATCAGCACTGATTGGTAGCTCTGTCGACTAACACCTCGTCTCCTATGCCTCTCAGATTACGTCGCTGGTTGTTGTCGCCCTCCAACTGAACGTCGAGCTTCCGCTTGGAAATCTCACGGAAACAAAACCTCATACTACTCCTACCGAGGGTAATACCTGCCTCAGTTTGTCGGATTGGACGCGCGAAGGGAACCGACGCGCCCTCCCCCCTCCGCCCCCTTCAACTCCGACGGTAAAACCTGTCGAATCCCACCCCCCGCAACTGCTTCGCTGCTTCCCTCTGCGATGCCTCGCCGGTTCAGCAACAACTCCTCCAACGACACCACTACCAACTCACCGTCCTTTTTGCCTTCCTCGGGAAAGGGCGGTATCAACATCAAGGCACCTTCGGTCAAGTCCAATCGCCTGTCCCAGCTCTTCTCCTCGCCCAAATCCAAGGCCGATACTCAATCAACACTGACGGCGTCCCAGTCGGTTGGCGTGAACAACCCTAACAACTCCTCTCCGCCGATTAGCTCGGCATCACTGTCCTTACCGACGATCTCACTGTCGACTGCTACTGCGGACAACCCTACTATGGACGAAATGCCGACTACACTCTTTCAGCCTCCGACTCCCGAGGAGGCCCGCCGGCAGGCCAAGGCCCATGCTCAATTCGGCGTTATCGGTCACCCCAGCCATCGGTACTCCAGTCGTCACCCTGGCGGTGTCTTCCCGGAGCCGGTGATGGATGAACCCCCGTATTATTACTTGCTCACCACCTACATCAGTTATCTAATCCTAATTGCTTTTGGTCACGTTCGTGATTTCTTCGGCAAGCGCTTCCGCGAAGAGAATTACCGTCACCTGAAACCTCGCAATGGCTACGGTGCCCTGAACAGCGATTTCGACAACTTCTACGTGCGTCGTCTGAAATTGCGCATCAACGACTGTTTCGAGCGCCCCGTCACCGGTGTTCCTGGCCGCACTATCACTCTGATTGACCGGGCGACCAATGATCACAACCATCACTTCTACCTGACAGGCACCACCACCGACACTCTGAACCTAAGCTCTTACAACTACCTCGGATTCGCCCAGTCGGAGGGACCCTGTGCGGACATTGCGGAGGATACGGTTCGGAAATATGGAATTGCTGCTCCTAGCACTCGTGCCGAGGCCGGTACCCAAGATCTCCACGTGGAGGTCGAGGATCTGATTGCTCGTTTTGTTGGCAAGGAAGCATCAATGGTCTTCTCCATGGGTTTCGGTACCAATGCCACTGTTTTCCCCGCTCTGGTTGGCAAAGGTGATCTTCTGATCTCTGATGAATTGAACCATGCCTCTATCCGCTTCGGTGCTCGTCTCTCTGGTGCCTCAATTGCTATGTTCAAACACAACGACATGAAGGATCTGGAATTGAAGCTTCGTGAGGCTATCTCTCAAGGCCAACCCCGTACTCACCGCCCTTGGAAGAAGATCCTGGTGGTTGTTGAAGGTCTTTACTCTATGGAGGGATCCATGTGCAACCTTCCCGGTCTCGTTGCCCTGAAGCATCGCTATAAATTCAACCTGTTTGTCGATGAGGCTCACTCTATTGGGGCCATCGGTCCTGCGGGCCGTGGTGTTTGCGATTACTTCAGCATCGACACCGCCGAAGTTGATGTTCTGATGGGTACTCTAACCAAGTCCTTCGGCGCCAACGGCGGATACATCGCCGCGGACAAGGTTATGATTGACAAGCTCCGGGCTACCGACTCCGGTAACTTCTACGGCGAGGCTCCCGCACCCGCGGTCCTCATGCAGATCTCGTCCGCTCTTCGTATCATCAACGGTGAGCTCGTTCCTGGTCAGGGCGAGGAGCGACTGCAGCGATTGGCCTTCAACTCTCGATACCTCCGCCTCGGATTGAAGCGTCTCGGCTTTATAGTATACGGTCATGATGATTCACCAATCATTCCTGTCCTCCTGTTCAACCCAGCTAAGATGCCCGCCTTCTCGCACGAGATGTTGCGGCGCAAGATCTCCGTTGTGGTTGTCGGCTATCCGGCTACTCCTTTGGTCTCTTCCCGTGCTCGTTTCTGTGTCTCGGCAGCTCACACCAAGGACGATCTCGACCGTGTCTTGACTGCCTGTGATGAGATTGGCAATGTGCTGCAATTGAAGTTCTCAACCGGCATTGCTGGTGGCGCTTTGCCTCCCGTCGAGGAGATGGCGCCCCCACCGGAGATGGAGAAGGAGTGGCACCGCAAGCGCAGTGCTACTCCCACTCCTCCCCGGTGGCGCATTGAGGACGTCATCCGGCGTGGAGTCCAGGACGTCAAATCGCCATTGTATTAGTTATTTGATGTCCGTCCTCTGCGTTATGTGATATTGTCCTGGAAACTGCATTGTTTTCTGGGTTGAGCCTTTTTTCTTGGAGCTTATCCCACAAGCTCGGTTGGTGCTGGTCACGCCGTGTTCGCGGTTATAAGTATCCATGGTGCCCCCTCTGCTTTCCTGTTCGCCTGGTTCTCATTTAGATTGCTCGGTATCTTCTTGCTCGGACGCTCTAGGCCCCCCCCCGGTGTCTAGTCTGGACGACGCAGGAATTTTCTGGTATGTCGATAGCCGAGGATTTCACACAGAATGCGACAGTGTTAGTGAAGGAATGAAGAAAGAAACCCAAAATCCGGTCATGACTTATTCGAACCAAGCAACGAATGAATATGCCCCCGTTTTTCATATGATCCTGATTTGGTCCCTTTGGGAGATGTCTTATCACCAATCCCACATTTTATTGACCTCGCACGCAGTTTTTCCTCTTTTAGTCCATCTCCTCTTACCCTTTTCACTGTCACTTTTTTTGTTGCTTAAAATCTTGCCTAATATTGCCGTTCCTGTTGCCCATTGCTTCTGGTACAGGCTGGCTTTCACTTCTTGCCTTTGCCCCCCTTTCACATTCTCCATTCAAATGTTACTGTCTCGTGTCAATTCCATTCTACTCGATGGTAAAGACACGAGTCGTTCCAGCTCCCACTGTTTTATTTCGCTCCTGCCTTTTACTTCTGCGGTTGCCTCTCTGGAGAACCAAAGGATGACAGTTGGCTTTCATGCAATGGCGCTTGCACACACAACTTTCGGCCTCTCTCTTTGCTGGAAGAGGCCGGGCTGCATTATGGTGGGCTATTGTCTACTACTGTTTTTTGATATACTTCTGTTTATAATTAGATGAGTGATTGAAATGTCCATATCCTGCGGGTTTAATCATTATTCGATTCAGGTGGAGTCTTGTATACAAGCTCGATGACGGTTGGAGGCTGATCGAAAGGGGATTGGCGGCAGCTCATGGCCAAGTTAAGCTTTATCACGTCACCCCCGGACCTGTTGTCGTCTTATCAAACTGTCTCGTCGACGATAGGCTGCGCATGTTGTAGGAAAGGTCCATATATTTGGACAGCTTCTATTTTGAGAATTACCCCCGTTGACTCTACAAGGCAACACCATTATGAACAGGGTGGTATTTTACAAACCATTCAGACCTTTGAGCCGAGTGCCGATCGCGTTGGGGGCCAATACATTTTCGGGGCTGAGTGACTGATGGACGATACAGCGAGGCACATGGACCCTGTATTATTCGACTCGGTGGACCTCGCCTATTCCCCTGTCGGCCGCATCGCCTGGCCGATGGCAAGTCGGTAAGTGGCAGAGCACATGGAGTGGACCAGGATGCATGGACAGCGGAGACTGGCATGGTTCATCTCAAATACGCCCAGGAATTGGAAATAGGCGATGCAAAATGATTTTAATTCTGTTAAGTCACCAGAGCTCCAGCTAGGCTTGAGGGTACTCAGTTCTCTGGTACAAACATAAACCACGTTAGAATAAGCTATAGCCAAGTTCGTGTTTGCCATAAGGTTTCAATAAGAACAAATCGCCAGGGGGAAATATTCATCCATATTGATCTTCGAGGAGATCACTCCATGCTCGTAAATTCCATGCTCTTCTAGGTATAGAGCAGCATTGAGCTCGTAGAAATAGAATGACGATAGACAATGAGTTTGCTACAAGATCCCAATCAGAACCAATGAGGATCCTTGCATAGCGGGGCGGACCGCACTGATTACCTGTTTGGGGATGGATTGGCACGATGTTGAAGCTAACCGGCCCGATGGTCAAGTGTGATCCACAACGGCCGTGCGCCTGCACGATGCACCAAGTTATAGATTACTATGTTGCATTGTACTTTGCTGTACGCGAGGGCTTGATTCCATACTTACCAAGGATGCTCGTCCAATGAAGCATTGAAGTCTCGCACGAAACCTCTAGGGCAGCCCACTTGTCGATATACTGTACTAACGTTACAAGGCCAAGGGCTCTGTGTTGGCCCCCATCACTCTTTTTCGGAGCACAGCCCAGGGGACTTTGCGACAGACGAGATCGTCAATTACGCCTTGTGCGTTCCCTCTTCGAGCTCTTTGAGTTCTTTGAGGCTGAATGATCCGTTTTCAGTGCCGTCATTTCCAGTTCTTCATCTGCGATGCGGTAACGGTTTGACCCTCACCACCCAACATGACTACGTCCACTTCGTCCACGTCGGCAGCTATTCCGTTGACAACGGTGTTTACACCTCCAGCCTCGTGTACGAGTGTGAACTGGGTTTCATCGGATTGCCAGAAAAGCACCTGCGACGGTGTCTACAACATTGTACAAACCACCGACACGGACTGCTATCCTTCCGGATGGGCTAAGACGGCTACCTGGTTCTCACCGGGGTTATTTTGTCCGACGGGATATACCGTGAACAATACCAATGTGGTCACCAGCGGCTTGGGTATAACGGAGACTCAGGCGAGATGCTGTCCCTCGTATGACTCTCTCCGGTGGAATACCACCTGCAACACGCGAATGCGAAGTATCATGCTAACCCGTTGCTTTCGTATAGGGGATACGCCTTTGCCACCAAGGCCTTGGAATACTGGTGGACCCCCGAGCCATGCACCAAGATAAGCAAGACGACTACCGTCATCGACTATACCGTCCTCGGCGTAACCCCAACCACCACGACGGCCGTCACATACACACATCCGATCATCCACGCATACCCCGTCGAACTCAGATGGCAATCCACCGACAGCGTGGACGCAGTCGTAGAGTCCTCCGCCACGGTCATGTTAACCTCCAGCACTGGGACCTCCGCATCATCAACATCGACACCAAGCTCATCCAGCGCTTCCTCCGGACTCTCCACGGGAGCAAAAGCGGGTATCGGAATCGGCGTTGCCGCAGCGGCCATTATCGTGATCGTTCTCAGTCTACTTTTCTGGTTCCGACGAAGGAGAACCCAAAAGGCTTCAACGCAGACCTCGGACGATTACTCCCGTGATGGATCCGTGTTCGACAGAGCTCCTCGACAGGAACCCGTGGAGCTACCTACGTATACGCCCGAACTTCACGGGAACTTTTCACCGGCATCGGAGCTCGCGAGTGATCAAACCTATAGTGAACAAGGTTACAGTGAGCATGGACATAGCGAAGGGGCGCAGAGCGAGGTTGGTCAGTTTCAGAGTCGGATGCATCACAGCCCGAGAAAGTGATAGGCGTGCTCGCGGTTTACATTCCTCGGTTTTGTTCTTGCATTCCCTACTACGAGTCGAGATGATGATACCCTCCCGTCATGGAATAGAAGTGTATAGAGTTGCGAATATGGTATGTAGTGGATATAATGTATTACTATGTTGATATTTTGATTCGGAGGGAAAACCAACGAGATTATGGTAGAGAAGAACAAAATGTAATCTCAGTGTTTCGAGGGTTATCACCCACTTCCAGTTCTTCCAGGTACTCTTCCCCTTCATATGGCCTAGTTGGACATACCTTCAGTGGATGGACCATTTGGGTGTGCCCCATGAGGGGAAATCACAGTACCGGTCTCCCGTGTCGAGCAGGATCTCCACGGGTTACCGGGCACATCCCTAGGCGGGGAGAGTGGGCGGGCGGGATGCGAGTGAGGTGGTTCACCTCACTCGCGGTACTTCTTCTTTTTGTAATTATTTCTGTTTGATATAATCATTATATGATATATGATATAACGATTATAGTTAAGTATAAATATGAAGGCTCTAAGAGATATATATAAGGGCTTATTTTGTAGATATGCTGTCGGGTCTGGACCGAGGCAGCCTCTGAAGTATGTACTTCGGCATCGTGGGATAGCGATGGAGCATTCTAGGGAAGTATACAGGGAATGCGAAGGTTGAGGGTTCGACTCAGGGCCGAGGATAGCCCTTTTCCATACCAAATTAAGTAACATTCTCCCGTGTGGACAAAGGTGCTGACGCCGTTCGTCTTCTCGATTGCAATCTGAGCAGGATAGTCTATAGTATCATCGTCGATTTTCATATCATACAATCGTAAAGGCAATCTGCTGGATAGCTCCCATCACCCTGACCAAGCACCAGCCATGTAGAAAGAGGCATGATGAAAGGCTGAGAGCCTGCTTGGGCCTCGTACTCATAACACGATATTCACTTTTGTGGATCCTTAGCAAGACATCCTTTGAACATCCTCAGAAACGAATAAATTACACAGAACCATGAATCATCACAAAGCAGGGACATATTTGGTTATCTTCTAGTTCACGTCCAGCCTTCCTCTCAACCACCCATGAAACTATCGAATTCGTCGTCACTATCCGGTTGGGTCTCAATGACTGTGACATATTGGATCGGATGCATTGGTTTTTCGCCATTCAGATTCTCCCCGGGGGGTGGGAAATTTGCCAATTCTCGCAAAGACCTTTCGTCAAGCACCATGCACATCCGATAAGCAGTAGAACAACCCCTCTTTTCTTGCGCACGAGTCCAAGACTTGAAGTGTGCTTGGATAGCATCGGCAGATGCACCATCGAACTGAGACGGGTCATCCATAATGACCGGATCATGGCGGGCCCAAATCTCATGGTAAGGCGTCGGGTCCGTGTGCCTGGAGGTGTTGCTTTGTGAAGAGGTGCATTCCGAGTAAAGACCGTGTTTGATATAGGAATTGAGTAGATCCACAATGCCGAGGAATGTAGCGTCCGACTCGGGAGTGTACGATGTGCGATAAATCACATATCCCCATGTTGACTTGCTTTGAACGGCCGTATGAAGACGCCGAGTAGGCCATGGAAGCCAAGAAAGACTCATTATGGCAATGAGTATTGAACAACGATTCGGGAATTTGAAGGGAAATAACAGGAGAAGCTACATAAGAGGAGGATGAGAACTTCTTGTGTATTTATTTTAATCTACTGCGTTTCGGCGTTCCGCTGTTCGCTCGTTTCACTGAGACGCACTAGACAGGCCGAGGGGTTTGTCGGAATCCACATCGACGTTCGTTGCCGCACTTAGGCTATACGTAATTACTAGCGTGTTACTTTAGCCCCAAGTATCCTAGATTGATGTCGATGATCATTATTAAACCACCCCGGCGACGTGCGTTGGCCATCTGCCGGTGGAAACAAGCCTGATCTCAAGGGGGAAATGCCAGAGTGATCAATCAGCCTTGCTCAGCTGCGTATTGGGAATCCGAGAGATACCCGTGATTTGATTATATGTCGGCACCAGAGCATATCTATCGAAAATCCGAATAGTCAATATACTGTAAAATTATGCGTGTCTTTACGATGACGACCTTCCCAACAATTTGCCGAAATAGGCTGCTTGGCAAGAAAGTATCGTATCAGTGAGGCTGAAAAGTGGATCACTTGAGCGATACATATACTCGAGTAGGCGAGCCTCCATTACAGGGTTCCCTAGCCTCAAGGCGAGAGGGACGTGCTTTAATCAACTGCTTGTTATTATTTCCAAGGAGAATAACCACAAGAGCGTGTATTGCAGAGAGCAGGATGTAAAGGCACTTTGTATTTTGGAACGTGAAGATCAAATGCTCATCGCTTGTATCTTTTATCATAATTGCGGTTTCAGGATGCCTAGAGGCCCGAGTAAGTCAATGTAAAGCCTCTGCTGTACCTGAGAGACAGCTCCTGTGTTCTGGTCCCCTTCAAAGCTCATAAGGCTCAAAGGTTGTGAATATTTGTGAACGGTAATCCATTCCTTGAGATGGAGTACGACGACCCATTGCTTGGCTCAATATACATTGATCTCAAATAGATTCACGTAAGAAATCGGTTTAAATAATTATGGTCGTCTATTCAGCTCTGGACGGGCGTTATATCATGAGCAATTTCCCAAGACGACGCCTGTAGCCTCGCGACAACCATGCACTCGCAAAGTCCTTCGCAAATCCTCCATGAAAGGTATCAGTGCATGTAAAGCTAAGCCAGAAATAGTACTGGTCCAAGGATTATTGCCATCTGATCCTCGGTCACTCCGTCGAGAGCAGGAGTCTCGAGCGATAATGTCGCTCCTTCCCGGGGAGGAGTCATCATTCCCTCGCCTGGATATTCTTCAGTAGTAGGGATCATCGAGCCATCCCTTTGAATCAGATAGTGGGGAGAGCTCAGTAAATCATAGTTGTACCCTCAATTGGCAAAAGTTTGCAAAATTCAGGCCACCTGGCAACCTACGCTGCGAGGTAAGATTCCAAAGCCTCGTAGGATCGCCCCCACCAACGACAGGTATTCTTAGCATCTTGGCCCCTACTTCACAGACAAAGGCTTCCCTTGAGGCCATTCTTGGATTTCAAAAGGACTTGAGTCAGTTTCAGGAGTTAAGAAGCTCTGCCTAAAACATCGATGGACCCTTAAATTCTCATGTCCTTCGATTCTGGAAGCTTGGCAGCGGCCCCAACTGGGGCGGCTTCGCTAGGATAGGTTATGGTACATTTCGATGCAATTCTTTGTCATATGATTCTGACTGTATGATAACTGATAGGATAACATGCATCCCAGAATATCACATAAGACTATGGATTCTTCCATCGGGTAGGGAAATAAACTTTTAACAAGTTTTCGTGGGCTAAAGCACGGCATCTGCTGTGAGCCCAGCTCCTGAACAGGGCATCCAGCACAGCCTACAAGATGGGCTCCAAGTGAACCAAAACTTTCTTTCGGGCGTCTCGGCCCTAAAATAAGCGTGGACCCTTATTATCTATTTTAGTTCCGTTCCCCAGCGCTGGAGTTGTGGGTTCCTTGATATGAGCCTTGTTGAGGGAAGCATATATTAGACGTAAGATAACTTTGTCCTGAGACCATTTGCATGCTCGAGTCTAACAATCACTAATCATGGTTACCTCTCGTGGGAGTTTCTCCCGACCGCTGGTTTCGCTTCTGTTTTCCGTTTCTTTGTTGGCAGCAAGTGTCAACAGTTTCCCGCTCGCTGCCTCTTCTCCAAGGTACGATTCTCCGACTGCCCGGAACGAGGCCGTTCATCCAGCTAATTGGAAACTAGTGGCCTGCTAGAAAGAGACCACAAGAAATTCGAACTGAAAGTATGGCCAGTGGGCGCGTCTATCACCTGGGGCCAGAACTCTCAATCTGGTAATGGTTATCGCAAGCCTCTTCGGGATGAACTGGTATCCGATGGCTGGGATGTGGATATGGTGGGCTCCAAGCACCATGGAAACATGTCTGATGATGTACGTTTATCTCCCTATATCAGGCTGAATTCGTTTTATGGCAAACTTACACGTTCCAAACCTTTACAGAATGTCGATGGCTATCCCGGTTATACTATCGCCAAAGTTCAAACAGCGGCCATCGAGGCTCTCCAAACTCTCCCAAACAAGCCCAACATAGTCCTCATCAACGCTGGTACAAATGACTGCAGATTAAATCTCAACATCACCGGCGCTGGTGACCGCATGAAGGAAATGATTGAGGCTATCCTGAAAGAAAAAGACATGGAAAAGGCAACTATCGTCTTATCAACCCTCATCCCATCAAGTCAGAAAGAAGTCAAAGCCCACCGAGACGCCGTGAACGAACAATATCGCAAACTGGTGACCGAAATGAGCAAGAAAGGTACCCAGATTCGCTTAGCGGAAATGGAAAAAGCGCTCTCGTGGCCGGAGGATTACACTGTTGATGGTAAACCGAATGATACTCATCCCAGCGATGCTGGCTATGCGAAGATGGCCAAGGTCTGGTTCGAAGCTATCAACAATGCGTATCATGATGGTGTTATCAAAACGACTGGTACGATGACTAGATCTCCTAATACTGTGACAGAAATTATTAGCATGGAGTCGACCGTGGTAGTTGGGCCTGGCGTGGAAGTTGAGGTGGAGGTGGTTACAGAGACTATTACCGTTTCCTAGGAGCGACTGCATGGGTTCATATCTCTGTTTGTATTGATCATTTAAGGTGAATAGATCTCAATGATTCGGTCTCATTCTATCCAACTTGGATTATCGGGGACTTAGTTACTATCGGCAACGCTGGACGATCTAAGAATAGCTTCATCAGAAGGCTCTCAACATAATCGACATTTATATTGCTAGAATGTATAATGATAAGGGCAGACAGAACTAAGATCCTGATCGGAGATCTAACACCAATGTCTAGTGGTACAACAGCACATGTATCTATTCATCTCTCCCGAAGCCCAAAACCATCAAGAAAAACGCCAAGAATAAACACGACTCGAGGAAACCCGGAATGCATAATCACAATATGAGTCAGACTCAAAGTAGCCTAGCACAGAACAATGCAGTTGCAACAAGGGATAAGAGAAGAAAGACCAGAGATAATAATATAAAAGCAACATGCGATGGAATGAAAATTCAAGTGGGTGTGATCAAATTACAAGGTCATCAAAATCGTGATGTATCATAATCCGTCTCGTTCCAATCGAGGACGAACAATTGCAAGAAAAAAAGAATACGCAAAAAAATATGCATCGTGCATCCTCAAACAGTCCCATACTGCTGACGGTCTGAGCGCAGAAGAGCCTGCTCCTCCTGCGCAGCTGACTCACGCCCACACTCACTGCGTGTAGGGGAAACCGAAGGAATCCAGCCGCGCATCCAGCCACGGACACGCCTCCACTGGCCGCGGCCACGCTTGGGATCTTCATCGTCGGCGCCAATGACACTGTCGTCGTCGACATCCTGGGGACCATACATGAGGAACTGCACGCCCATGAACCCGTCTAATCCAAGCACGCCAAATGCGCCAAGGAAGAATGGAATCGCACGCCCAATCCACTCCCAACGGTCGTTGCCGTGCTCATCAGCCCAGCCACCGCCGCCGTAGGGAGCGAGATCAGCCCAGGCGTTGGGATTGGTTAGAAGAGAGGAAGAGTAGAAAAGGTTTCCGCAAAAAGCAGCCATAAATAGCAATGGAGAGAGACCCTCGGTGCTCTTGCGGCAATAGTTCTTATAAAGTTGTGGGGGCCGCGAGCCGAGATAAAGGAATGTCGACATCCAAGAGAAAATACGACCCACGACCTCGAGTATAGCCTCGCGAGGGGCGTGAGAAATGGGAGGGTGTGGTGATGGTGATGGCGTGGGGTGACTAGGGCTGGCATTGGCAAGCACGGCGCAGAGCAGCGAGGCGATAAGCATTGTTCGGGGCAGCGCGAACGGCGGGCTAGTCGAGGTGCTGGTCACACGCACCGAGCGGCGTGGGGAGCTGAATTTCTCGGTATTGTAAGGCGGCGTGCGACCAAGGTTCGAATTTAGTGTTGAACCAGTCTGCACACCCATATCCTGAACCTCCGACTTCTTGTGCGTCATGTCGACCGGTGTCGGCGGCGGGTGGGTCACATCGTCGCCGGACAAAGCCACACCTTGCAGAACCTCGCCTCGCGAATGGTGGTCGTGCGAGTATGGCACCTCGTTGTACCCCGCATGACGGCGCGATTTATAATGTGTGTACCAGAAGAACTGGGTCACCAGTGTGACATCAACGAAGACATAATAGCTCGCGACCACGACCTGCCACCCTGCCTGGCGAGTGAAGATTGCCCCGACGAGATTACTTGCGTCTCCGGCACACCAGATGACCAAGAAAAATATTGATAGACCCGAAGTGGACTGTAGTTGGTAGTTCTTATAGATCTGCGGGAGTTGGGCGAACAGCCATGAGACGATACTGAGAGTTCCAAGTACGGATGAGATCAGCGCGAGTGGGGTGGGGAGGCAGATGTGGAGGTGCGATGAGATAGCGGTCAGAACGGGCGAGGAAGGCTCGCAGTGATCCGGTAGCGACCCTGATATAAGCGACTGGAATAGAGTCACCGTCATGATCCGGCGGGTTCGTTCAAACGAGGACGCGGCTGAGGACCGCGACCTGCGTTATCGGCGAGGATGGAGAGAGCCGATCTGGGGAAGTGAGCAGGCGATCCGGGGCCGCGGGGAACGTGTAGAGATCGAGTTGAGAGGAAACAAAGAGCAAATGAAAAGACTGGAGTCTTAAAGGAGAGTCTAGAGAGAGACCAAGATGAGAAGAAGAGAGAAAGGGAGACGCTGAGAGAGGAAAAAGCAATAAGCCAAGAGTAGAAGAGCGCGAGGACAAGTCACCCCTCACACATCACGAGAGCTGAACAGACGATCCTTCGCCCGATCGGGGCGCATATCGGCAGATAAGCCCCGTGACTCACCAGATAAGCGACGCGGAGCCTATTACAATTAAGATTTTTAAGTTCCCGGTTCGGCCTGCCAATTCAGTCCGGTACACCAATGAATATGTTTGGAGAAGTATTCTTGATGCCTTTTAATTGCATCAAGTATATCTACTCGCATAGTCGTCTTCATTGATATCACCATTATTGAAAACGCACGCCCGAGGTGTTCATGAGAAAGAATCGGATCAATGTAAATTTAATACTAATTACAAGACGAGTAAAAACGTAAACCCTTCCTTCGAGCGTTTCTGTGAAACGAAGCCACCAAAAATTGGACCACGTGACGAGACAAATTTCTTTCTGTGAAATTTACAACATGACTGCCACGGCCAGGATGGCTACAGCACCCATGAAGCCAGTGGCAAGCAGACCAGTTGAGGCAGCGTTGCCATGAGTAGCACCGCCAGATCCAGAGCTGCCCGACGAACCAGACGACGCTCCGGTCGCGACGGCGGTATTGCCGGTACCATAGTGGCTGGTGATCCATGCCTTGACGCTGCTAGGGAGCTCCTGATACCAGGAAGGATAGTGGCCGTGTTGGATCTCGCTGATGATAGAGGAGGCGGCCGTTGGGTTTGCCAGCTGTGACAAGTAGGATGGTGGAATGGCGGTAGCGAGCACAGACTCGATCGAGGGAGGAGGCATATCGAATCCAAGGCCGGACGGAATGCTGACACTGGGAGCAGCGGTCACCGCGGGGAAGGTTTCGGAGGAGCCGCCATTGGAGCCGGAGTTAGAGCCAAGGTTGGTAGCAGCAGGCAAGTACGCACTGTAGTCGGTGGGGAGGTCGCTGTAGGCCGTGAGGTAATCCATATAGTTGGTTTCGGTTGCCCTGAAAGAAGTGTTAGACAACGATATTCGGGATTATGTCTGATGCATGTAGCTCTGTTGAACCTGGACTCACAGGCTGTTGAGCTCGCTCATCAGGCTGTTATAGTAGTCGTCTCCACTGTTGGAGCCGCCATATTGCCTCTCCTCAACCGCAGCAGCAGCAGTTAGGGCTGATAGGAAAAGAACGTTCAGGATCTTCGAATGCATAGTGATCCACAAAAGGCTGAAATGAATCTTAAAGAGGGTATAATGGAGGACGAGGGTTGGCGATTAATAGGGTATATATGAAAAAGAGCGATGGCTGAACGAAAGGCCTCCGGCCACCACAGGGCAGGGTCATCTTTATAAAGGAAGTCGGACGCAACAGAACCACCGATTGAGTCCCAGTGGACCCTGAACTTAGGGTGATGGATCCTCTATGCTTTCAGCCTCTAGGGCTCCAGTTTGGCTCGTATTGTCTCATTTAAACTCCAATCGACGGGGCGAAACCCAAGCCTAGGGGATAGCATTTACTTCACGCCAAGGCAAAGTTGCCAGCCCAAGCAAAATCTAGGGTCCTCATCTCATCGAACCACGGCGAACCCTGATCGAACGGAAGGGTCCAGCTATGGATCTCTCTAGAAAGAATTTAGCGAACCAAACTTTTGTCGTGACTTGATGCCTGAACTGGATAGGCGCGCTGGGTACGGTATCGAAGAGGCTCGTATTCCTGGAGAAATCAGGGGTCTCGGATGGAGATGAACGCCCGTATCGAAGGGTCTATAATGTTGATCGGACCCTGAATGTGGAATCGTCTAAGCTCAGATAAAGTTCGGAGGGCCCACTACGCCCCTGGAAGTACCTCAACATCGTGCTGCTCTCATAAATTGCACGATCGCTCTCGAGATATCGAAGTATTCTTGGGTGGGCGGGCATCAACTATGAAATCGATATGCCTAGTGTGTTGTCTACCTTGCTCCTTTCAATATCTATTTGAAAATTCCTAGGCCTTGGATCAACGGATTCAGATCAGCAAGTGCGGGTCTCCGCGGGAGTATATACGAGGTGGGCGCGCTGCCCATGGTGGTTCGAAGGCTGAATACGAGGACGGCAAACTTTTCGTTTTGAATTTTTGACACGTTTAAACGATGAGGGCGCTTGGCTGATCAGGCTCTCTGCAAGACCCTTGAAAAGAAGAAACCACCGCTGAGTGCTTATTCCTAGTGGCCCCCTGTTCTAGCTCTCTATTCAGGGGACCTTATATTTGTAAGGGAACCGCTCCACGCAAAGGCCAGAGGTTAAAATACTGAAAGGACTCATTTTTAATCACACAAAATATCAATCTCAGAGAACTCTGTCCCTTGTTCTATATTTTACTCAATCAACCTAAGTCCATGAATGTCAACAAATATCCCTTTTCCTCCAAATTTTGGTTTCGAGATAGCATGCTTACGACAGATATTGAGCAAATGAAAAGCTGAATAAAGTTGACTATGATATTATCTACTTCTCTCATCATTGGCTTACTTCTTCTTTATGATTGGCTCGGCCCAAAGCTCGTTTATCCAACATCTTCCAATTTCCATAAGCCTCCTTCTCCGGACATTATTCCGTATCATCCACTATCATTAGACAGGGAGTACATACTTATGTACTATCAAAGGAATTGTCCAGCAGGATTGTGGGAGAAGTCACTATTAACTTTACTCCCAATTTCCCTTTATACCCCTTGCCATGAACTCCCACACGAAAACACCCTACGAAAGAGTGGTTCGCCTGCTCAAAACCATATGAGCTCACGCGGAACCAAACCTCGATGATGAGAGAGACTTTGAACATGATCATCCAAGGCGATAACCTGAAAGCTCAGATATATCGTTATCGGACAATGCCTCCATTAGCTCTTGCCGATCTTCACCTCAACCAACTTCTCAACCGTCTCGACAGTCACCAATATTCCTACGACACACATCGCCGATCGAGGGACCAAGCACTCTGGTAGCTACCAGGAAAAGTCAGGTTTGAATTCGATGTTTTACGAGATGGAGGAGTCACATCGACGCAGGGAATATAGATATTCCGCAGTGTGTTCTTAGCACTAATGAACACGAATATTATAATGTGCAAATACACACATTCACTGTCTTCCATATGAGCAGGAGAGAATTGGCTAGAAGAGGAGGAATTTCGATGGGGTGAAATGGTTGTAGCTACAGGATAACCGGAAATTGGTATTGTATAACTTCTGCCTCAGACTACCATCAACGAAATCCGTGAAATGCACAGGAACGAGGCTTATACCTAGTGGAATCTCTGTACAAAGAGCACCAAGTAACCTATCATATATTTCAATCCCCCAACACATCCATGTATTGTCAGACTGCCCATCTAATACACGACCCCGAATCTAATAGTCATCCTCCCCCCGATGCCGCGAGTGGCTTCGACTTCGACTATGCCGATGGTGATGGTGATGATGGTGATGCCCACTACCATGCTCATGGTGATGCCCATGAGAATGTCGACCACTATCCTTCAGTTTATCTTCCAGAAAGTTACCCACGATAGCACCTCCAATCGCACCCAGCAGGCCATGGTTCTTCTTATGTCCGAAATAATATCCCGCGGCTCCACCGGCCAAAGAACTTCCGATTCCACGTTCACCCTCGGCGTCGGCGTCGTGGTTTGACGGATGAGTCTCGTCACCGCGATAATGTTGTTGATCTGCATCAGATACACGCACAGAGGGTGGGTGGGGACTGGCAGATGGAGTGTATCGTGGTTGGTCGGCGGGATAGCCACTAAGCATGTCAGTTGAGTGGACTTGATGCGCGTCTTTACCATGAGCGCATGACTCTTACTAGTAGCCCAGGTTCTCTGGAACTTTGCCTTCGCCCGGCGGCGCCATTCCTGTGGTCGTGACCGGCCCCAGATAGTCTGGCTGCCCTACAGGCGTGTAACTTCTCTGCGGCGCGCCACCTTGATGCGGCTCTGGTGTGAGGTGATAAGGACTCGGACTCGGGTTTGGCTGCGGAGTATATCCATAATTTGGACCTGGTTGTTGTTCTGCACCACCGTATGGTTGCTGATATTGATAGCCGGGCTGATGGTGAGCATGAGTTTGCTCCTCGGGTGGATAGTAACCGACCCCGCCCGGCGTGGGCGTTGAGTATGAAGTGTATGGATTGTAGGGATCGGCCATGATGGTGGAAATCAGTGAGGAGCGACTCGGTAGCGAGATTTGAGAAAACTGAGTAAGGTGATCGGTCGCGATCCTTCTTATATGCGAAGCAAAAGAAAGATAAATCAGCAATGTCGGCGCATCGAGTAAACATGGAGTCTGCTGACGGGAGTACGCTATATCATGGTGCGGCTGACCTGCCCGCACGACCCTCTGCACTGGAATGCGCTGACGCCAATAACCGCTACAGGGGTGTGGGAGCAAACTATAATCCAGAGTTCCTTCCCCAAGAATGGCTGTGGTCATCCTTTTCTTCTACGGCACTGATATCTTAGGCAGCTTCAAAGGATTGAGATTGCGGTAAGTCATCTTTCCAAGACAACAGTACTATGAAAAAAGACAGACGAGTAAATACGGATGACTCGGGGTATTCCGGCGAAACAAAGATCCAAAACAAGGAGAAATCAACGAAGGAAGGGCAATAGTATCCACTGCAAGGCCATGCTGGATGTTGATAATGTTGGAATCACCGGTCGCTTGTGCCTTGGCGAGTGAGGGAAGAGAAAAAAAAAAAACAAAGGGCAAGCGAAAGAGCCAGATTCGTGGAGTGAGCTTGCATAAACGCAAGATACATCTAGGGAGATGGAAGTTGACATATGAAATGGAAGAGGATCGGCCAGGTATGATGTGCGCAGCACAGTTCAACCCCTGTCGTGATTGATCAATCTTCCAGAAGAAAAGGGTAACAGCCCCGATGAACATATCGACAGATGCATTGGGAAACGATCAAAATGTACACCGAAGCGGCTACACAGCCGGACTCTGCATACTCCGCGTTGTGCTAGAGCGTCTTTGGCGCTGAGACATCCACTTGACAAGCATCTCGTCGAGTTGATTGTTCATCTCTTTGAGCCGTTTGCTCTCTTCCTTGAAGAGACGACCAGTCACGGGATGGTCAGGACCGGCTGGGGGAATATTGGATTTGTCGTGGACAATAATGAAAAGGTCGCGAATGTCGTTATCTTCGTCGAGGTATGATCGTAGGCTGGCATCACTCCAGGTCGTTGTGTCAACGGAAAGCGTGTCTAGTGACATATGAGTAGCCTCGCCGGACTTGAGGTCGTTAACGTCGACCTCGGGCGACGAAGGTGGTGAGACAGGGGAGATGGACCGGGCCCTCAATACGGCTTCCTTGGTCAGCCCGGGCGCGCCGATTATAATATGAGACTCGACCGGAGAGAAGCTGTCTGGAGATTGCGATCCCGAGTCGGCATGGCCAGCCACTATCTTCGGGGTGAATCTTTGCGGTGGGGAGGTCACGGAAGGCTGGGCCCGCTCATTTGACTCGTATGGTTCTCTCCACTGGGCTTCGCTGGATGGGCGATCAATGGGAGAAGCCAATGTGTCTTGAGATTCGAACGGAGTAGCAAAAGACTCCTTCGAGGGACTTCGATGGCTCACAGGAGAAGCTGCAGCTCCTGGGCTCTCGTTGCGGCTGTCAGTTTCTCGAGATGTGACTCGTCGAATAGACTGGGCCGTCTGGTTCCCGCTCACGAGCTCCCTTTCCTTGGTCGTGTCTTCTGTTGCAACATCGGCCTGTCCATCAGTCCGAGAGGTGGAAGACGCGATGGATGGCGGTTGCTTCTGCAGCTTGTTGCTGGTCTGCCGCTGTGGCTTGACAGACCGCAGTTCTGGCGACAAAGACTCCAGGGATGTCTTAGGTTGAGGTGAAGCTCGGAAGGCAGACTCGGCTGGAGATCGCTCAGCCTCCTCGAAATCATCGTCAATTGACTTGTTCTTTTTATCCTTCCGTTTAAATAAACCGCTGAGCATCCCAGGTTTCTTGTCCTTGCGCTTCTTGTCGTCTTTACCTTTGTCGTGCGAGGCAGTAGATTTGTCGATCGATTCGAAGCTTCCGCGACCCGTCTGGAAATTAGTTAGTCAAAATGAAAACTCGAGCTCTGGACTTGCTTGCGCGACATACGTCTTTCCAGTCACTGGTCCAAGTGGTGCTGCTGGATTCATCACGCAGCAGATTAGGCGTGAGGGAAATCTTCTTGGGCTCGGCGGTGTCATCCTTGAAGAAAGAATCTGTGTTGCGTACAGTGCCGTTTCTGGATCTACTAACAGTAGGTTCTGTTGTCGGAAATATTGAAATTAGGTTGCAACGTTCGTGGATTGACACCTCGGTCGGATGTGCAATCTTACCTTCCGGATCAAAGAACTCCTCGCTTGACCGTCTTGGTTCATAGCTCGTTCGCTCTGGCTCTTGCTTTTCAGGCGACTGTGTACCCTCCGCCCGTTCTGTGAGCTTTTCCCTCTCAGATTTCGTGCGGAGAGGCTCCACAACAATATCTTCATTTTGCTCTTGAGCTTCGCCGTCCTCTGACTCGACAGTTTCATCATCATTGAAGAAGTCGCCATGCTCATCTTCCTCATCTGTTGAGTATTCAACGTCCGAGGCTTCGATGTATGTCGGTGGGGCAAAGTTGACAGTCTTGGCGTTTCGTCGTCGCATAGCCTTCTTCAGGGGATTCTTGGACTTTTCAGAGTTATCCCCTAGCATGGTTGCAGAGAGATCGACATTGCGGTGTTTGTTCAATCTAGCAAGTCGCTCGGTGGGAGTTTCGATGTGTTCAGCAGGGAGGTATCCGATACTTCCGTCTTTGACCACTCGTACAAGCCACCAATAACTGTTGCTATCGTCCAGAAGCACCATGGTATCTCCCTTAGCGGCGTTTGCCTGCCCATCAACGGTTGCGATGAAATTGTGAAGTGCGTAGACGAATTCGAAGTCAATATCCTCTGCACTCTCTTAGTTTTTGCCTTAATTTGGGGAACTTGTCTCTGATCAACGCACCGTCATCGATAGAAGGAGAACTAGATAGCTTGTCCATCATGTCGTCGTCGAGAAGATCGTCGCTTTCGCCGTCCGCCAAGTCGCCATCTTCTTCGTGGTCATATTCTCCGTTGCGTCCTATGTCCTCGTCTGTCTCTTCTTGCTCTCCGTACATATCGACGCCGTCTCGGTACTCATGATTGCCGTTCAACGAGGGTCCACTCAAAATCTCCGACTTTGAGTCTTGCTCGGCATGGCGAATGGAAAGTTCCTGGTGAGGGGCAGGCCGGCCGCCCCCAAGGGGTTTAGGATGTTCGGGTTGCTTGGTATGATCTTTGGCCGAGGGGGTATCGTGGTCTTGAAGGTCCAAGGTATCTAAACAGTTGCCGTGGTCAGCACTCGTACATACTGCTTCAGAGGGAAAGAGGAAGTTCCGAATAAGAATGAAGGGGCTTCATGGAACGTACCGGCTCGAATCATTTGGGGTCTCGTCATGGTGAAGGTCAAAAGGAACGTGGAATTGGCGTGGAGTGGCCAGTAGACACAAAGCTATCGATGGAAGGGGCGATTGTTGAACCAGCACTATCGGCCTTGAACAGACAAGGGACGAGCAAGGTCAGCCCCTCAGCTCTTGGCGGTAGGGTCTCCGAAACTCGAGTATTGAATCTCTCAGGAGACTCAAAGGTGAAGCAATGGCCCCAAAAAGAACGACTGCGCCTGGACAAAAGGTGGGGCTGGTGCTGCGCTTTCAATTGCAACACGGGGCAATGAAGGCACGGAGGCACAAGGAGAAAGAAACTACTGCCAGAGCGACATTGAAAGGAAGAATGAAAGGCTCAAATCGTGAAAGAGTCACAGTTGGGGATCAATCCGTATCCCCAAACCTGGGCCAAAAGGAGGTTGCGTCCAAACAAGCGCCCCTTGCGCGCGGCTAATCATGTAACCAAGGAACTTGGAGCCCCTGAAACCAAAGTGCCTAAAATGGTAAGTAGGGTAAAGGGTTGCCGGTATTTCACGTGATGCAAACACAGCATTGCTATGTCTATGACCGCATCTGAATGGTTTGTCATGTTTGCTTGGTTGGTTACCCACACCACCTGACATCAGATCAGGTGACTCAACGCTATTCCCATTCGAGGACACCGCGCCCTCCGTCATCACCCGAATTCTTCCGACTCTCCAATGCTCCAATGCGCCGTTGGAATTGGCCCTTGCTTGGCTCCAACCAATCTCTCCACTGGTGATTTTCTGCCTCTGACCTCACGTTGCTTCTTTTGTATTACTTTTCACTCCCCCATTTTTTCAGACGCCCGATCGATCTCCCTAATCTTTATAACTTCTATTACCTCCCTGTACGCCTGTCTTACGTCTTCTCCTATCGCCCGCCTTGCCAACAATACTGAACTAGCGCCTCATCCCCGCTTCTCAAGAGGCTTATCGCCCCACATCTCAACTACGCCCCCAGAATCGCCAGATCGAAAAAAGTCAACATTATATTTCGCGCGGCAGAGGGTTCATAGAACCCGACTGCAAGCCTTTCGCAGGCTAGCAACCAGAACGACGTCGTTCTCCGTATTTACGCTCTCGTCGGGGGCATGGCGCACCCGGACAGAACTGGATTGGCAGGCTTGAGGATCGAGACTTCGTTCCGTCAGCAGCGATCATGCTGGCAGGAGCAGAATGATGCGGGGAGGAGGAGATCGACGGCGGGTGGCGATGGTATCGAGAGCGACCGCACCATATTAAATCATGACTATCACGCGCACCGCCGCGATACTAATGAAGACCGCAGTGTGCTCAGTGAAATGCATTCAGCCACTCCTCCCATCTCAGTCCCTCGCCCAGATGGTCGTCCAGCGGACGACTCCTCTTATCCAGACAGGCCGGATGATATACAGGGCTCCCCACTAGACAACTATCTACAAACGCGTCGTTCCTCTATCACTTTCAACCCGAAAGTGTCGCTTGAGTCAGGCCTGCAGCGCCCGCTGGAAGAGCCTCTTGCCAAAGGCGATGCCAGAAATCGCTCCCCATTGAAATTCGAGTCCCGGACCTCAGGCCTCCGAAACGCCCTCTCGCAAGATGATGACTCCGCCAACAGGAAATTTGGCCCGTGGGGTTATGACTCCAAGCGACCCCATGAAGAGCGGGGTATCCCGACCGGAGCCTCCCGCCAACGACACTTGGGGAGCCCAGAAAGTGATTCGATGCCTGCTGCTGAGTTAGATCAGCCTACATCTCTCACATCGCTTTCAACAGCATCTCCCATCGCGGACGAAGTACGTACCCCACCTGGCAGCGTCAAGGATGCCTTGCTGTCACCGCTCTACATCACTTCACCAACGCAGTTATTTGCGTCTCCGGAAGATCGTAGTGCTTCATGGTCCGGGGGCCTAATTACTCCGTTCGGTAGCAAGACTCGCCGGTCCACCTTGGATCGCAGCAGTAGTTTGCGCAGCTCTGCCACCCGGCACATTTCCCGGCGGTCCACTACTTCTAGCGGAAAGTCGCCCGCCAGTGCGTTCCTATCCATGTGGTCTAGCAAGGACGAGCCGGCCGCATCGCCGGACGATGAAGGTCAGATGGTGGGCACAGACTACGTGCTTGGGAAGCAGATTGGCTTCGGGGGCTTCAGTGTAGTCAAGGAAGCTTACAAGGTCGAAGAGCACGGTACTACCAAGCGACTTGCCGTCAAAATTGTCAAAAAGAATGTCACTAGTCGAAGCGAGAGGGAGAACGAGGAAGTTCAGGCAGAGTTTGACCATGAGGTTCGAGTTTGGCGGTATCTCAATCATCCTCACGTCTTGACCCTTGACGCCGTTTATGAGACAGACTTTGCAACCTTCTGTTTCACTAAGCTCGCCATCGGTGGTACGTTGTTCGATCTGGTCCGCCAGAATCGTCAGGGCCTCGATCTCACGCTTGCGAAGAAATATTCCTATCAACTTGCCTGTGCAATTCGTTACCTGCATGAAGATGCGCGGGTCGTTCATCGCGATATCAAGCTGGAAAATTGCCTTCTTGATCCCGTTGAGAATCCTGATGGCAAAACATCGTCTAACTTGGTCCTTTGTGATTTTGGAATGGCAGAGTGGATGACCACCGACGATGGCGGTGAATCGCCTGACCCTTACGACGAGGTCGCGGATCGGCCGCCGCCCAAGCACATGGGCCCTGCCGACTCCAGTACCAGTGTTGCAGGAAGCCTGGAATATGCTTCTCCAGAGTTGCTGGAATCTTCGAACGGAGTTATCCATCCTTCGGTTGACATTTGGGCTTTCGGTGTGATCGTTTACACGGTTATTGTCGGATCGCGACCATTCCAAGACTCCTTTGCCCCTCGTATCAAGTCGAACATATTGAGTGGCACGTGGAATCGCGAAGCCCTACTCGGCGGGTCCATTGACGATTCGCAGCGCAAGGACCGACAGGATGCTCTTGACTTGGTCCTTGGCTGTCTTGAAATGGACGTCAACAAGCGATGGACCATCCGTGACATCCTAGCTTGCCCTTGGCTACGAGAGTTCGCTGATAGTGCCGAAGAAAGCTCGCCCGACACAGTCTGGAAGCTTTAGGCAGTCTATCTTTCGACAACCTTTAGTGCTCCACTACCATTTTGTCTACATCATTTCACATTCGCGAAACACCTGGGGAGAGAAAAACCTCCCATACTTCTACTTGCTATTTGATCTAGCGCTTTTATTGCTCAAGCGCTGGCGTTATGTTTTGGAACTTTTGATCACCATGATGATACCCATTCGTTCCCCATTCGTGAGATTGGCAACTCGATGTTCATTTCGCGTCGTGGCTTTTTTCTTTTTTCTTGATTCATTCATCGACTTTTCGGATTTACTTTGGATATTCCCGGTTTCTAGCGCTTTTTCATTGAGATTTGGAGGGTACTAGGCTTGATATGACCGGATGGGCAACGATACTCTACTCGCAATGGGCAAGCATGGCGTTTTATTTCGGGGCATTCATTTTTTTTAACTTCTCTACTTTGGTCTTTGTCTCTCTATTGGTTTTTGATGACTTGCCTCTCCGCTATGGCACACTTTATATGAACGGATCTGGATATTTTGGCTCTCGTCATGTTTTTCTACCCAATCTTGCCGATTTATTACGTGCTTTTATCTAACTTGGGTGGCTGTCTTTTCTTCGTCCAGAGAATAATACTAAAACAACTCAATTCACTTTCCCTCCTTGTAAATCCAAATCTAATCCAACTTTTCCAAGGTATTGTCATCCTAACATCAACCAATATATCACACCATGAGCTGACAGGTAGGCAGAATATTTTTATAACCGAGGCATATTCAAGGCTAGATAGATAGTATACATATACATATAAATGCTGCACCAAACAACAGATCCTAACATCCAGAAACTCTACCCAAAAAAAGTACAATCCTATTCCACACGTTCCCTCTCAAAAGCACAACCCAATTACCAAAGTCTGTTCTCGGGGAGAACCTTCTCCTTCTTCGTACCCGCAGCCGACTTGCGCTCCTCTGGCGAACGGAAGAACAAACTAGGACCCTCCATGGGCTTCAGCAGATGAGCCAAATACCCCCGGTGCGCCGGGTCACGATAATACTCAACATCACGACGGCGCGTCGGATCCGGCAGACGATACTTCAAGCCCAAGTTCTTCATGACGGTAGCCTCGGAGACATCCTCGGGGGCACCGTCCGCCTTGAGCAACTCCTTAGGCCCGCTCTCGGGCGACCAGGCCATCGAGATGAAGGGGTGCGACTCCATGCGGAGAATGTGGCGGATAGCGATGCGGGTGTAGAAGCGCGTTGTCAGCGAGCCGCCGGCGGCCTCGACGGCTTCGATTGCGGAGCTGGAGGCGCGGGAGACGACGAGGTGGATGGGTTGCTTGAGGGCTGTGGCGGAGCCGCCGAGGACTTTGACGCCGTCTTTGGATTGGTGGATGCATCGCGAGTGGGTGAGTTCGCGGATGGTGATGGGTCGGGTTGGGTCGATGCGGCCCTGGTCGATCCATTCTTGGATGCGCTCGAGGTTGACGGGGGCCATATCAACGGCGAAGCTGTAGAGGGGGAAACGGGAAGGATTAGTTTGACTGGTGTTCTTTGATTCTCTCTCAAGCATGACCCCGAGGTGTGGCGAGGCATTGGCCAGCCAATTGAGGCGTGATTAGAATGGGGAGGGGAAAAAAAAGTACATGTTGTTCCACCCTCGCTCGCCGGAGACGACGATATCCTTTGTCTGACCACCATTGAAGCCCGCAGGGACCTTGCCGTGCTGCTTTTGACCCTTGTGACCACGTCCGGAAGTTTTACCCTTGCCGGAGGCAGGACCACGACCACGGCGGATGCGCTTGTTGTACGCTGTGGGATTATCGGAGAGCGAGGAGAGAATGGAGGCGTTGCGGGATTGCTGGAATGTCGGGGTGAGGAAGGCTAGCGGTGAGGCCTGTGTAAAGGGCCGCGCAATGAATTGCGAGAGCTGCGTAGGCAGCGCCATCAATCGAGGTGGCATTGTGACGGTTTGGCTGGTTGTTTTCGCTGGTGTTGGTTTGTTGGTCGGGAAGAGGACGGAGATCTTTGATGAGGCGGAGAAACGTCGGGCCGAACTAGGGACCGGACTTGAGTGTTGGACCTCGAATGCGCCTTTTTAAACATTGCGAAGGCAAATTATGGGAAAAAATCGCCTCAATGAAGTTAGTGTATTAGTTTATTAAGTTACTCTGTTCAGTTTACGCAGGATGAAGATCATGATTTAGATAAATCTGGTTGTTTGGTATGCTGCGACACTATGTCGCCTAGAATAAAACGCCACAATATGCTAATGCACCATAGCGATGACCCGGTTGTTCGTAGAATCAAGCAAAGAATCAATAAGACAACGCCTCAGATGCCATACCCAACGAAAGAATCCGGTTTTTCGTAAGGAGGCAAACACCAAAGCCCCTTCTAGCTGGGGAACGCCGAGAAAAATGGAATCCAGGATCATGAAACGGGATATGTGTACATGGAAAAGGGGGGGGAAAAATGGGTGGTAAAAGATACATAGCGAAGGATAGGGTTGGTTTTCTCATGAGATAGGTCATAGCGCGGTCACGTCGTCAGCAAGGAGAATAGTGTAGGACAAGAGGATAGTCTAGCCAGAGAACTGAGTGGGGGGGTAAAGAGGCTGGAAGTGGGTTTGGGTCCAGGTCTCCGGGTGGATGTAGGGCAGCAGCCCGGTCTTGCGGTCGACGGAACCTTTACCCAGGGGCTGGTAGTGCATGTGGTCGAAGGGAACACTGCGCTGATGCTGCATGGAGGTAGAAGGAGGCGGAATGAGCAAAGTGTGTACCGAGCGGACGGGGCGGTAAGGAGAGTTGCGGTTGGCGAGGAAGTAAGATGGGGAGAGATGCTTTTGTGGAGTGTGGACAGAGTAAGCGGATACGGCTGGCGAAACGGTGGCAGAGGTGACTCCATATGGGCTCTGGTGACGGCCCAGATCTGGAAGAGAGGGCGTGTTGTAGACGCCAGATGCCATGGTAGTGGGGATGGCAACAGATGGCATTTGCTGGGACCAGTTGGAAGTCCGGTTGTAGGCTTGACCCATCGAGATTGGCACCGGCAGCTGAGAAACCGCAGTGGAAGGGAGAGATTGGGGCATAGGGTTGGAGGAAGGAGGTAGATTGGGAGGTGGGAGACGGGAAACAGGTCCCATCATGGGGACCTGGGCCACGGGAGCCGAGGTCGGTGTCAGAACTGGTGGAAGAGTAGGGACCCCGGAGGTCATGTTTGACGAAGGGATTGTCATAGAAGGAGCGGTGTATGCAGAGCTCATCGCGACACGCTTCGCTGGGTGAAGCTCATCCTCATCATCACGGCCTCGCTTGCGGGTTCCGCCCACAGTGGCCTCACCCTGCTGGGAGGTGCCTGGGTATGGTAGACTGGACATTGGTGTGTACCAGTGAGTTGAGGGTTGGGATTGTGGTCTGTATGGATCCATCGGGGGCGAAGGGAGCTTGGACAATGGCGATTGGGCCTGGAGACGCGGCGGCGAGACTTGCATCACGTGAATATCGCCTTCGGCGGGAAGCTTCGAGGCCTGGTTGAAGTATTCGCTGAAGAGGCCCAGCTTGGTGTGCCATTGAGACCATTCTTCCTTGGAGCAAAACAGGTCATAACGGATGTTGCTTAGGAACTCGACCTCCATGATGTGGATCTCTTGCACTGCGATACCCGAGACCTCGGCCCACGTCTTATTGGTGTAAGTGTTATCGTCAAGATCTATGGCTGAGTCAGCATTCCATTATCTTATCGCCAGGTTACCTTGAGGGCGGTGAAGCGATAACAAGAATACTCACATTTATTGCCGAGCATTAACGCAACGGTCATCAGCCGGAACTCACTGCCCTTCTTTCCCTTCACACCGGAATTGAACTTCTTGAGTCGGTAGATGAAGAGCAGGGCCAGTATGATCAGGTTCTGGCTGACTTGTGTGGTCGAAAGAATCGAAGCCACCCACTTTTGGAAGCCGACGGTAGGGATAGCCTCTGCGACGAGAGAAGGCACTGAATGGCGGCGGTCTTCGATGTCATGAAGTTTGGAGGTTTTCTCAAACCAGAATAGACAGGTCATCTGTAAAACCAAGCCAGTAAGCTTGGTGTGTTCTTGTTATAAAAAATGAGGCATTCTTGCGATGAACTCATACCTGAGCCGCAAATTCAGCCAAGCTGCCCTTGCTGTTATTGATGGATGAGGGAATGCGCAGTGCTGAGCCTGACGTCGTTCCAGTCGACTTCCTGTGGCTGGCAGGTTCCGTCGCGGAGACCTCTTTCACGGGCGCCGATTGAGTCGCCGATTGGTTAGACTTCATAGAAGCAACCATGGACGACGAAATGGAATCATAGTGCGGGCGCGAGTGGCCGTACAGGTGCGAGGGGATGGCATGCGCTTTTCCTGCATAGGCCGCGGACGGAATGGCATTGTAGGCCACGCCGGTCATGTCGCCGGGAGGAGTGGGTAGACCGTCCCGGAAGGGAGCGGTCCAGCAAGATCCCGTCGTTTCGGAAGCCGGCTTCGTTGATGGGTAGGTGTGAGATGTCAGGTCGACGGTTGGAGTAATGTGGCCAAGAGTCGTGGAGGATCGAGAACCCAGCGTTCGGGAAGACATAGGGACAGTGAGGAGCGAAGTTGGGGAGCGAGTCGAAGAAACATGTGGGAGTAAAGCTGGCCGGGCGCTTTCACTCTCGATCAAGGAACTGGTGGGTTCGGGCAGGATAGACCGAGAGAAGGTAGTCAAACATCCATTATCCAGACAGCATATAAATGATGAACCGATTCGGCCGGCAGGCACCACTCGTGGGTAGTTCTTCAAGATCCGTAGAGAGCCTTTCCCCAATTGGGAGACAAGGCAACAAGAAGCGAAGTGGTGGTAAAAGCAGGCGACGTTAGAACAACGTGATCGAAGACCTACGGAGAAAGAAAGGAAATGATATAAGAAAAGCGGCGTAGTTCAGTTGGCCAGAGGGGCAACGAGATGATGTATATGGAAATAGTCAAGAACCAGTCCATATAAGGAGGAGACTAAACCCGTCTGGAGACAGAAGGGAACCACCCATTCAAAGAGGAGTGGCACTCTGTAAATTTCCAAAAAGAAAAAAAAAGATAAATTAATCGATTAATTATCCAGAAGGTGGAATCACCCTCCCCCCGAAAGGAACGGTCACGGCTAGGCGGGATAGAGGGAGAAGGATAATCCCCTAAAAGGAATAATTTAAGAAATTAAAAAAAAAAAAATGGAATAAGACCTTAGGAAAGGCTGAAGTCAAGGCATCATCTCCATCCTTACCACAGACCAAGTCCATTTACTTCAAGGACCTAAAAAGGGAGAGGACCCAAGGACCCATCCGGAGAAAGCCAGAGTAGCCATACACGGGACAGAGTTTTGACCCGGACGCAGGTCCAGAGGGTTGATCCTCCTTTTTCTGGGCTCGTTTGGATGCCGGTTTAGTCCATCTACAAGTAGATTGATTGTTCCTCAGCAACCGATTTCTACGGGCCAATAAACGGACGGAACAAGTCTTGACTCTCTCTCTCTCTCTCTCTCTCTCTCTCTCTCTCTCTCCCCCTTAATTGTGTAGAATTCTCGGACTGCTACCGTTAGGGGTGCGCCATCCATAGTTCACCACCCTCGAAGACCAGTGAGCAATTAAAATAATTAAATTTCAATGTGAAAGGGGACCGATGAGGATACCGGTTGATGTCAGAGCCACCGGGGAGTCACAAGTGGATGCAAAGCCTAGAAAGGGTAAGTCGCAGAGTAATGTCGATGTCTACGGAGGTCACTGGTCCCGGCCCTTCAAAGCGCAGGGCGCAGAAAGGGCAGCGCAGCCCTAGAGCGGAGCTGGGCGGAGGCCTACTGAGTCGGGCGTTAGCGGGGGCTGGTGAAAGGTGGGAAGGGGTGGGTAAAGGGAGAGAGAACGAGAATAGAGAAGAAAAATCATGGAAATAATTCGATAATAAAAAACCAACCGAAAAAGTGAAAAAAATGCGGGCAGGGAAAAAAAAAAGCAGGACCGATAAATCGAATATGGAACTGGTTCAGCAGTTCGGAGGACAGATCCAAGACCTGCTGGGGTTCAAGGAAGGACCCATATCAGATCCAATAAATCAGTTAGGTTTAGCGTGGTTGCAACCGTCGGCCCAATGCCTCTTCTCTCTTCCCCTTGGTACGTTGGCTTTGGAGAGTACGCAGGGCACATGCTTACTCATGGGGTCTGTGGATGGGCTGGAAAGAGCAAATGGCACAGAGAATTTGATTCTCTAAAGAAGACAGTATACTCTGAATAAGATAGCAGTTATACCTGTAATATACTCGGTCTCGGCAATCTACTAAAAATGAATCGCTACTCGCTGGAGAACGTAGATAACTATCGATGGTAGTACTCCGTCAGAGTCGCAGAGTGGTCCATGTTCGATAGGTTTCCAGGATGTAAACGGGTGTACTCCGTAAGTGGCCTGGGCTGTGAGGGCGCGCAAGCATGTATGTACGCCTCCGTTGCTGCACCAGGTAGCAAGACCAAAGCACGCAGGGCTAAGGGAGGGGGGGAACAGGTTGCCGGGAAGCGCCTATGAGGGTTTGAGCATGGTGGCTGATCACTAGTCGGAGTCGTCACCAGGCGGAAAGGAAAGGAATGGGGCAGGTTGACTTTGGTAAAACCACATACGCAGTACCTCATACGGGACTGGACCGGGGTCAACGGGGAGAGGAAAGCATGAAAGGGGGGTGAAAATGTATGAGATGGTAATAAATTACCAATCAACGAGAGGGCTGGCGACAGAGGGATCGGCCAGTGGGATTCTTGACCAGTAGTACTCCATACATTCGTGTCGAGAGACGATCACTTTCCGGGTTAGGCAGAAGGGGGCAAACCCCAAAGACGGTACGTGAAAGGGATGAAATCGAGGCGTCTCGGTTCTCTTTGATCGGCAGGAGGAATGATCGTATTGTGGTATGGGTATTGTCACATTCTCCCGAATGAGTGGGCAGAATGCCACGAGCTGAGGTAAGCCAAACTTTTTCTTAGGGTACCGGGTCTCAACTCCTCAACTCCTCCTCCTTCTTGTTCCCATCCAATCACCTCCCTCCTCGCTCATTACCCATGACCACCCCGTCCCCCAATCATTCCGTCTCCCCTCTTCACCATCAACCAATCACACCGCTGCCAATCCCCCCTCAAGAGAACTGGCAACGATGACTGGTCCCGATCCTGTCCTTCCTGCCTCTGTCTCGGGCCTCTCTGGCCCTGTTGGCTCTCCTGTCTGCCGGAAATCCAGGATGTGAGGATCCACCACCTCACGCTTCCGTGTATAATCCGAGCCACCCGCCTTCGTCCTGGCCTTCCTGTTTCCGACTGCCCAGAGATGGCCCTTCAGGGATGATGACTGATCCCCGAAGACCCAACGGAGGTGCCAAACTTGGCCCCGTCATTTGCTCATCAGTCCAATTCGCCCCACGAGGGTCTGGCTTTTTGAGGCTTTACCACCGAAGCCTAGGTCCTATGGTCCAAACGTGCGAGTGAGAGTATGTCAGCCGTCCGTGTACAACGGCCGAGTCATGATCCCATGGTTAGGCCATTACGCTTTCCGAGGCGATCGTCCGTTTTCCCTTGTCTTGTCTCCCATCGCTACCTCCAGTCCGCACTAGCCCAGGGACTTCTTCCATGATGCCGATGACTGCAATCATGACACGGTTACCCGGTGACTAGTCGCGTACCCCCCGACAGGTTGTTAGCCGCTCACTTCTCGCTGCTCATTGGTTTTGTCTCCATCTTTTTCCCCCCGAGGCGTTGCCTCTTTTTTTTTTTTCGCTTTCCCGTATTTTTTTTTCTTGGTCATCACCAAGCCTTGGGTAATTTCCGACTGCGGTGTGAAGTCTGTTCTTCCGACTTACTTTTGGATCGTCACCTTTTTCCTTGTCTCGGTCTTGAGGGGGGGGCACATCGCGACTAGCTTACGACCTAGCCCCAACGCGGGCTTCTCTACTTTTTTCGCCTCCAAGTTAACTTCGCCTAACCATTCGAGCGACTTACCTTTTCGTTGCTTTTTTTTTCTGCCTCTTCTTCCTATCCGGGCCTGGTCAGAGAGGAGGCGATCACGTAGATTTCCAGGACAGGACAGGCGTCGATGGACCACATTCTGATAGTTCGGGCCCAGCCACTCGGAACGAGAACGAAAAAAAGTGCTAGAGAAAATGAGCAGAGCATGCCTCCATACATCGAATACCGTACGTGGTCCATGCTCTTGCTCTTCCTGCAAGTAGCTGGAAGCACTTCGTACCACGACTGGAAAAACACCAGCGAACTATGATCAAAATCCAATTATCGGGAGTACGGTCAAAGTATTTGATGTACACCCTCCTTGCCAACCAAAGCGACATCATCCAACTGCAGTAATCAATAGGGGGGCCATGCCAATACCGGACACGCGGGCCTCTCATTCGTCCGATTATCATGCAACCTCCGCCTGCGCTCGCGGATGTCCTTCGCATCTTTTACAGTACACCTTCCAAGCGCCCCATGTAAAACCGGAAGCGAGCCTTTACTGGCCGTTGCCGGTCTGCCCACTCCAGGTCCAATTTGGGGTCCTTTGACATGACTGGGTTCGAACAAACCCTGTTCATCCATCGTTGCACCTGTGACCCATTTAGCCTGGGTCGGTGCTGCGACGAGGTTCTAACTAGCCTGGCCTCTAATCGTCCAACGGACCGACAGGGAAATAGTAGCAATCTTGCCTAGTTTCGGATTGTTGGAATTCTGTTTAGATTCTAGACGGGATGGGACGTACGAAGTACTCCATATCGAACAGAGTTCTATAGTACACCTGCAGGAGGGCAATTAAACGCTGTCCTCGGTCCTAACATCCACATATACATTTTCTCAGTGGACCGGATCTAGCCGCGATTTGGGGAATCTAATAGGTCGGATCTTGCCCAAGAGATGACGGAGTACGAAAAAGGACGGACACTTGGATCCCTTCGACGCGGTCGCGTTTTGAGCACGCGCCTCAAAAAGTGATGAGCGAGGGTTGATAAGTAATAAACCTCGATGCAAAAATCCCGGTACCATGTCACGCACCCACGAACCCATAGTGCATACGGGGCCGAGGATATAGTCAACTAGAGGTTACTAGGGGATGAGTCTGATGCAGCGATATTTACTGTACTCCCAATAATTTACTCATTTACTCAATTGCATGTATGATTTACTTTTTCGACTGACGCTTTCCGGGACGTCATAAACATCTGCGTTTTTCAGACTTTTCCTCAAGGGACTTATTTCGTACTGTACTGTAGGAGGGAACAAAGCAGGCTGCAAAGCATCTGGAAGCTCGGCTATTACGCCACTCTCGAAAGATTTGCACCCAGCTAGCCCTGTTCTATTTGACGACTGCAAGGCAAATAATGTGAAACCTGAATGGGATGTTGGCGTTGTCATTGTTTTATTTCTCTTTTCGTGTAGATTCTAGATTTACGGAGAATAGTTGCTTTGTAGCTGAAGAACTGGACATTGAGAGACAAGCGGAGAAAACTACCTGTACTCGCTCGCAGTGGACACGCGTTGTTTGCGCGGAGAATAGGACGACCAAAAGCTAGTCGACTTGCCGAGTCCACTGTTTCCACCGTTTCCCTTTTTTCCCCCTACGGTCCGGATTGTCTCTGAGCCACCGCCACGGTGAGGAGACGTTAAGTGGAGTTCTTTGAGTCCTTGGGATGGGTTTTTAGTTTTTGCGTTTTTTTTTCGTTCTGTCTCGTTTCCAGAAACCCCAGATGGACTTGGAAGATGTGGAGTCGCATGAGGAAGACCGGCACGTAGAGGGACCACGACCAGCGCAACCTGTGTCATCACCAGCATGGGCCTATTGCTCCAATCATCACTCCGTCCTCCGTCCTCGAGTTCCAGAGCCGATCTCTTTCTTCCCACCAACGATCCCGGCCTCTGATTTGTCCGACGATGGAGACACGGAAAATAGAGCAATCTCGCGCGCCCCTCACGGACAGCGCCAACGCCAGGACTAAGACAACGGGCAAAGGAACGGAGTTAACGCGCAACAGCGCACTTTCGTCACAGCCCATTCTCCATCCTCCATATCTCATACAGCCAGTCAGACCCGGCGTGAGATGAGTCCAAGCCTCGCTTCGGGTTTGTTACATGGGGCCCGTATGGAGTACAGAGTACCAGATGCTACTGTG